TTATTTGATCGATGTGGTAATCTGACCATAACGTGTGTTCCTTTGGGGATGTCGATTAGGATATTTTTGTGATCATATTTCTTTTTTAATTCCTCATTAATCCTTAACACACGTTCGTTAATGGCAGGGAATATAATATTTTTCATATGATCAATCTGCTTCTCTAGCTCATCAATTGTAACTGTGGCTTTTGGAAGAGAGTATTTATCTTTGTCACCATACTCATCAGGCACATTGACTCTGCGAGCATACATTAATGAAAACGGCGCACTTAGTGTTTTTTGAGGAATATGTCTATTGATACACAGCTGAACAATCGGTAGATAGTGACATCAGTCATTGCTGTTCGCTCTCATCATTTTACGTACAGTATTCTCTGCAATTTTTACACTGGCTTCGGCAATACCATTTCCTTGTGGGTGATATGCTGTCGAATATCTTCGATCAATCCCAAGCTCTTTAGATAGGCTTGACATTAAAGAGTTTCTAAATTCCAGACCATTGTCACTTTGCATTACTTTGGGAAAACCATAATCTCCAAAAATCTTTATCAATGCTTTAGCTATTGTTGTTGAGTTCTTGTTTGGCAGTGGTCTCAAGATAATGTACTTGGAGCATACATCAACCAGAACTAACATGTACGTGTGTCCATCCTCTGATACAGGGAATTCACCGCATAAGTCAATTGCAATATGATCAAATGGTCGGAATGCTACAACATTAGTCAATGGGTGATAGCCTTTCTTGCTAATATTGTGCTTCTGACATTCAGGGCAAGAACGAATAATCTCTTTAGCCTCTTCATATATATTAGTCCAGTGTAAGCCTTGTGAATGAAGATCATTCACTATAGCTTGACTTCCAAAGTGACCAAACGAATGTGCTTCTTTTAGTAAGCCATTACGCTTTTCTTCAGGAGGTGACATATAGTCGGACGACTCTGAAGCATTTTCGACGAGTTGCGTTGCAAGTACATTTAGCACTCTGTCTTTACTATATTTTTTCTTTTGAACAATAACTCTGTTTTTAGCTTGTAAGTCATTTGTTCTGATTTTTCTCAATCCATCATCCTCCACCAGCTTGTCACTATCCTCTGGAGGATACAAGCGGCTTAGCAAATCAGGTAGTTTATTCAACAAACCAGGAATATGGACCACTTTAAAATCAAAGTCAAGGAGTGTCTCAATCCAGCCAATCATCATCGGATTAGCGATTTTTTGAGTGTGGAGATAAATGAGTGCTCGATGATCAGTAAAAATTGTGAACTGTCGGCCCCACAGAAATGGACGGAATTTTTCAAGCGCCAAAACGACTGCATATAATTCTCTTTTAGTTGTGCTCCATCGTCGCTGCGATGGGCTTAAGGAAGTTGATACAAAGCTGATATATTTATCACGCCCTTGTTCATCTCGCTGAAACAATAAGCAAGCTGCTCCATAAAGGGATGCATCTGTGGCCACATACATTTCACGTGACATATCTGCGTAATGAAGAATTAAATCTTGGTGCAATATGTCTTTTAGTGCTTTAAAGCTTTTCGTCTGCTCATCTGTCCATTGACCAGACACATTCTTGGCATGACTCAAACGTGAAATAGGCTCAGCTACCTTCGAAATCATAGGAATATAATCTCTGAAGTAATTGATCAAACCCATGAATTGCTGAATCTGTTTCGCAGTTGTAGGAATAGGCCATTTGTCAACATTTGTCAACTTTCGCTTATCAACCTTGGTGCCTGTCTCATTGACGACAAAACCAAGCAATCTCACTGAATGTTGAAACCAGACACACTTTTCCGAGTTCAGAATCAACTTCGCGGATGACAATTTTTCAATAACTAATTTTACGTCTTTGACATGCTGTTCAAATGTTTCACTGGCAACAATACAATCATCAACAAAATTCTGTACACAGTCAATCTTATCAAATAAAGTAGCCATGACATGTTGAAATTGTGAAGTAAGCATCTTCAAGCCAAAACAGCCTTTAATAAAGCTATACTGTTGCCCATCTAAGTGAGTGAATGTCAGTTTGTGTACATCCTCAGGTGCAACTTTGAAACGATGATACGCATTGGATAAGTCGAGTGTGGTAAAGAATTTCTTTCCACTTAAGTTTTGAAATATTGTTTGAATTTTTGGAATTGGATAATTGAATGTGGGAGGTAGGATCTGATTTAACAATCGCACATCTAAACACACTCTATGACTGACAATCTCACCAGCTTTGTTTCTCTTTGGAACAAGCAACATTGGACTGTTGAAGGAAGTGTTGGTCTTGGACTTGACAATAGTTCCTGTCTCAAGCCATTCTTTTACTTGCTTGTCAAGTGTTGGTCTTAGAGCGTGCGGTATAGGATACTGCCGTCTGTAAGCCGTCGCACCTTCCTTAGTAGGTAAACGAATAATAGATTCTGATAAAGGACAATATGACTCAACGGGAATATTCTTATTTTCCTCCAGTGATGCTTTAATAGAGCTCATAAATTCTGCTCGTTGCTGTGCTGTGCCAGCTGGCGAATTATCAGGTTCAAACTTTTTCTCTTTATCAATATTTAGATTTTCATAAATGGCGGCATAGTCTTTTGCATTATCTGAATGGACATATTCTCCTTCAATATCATATGCAACATTAATTAATCCAATATTCATCTTTGCCAAAATATCTCTTCCAAGGAGGATATCAAAATTAAAACCCGTATTAAACTCTAACACCTCTGGTGCATGCTTAAAGGTGATGCCATTTATATATTTAAAATTTAAAGGATCAGTTTTTCCTAATCTCTTTGTACTACTATTCTTAGACAGAAAATTAAAGGAACCAATTGAAGAATTTATTTTTGTTATTTGTAAATTGTTATTTAAACATTTCAAATTTATAAACGTGCGGGAACTGCCTGTATCGATCATCCCGATTAACTTCTGGTTCTCTATTATGATTGGAGTTACAAGATTAAACGCATCATTAGCTTTAATTCTTCTCTCAATTCTGTCAAGTAGGTACTTACATTCAAATGATATTTCCTCCATGTCTTCATCTATCCTGTCCTGGATCGTCTTGAGCGTCTGCTCAGACTTATCCTTTGCGGGAGACTGGGATACCATGAGAATTGGCTCATTGTTCTTGCTTTTGCAGACATGACCATGGTAGTAGTTTTCACCACAACGTCTGCAAGGATTGCGACTGTTGGAACTACTGGCTTTGTTCTTGCGGTTGATCAAGGTAAAACACTTGCTGGACTCATGGGTCGGGTTTTTTCCATGGTGCGAGCAGAAAAATGTCTTCTCATGCTTGGTTATCTTGTTGGAATGGTGAAGCTTCTTTCTGGGATGTTCCTCGTTATTCTTCTCAGGTTGCCCACGGGAACCAGGAATCAATCGGGTCGCCTCAGCATAGAGCCTGTTGTCATCCCCAAGGATGTCTCTGCCGATCTGCGTGATCTGCTCTACAGTCCAATCACGCTTGGACTCCCCATTGGGACCAGAGCGGGCCATGGTAACTCTTACCAGTGTTTGCACTGATAAGGTCAGCGAGGCAAGGAAGCGATCAGCGATGCGAGCATCGTCTTTGGGTAAACCAGCATTGTAAACCGCACGGAGGAACTTCTTCGAGTAATCACCGATGGACTCAGTGTTCTTCATCATCATTGTAAAGACCTGGTCTGTGAATCGTCGAGACACCAAGCTGGAACCATGTCTTTTGTTGAAGCATGATTTCGCCGCCTTCCAATCAATACACTTCTTAAGATCCATCTCTACCCATCCGTCATCAGTGTGAGGCAGGCAAAGTGGGAGGAATTTCTTCCAAACTCTCTCGATGTCCAAGGAAGAAGACTCGATCACATTCTTGAAGGTACGTAGGAAATGTCCAACTGATTCAAAAACCTCTTCATTTGGGAAGGGCTTAATAATACTGGAGGCCAATTGGAATTTGGGAAGATCTCTTCTGTTGAGAGTCAACCCTCCTTCACGGCCAGCTCTCTCTGTGTTTGTACCAGGAGAGGCAAGCATCTCGCTGCACTTTTCAAGGCTAGTGATTGCCAATCTTGTGCGCTCGATCCTGCGGAGTGCATCATCAGCTGCTTGCTCATTGTTTGCTACATGAGCAGCGCTGAAGGCCTCGATGTGGTTGCCCAATTCAGCCTTGAGAACGGCCACACAGGAGGAAGCAGTTGCTACTTCTCTACCAACGGGAGGGGAACCAGAACCAGAAACGGAACCAAAACCAGGGGCAGCATCCGGAAAGAGGACGGGCTCACTCAAGTCAGAGAATAATTCATCCGCAGACATGGGGGACAAGGTAGCCTCCTCAGGAACAGGGGTCAAACCAGCGGGAAACAAGTCAGCAGGAGAGTTCATTGTAGTTCACGAAAAAAAATGTTGTGGGGAGAAAATAAAGCAAAATATAATATAGACGAAAGAATTCGTGAGAACTTGTGTAGGTTGTTTATTTCAAAAGAAAAGTAAAGAAATATAAAATTCGATTGTCTTTCTACACGGAACTATCTACTGATATTTATATGTTTTTCTAATTTGTAATTCAGTGTGTGCTTAAGTAATCTTTATCACGATGAGTCATCTTCCAGGAGTATTGTTCTTCTGGAAAGATCCGGAAAGACCAATTGATATGATACTTCTCCAGTCAGATCAGTCCAAGAGTTTTGGTAAAGAAGAGCATTTATGCTATTGGTAATATTTTAGTATTCCGACCCAGATACTCGGGTAATGTTTCATAATATTAGATAGTTGTAGTTGTAGTCTCTCAATTAAGTATTTGTATAATAAAAGAAATATGTAGATGAAATATAATGATGCCATATATATAATGTATATGTATTTGTATATCCCATGTCATGGTGATAATAATAAATAATCAATTATGTGTATGATGATCTGTGTATTAGATAATATCATAAAGGGAGATCCGTTTGACTGGAATAGCTGAGGATATTATTTTATCCTTCAGTCTTACTCTCAGATTCAGCAGTAATCAATACTCATTCACAACAGTTGCATTGTAGTTAGATATTCCGCACTGACTGCTGGCGCAAATTGATTGCTGAATTGCCTTTGAAACTCGCGCAATGCTTGCTTGATTTCAGCAAGATCAACCTCAATCTTTTGAATTGAGTTGAGGAGAGTTGTGTTAATATCGCACATGTTTAAGTTTTTTTTTAGCTATAAGCAGTGAGTTGAAAAGAAAAGGTGATAGTTTAGACAAGTAGAATAAGAGCGATTTGAGTTTGAGAAAGGCAACGATTTATTACAAGCAATTGATAGCTATTTATATGAAAAAGATACAGACAGATGTACAAACAAAACATATAAAAGAAGGGATGCTTATGCACTTGTATGAACCTGTCTGCACCTTTCTGCAGTAGCTCATGTGAACATGATACAGTCTTTTTGTGTCGACACAACAAAACTGTAAGAAATATAAAGATAAAATGAATTAGACTTTAAATCAATATTATATGTATAAATGTTCATACTTTGCACCATCTACATATTAAATGTTTTAAAGTATATGATATAATAATATAACTCTATACATATTGCAGATATAGCATGAAATTTGGTTAAAGTTCTCGATGACAAAACCCTGTACCAGTTAAAATTATAACTTTAAATATACTCTACAGTAGCTATATAACATCTGAACATCATATAGTTAATTAGCCCCTTTTTATCAACATTAAAGTAAATGTTATGATACTCAAGTTCATATCATACTTATTATCATTATCGACTAAAACGCGTTTTGATTGATGCTGTCATCAAAGGTAAAAATAATTTTAACTGTCATTACTATTATTTACCAAGGGGCATTTTTGACTGAAACCGTACATTTTTGAAAAAGGTGTGCTTTAACTCACATCAGCACTTTCAATTAACACCCCTTTCGATCAGTAGTGCTTATCTTGATGATGTCAGTAAAAGAGTATCAGACTATAGCTCTCATTATCTATATCTATTTCTTTAAGTTTTATACATAAACAAGAAAATAATGCTATTAGCTAAATATATATTCACTATCTCAAAAATATTATTAGTACAACACAGATAATATAAATATGTCTTTTCTACCAATATGTTTAGACAGTACTACTTTTTTTTAACTGTTAATTATTAGAAGGCTGTTTTTCTTTGCCTTTGGTATTAGAGAGTAATTGATAATTTATTTAAAAAAAAACATAAATTATTTGGTCATTAATTATCCTAAATATACATATACCTCTTTATAAAGCCCAAAGAATATCTAATCGCTCACAAGTAAAGAGTACGTGTCTGTTTCACCGGTGCTCTTTTAATGGTACCCCCTTGTCAACCAAGAAGTATTTTAACTTACATCATAATTATTAATGAAAAAGAATCTTTCCAACCACGGGAATTATTTACTGACAGGTGTTTCACCTAGCATTGACATTACTGTAATCATTGCTATATCATCATTATGAGAGAGAAAAAGAAAAAGAGCCGCAAGCATTTTGGTTAAAAAATAAAGAGTATATAAAGATGTCTTTTACATTTAATAAATAGTACCAAAATCCTCTTCGCAGCTTTATTTTATATATTACATACGTACCAACCCAACCAATATGTCTTCTTCCAACGCCAGCCAGCAGAGAGATAGAATATTTACACAGCAATACCAATGTGATCAATGTGTCTTGTTTTTTGATAACTACCAGAAGCTGCAAAACCACAAGAGAATTCACAGAGGAGATTCAGCAACAATGACTGAAATTGACCAGTCTATTCTGGATGATGTTGACATGTACCATGACGAAAATGATACTAGTAATGAAGATGAATCTGTTAGCAATTCAGGTAATGAAAAGAGCTGTAATTGTATTATTTATTTTCCAATTACTAAATAATGTACTACAGAATATACTATGGAGTCTATGGAGCTTGATAATACTATTTCATATAAGTGCGCATGTAATTTTGAGGACAGTGAGGGTGAAGCTCACATTTACAACAGCAGCCAAATCAGTACAAATACTTCTACCAAGGCCGAGTTGATGAGTATTCATCTGTCTCAATTGATGCTACAGCATAGAATTGCTAGAGCAGCATATAGAGACATTGTTCAATTTATAAACACTGTCATCCGAGACCATGACAATATAATGATGGGTAAAATATTATATTTTCTGTTATCTTGTACTTTAATTCCAGATCACTAACATGTAGTGATATCAGTTTTTTTTTAGAACCTGGGGGTAAGATCAGTCATGGCGAAACTGTTGATGCTTTGCTCAAGTCAAAGTCAAGTGTCAAGGACCATGAGTATGATGTCTGCTCTAGTGGTTGTCGATTGTATGGCATTAATGACGACCAGGAATCTTGTGTTGACTGCAGCAAACCGCGATACAAGACTGATCCTGATCAAGGTCAGACACCAGCCGCCAGTATGAAACTTATGTCAGTTGGGGATATGCTTTCTCAAATGTTGGCAGATCCAGCCACAAGAGAACTCCTCTGTTACAGAGCAAACCGGGAATCTGTAGCTGGTCAGCTAACCAACATTTTTGATGGTGACAATTACAAGCAGTTGGTGCAGCAGGGCCTGTTCTCCAATCCCGATGATATTGTCATTGGGCTTTATACTGATGGGTTTGTCAATCAAAAGAAAGGCAAAAACTCATATACCATCATTCATTGCATAATATTCAACCTAGACCTATCCATCAGGTAATTAATTAATTTATTACTATTTATTATTATTATTACATTTTTTTTAAAAAAAAAATTACTAATAAAATACTTAGATATACCAACAAATACCTTTTGCAACTGGCAATTTTGCCTGGCCCCAAGAAGCCAACTCATTTGGACTCCTTTCTTATACCCATCATCAATGAATTGCGAGATCTTGAGGCACATAGCTTGGTTGTCAAGCACAATGGAGTAGAGCTTTGCAGATCCAAGGTCTATCTTCTGCTTGCTTCTGGCGATATTCCAGCTGTAGCTGATATGGCCCACATTGGTTCCCATACAAGTTTATTTGGTTGCCATTTTTGTGAGACCAAAGGCAAATGCCCTACTAACAGATGGCATGGCATGTACTTTGATGACATTTCCGCCCGGTTAAGACCTTTGGAAGACTTCAAAGTAGGCAACCCTGTAAGTATACAAATGTTCAATTAGCCATCTTTTTTTCATACTAAATAACTGCTTGTAATAGTCGAAGAACATATACCAGCCGAGCATATATACCCAACTCTCAACCTTCTCTGGATCATCATTTTTTGCATTAGATGAACTTCATTTAATTGCAAGAGGGATTGGAAAGCTTGTGTATGACCTGATTACCATCACCCTCACAAAGGAAACCAAATTTTATTATACCCATCCAGACAATACCCTCAATATCACTGAATACCCTTTTCATATACCAAGAGCAGACCTTGTAACAATTGGAAACTGTATCACCAGCTCACGAAAATATATACCCACCTCATTTCAAGGCAGTTTCGACAACGTATTTGCCAAGATCGATGGTACTCGCACAGTGGACTGGCTTGACTTTCTCTTATACCTTGTCCCCACTTTGGTCGTGCCTTATTTACCAAATAGGGCTGTCAAAACAGCTCTATTATCTCTCATGAAAGGTTGCGCGCTTGCCTTGCAATGGACGTTGACATCAGAATTGCTTGATGAGATGCAGTCGTATGTTATTATACGTCTCATATATTATCATTACAAATAGCTGATTGTTACCATTTTTTAAATATTAATAATAGATACTTCAAGCACTGGCACTCGTTTTTATATCAACAAGTCCAGAATAGTACTCTGTCTTGTAGTGTTTTCCGACCAGTGCAACATTACCTGGTCCATATACCCTATATCATCAAGCAGCAAGGCCCCCTGCAATGCTACTCCACTCGCTCAATGGAGAGAGTAATTGGTGTCTTCTCAAAATTGATAAAGTCCAAATCAAAGGGTGGCCGAAACGCCAGTTTTCTCATTGAGTGATTTGCAATTCACAATTATACCAGCACGGCAATCAGCATCTGTGATGAAATCAACCTCATTCGGCCAAAGCCATATGGAAGAGAGAGCTACATGGACCTTCCTAATGATCCTAGTGGTGTGCAGTTGTGGGAGCCGTTTCATCAGTTTGTTAATTTGAACAATGATTCGGTGGAAGGTGTAGGCAGCCCTAGTGTGAAGGAAGCTTTATTGAAATACTACCAGAGAACAACAGGCTTGACTGGCCATGAGTTTGGTGACTCTGTTGTTGTTGTAGCTGCACGTCTGTGGATGGACTCGACTGTATATTCCTCATGCATGTACCGAAGAAAGAAAAACGAGACCAGCCGTGGCAACCATTACGTGATGTTTACTTGCCCCTATAGAAAGTAAGTATAATATTTTTTGATATACAATCAAAAGTTGCTTATATTCTATTTATTTATTTATTTTAGCAACCGTAATGTAATTGTTTACAGCTGGCTCATCGGTACAGTACAGTTCTACTTTCAGCATGTAGATTTCTATGGCTTTCCACACTTTCTTGCTTTCATGGAGATCATGAAGGAACATGACGCGGCTGGCCATGACTCATCAGTACCTATCATCAAACAACGGTCACAAAGCACCCGTATACTAGGCCATCAAACGCAACCAACTTATGCAGTTATAAGTGTAAATGATATTTGTCATCAAGTTGGTCTGATCCAATACCCACTGAATGGAAACCAGTTTTATGTAATCGCACCCTATTATATCTTTAACAACAACATGCGCATTACTAAAGGCAATCTTTCCATTCTGTAATCCTTTTTATTTTTATCTTATTTTTCTATATGCTCTATATCCTTATATCTTTTATATTTTTTATATCATCCTTGTATCTTACATTCTTTTTTTAATTTTCTCTATTTCTTATGTTTTTTTTAATCTCTATATGCCCCGTCTTTCTTTTCTTCTTTATATACTCTGGTTTTTTTTCTATTCTCTATACATCTTATGCTTTTCTCTTCATTCCCTATATGCTTTATATGCCATTACGCGATTTAAATAAAATCAAATTGCCAATTCATCAAGATAAAAAGAATATCTAAAAAAAAAAGAATGTAGTTTAAAAAATAAAAAAAATGGCAGTTATGTTACCATTTCGTTCACACATTCTAAAAATTATTAATCTTAATAATTGTTGACATCTTTGATATTCAATAAAACATATATTTCAATACTCAAAGTGGTCATTACAACTTACAAACATTTTTTACAGTATTGAAAATATTGTACAGCAACAAAAAAAGTGTTATTATGTTACTTTTTTAAATTGCTACGAATGAGATTACCATCTTACAACAAATGGTGGAGATTTTATTGGGTTTCGACCAAAAAAATGGCAGTTATGTGCCTACTTTCGGCCTAACTGCCATTCATCCCACCGTAGTGAATCTTAAACATACAAAAAAAGCTTAGATGAAAAAATACCCCAGATTTTCTATTATTATAATTTAATTTTGTATATAGTAATTCCCATATGTTTTTCTAGTGTATATTGTCTTTAGATCAGTAAGTTTTTTTTAAGAGATATTCATATAACAATTACATCAAAATAATATTAGCTTATGCATTTTCTTTTGTCTAAAAATTGTTCTCTCAATTTTTTTTGTTATATGGCTTTAAAACTTTGTTATATCTTCATGTAAACACTAGTATAACAGCTTAGACAAAAGATCAATTAGCTGCATATGCTTAGAAGCATTAATAGATTTAATAGTTTTATGAATAACTATTATACAATCATCATGTTTTTCAAGAAAATATTTCTTTTTCAATTGTCTAAAATAAACAAATAAACACAAATTTTCAATCAAATCAATACAAAAAAAAACTTTTTTAAAATGTATGCTCTTCTATATATTATACATCATAAAGTATACTATCCCAAAAATTTTTATTATAAAACTAGAATTAAATATACAGTAAAAAATGGGGAAGATATGTTAGTTAAAGAAGTATTTATGTCCATATTAAAAAGAATACTTTCCCACAGATTATAAGTCTTATAGTCTATTTTCTCACATATATCAATTATAAAACAGCAAATAATTATATAACAAAATGTGGAAAAGTATATATGTTAGAATAGTATCCATGTTTGCTCCTTTTTATAAATTAAATACAGATTTAAAATAGAATATAATACTCATATAATTTAAATACACAACACAAACCTGTGCATCATATATTCAAATAACATTGGCAGACTGAAGAACAGTATTGCTTTCTGCTAGAATAATATTTTCTCTATGATTCTAGGCTTATTTCTACTTGTTACAAGTATATTAAGTATTTAGGGGGTAACTTTGATAGAATCATATTGAAACTCATGCTTTCAATATGATATTCGCTTTCTTTCTACTCAATAAAATCATATAATTTTTTCAGTGAGTTATGTGCATTATAGAAGAGAGATATTACTAACATGGGGAACCATGACTTCAAATGAGTACAATGTGTATAAATATGTTAACAAGAGAAAAAAAAAGTGTTGTGTATAGAAGGAACAGGGAATAGAAACAAGATTTTTTCTGTACATGGAAAAATTCTCCTCTTACCACCAAGGGCACAGCACCACATCAACAAACCGTTGACGTCAGCCTCTCATAACCGGGACGACACGTCACGACAACCCACCGGACAAGCCCACTGAGCAGACTGACATTCCAGTACTGGACACCACGACATGGCAAAATGTTTGACTTGTTTACAATACACGCAACAAATACCATCTAGCGCGGATGGTTAAGTGGTATAATCTTCGCCTGCCACGCGAAGGGCCCGGGTTCGATTCCCGGTCCGCGCACGTTAATTCGAATGTATATTTTGTTCCCAATCTGGGTTTGTCTGCTGTAATGTGTCATGCCTGAATTTTGTCAGCCAATCAGGATGACGATTACACAGAATTCTCTTTTGAGAATGACGACCAAAGTGATTTCCTTTTGCTCACAAAAGAATTAGAAAGCACATATATATCAAGTCTTGACTGGGTATATCTTTCTATTATTTTAACTTGTATAAGTTTTGATAATAGATCACCACCAACTAGGACGTTGTGAATAAATAGGAACAGATAGGAATATAGAGAATTGAATGCTTTTTATTGATATAAATCTTGGAGTATTTATACAGATTTCTTAAAAGTGAAACTATTTAATCTAATTATTTTACCCAAGACATATTGGTTTTACATTTATGGAAGGTGATATAATATGTCTTGGTTAACACTAGAGTGTATTTTTATTAAAATCAGGAATTTTAGGATTTGTGTCAATTTTTTCATTTAAAACACCGATAACAAAAACCAGTATTAAATGTCCGCTAGTTTTTTAAAAAAAACTGAAATATTGAAACTTATACATAGGCACAGCATTTTATATTATAAATTATAAATTTTTATTTTTTTATTTTTTTTAATCATGGATGCCTGCTGCAGTAAGATTTACTAATTCTTGAAGTGAATTTCTTCACCTCAGCATCAGCATCCTTAGCATCTAAAAACTTGCTGTAAGCTTTAATATATCTCCAAGTCTTTTTATAAAATCTTCTGATCATAGAAGGAGAACCAGCCACAGGAGAGGCACTGTCCAAGAAAGACAGAAGATTCTTTTCTAACAACTTGAAAGAATAATCGCAGTTTAGGCGAGCCACACGTTTGGCTGCGCCCCAGTAATGCTTGATTCAATTGCATTCACAATAAAACTTGGGGTACAGCTCAAATATGTGACCCACCTCTTCCACCGCCTCTTGAATAGCTGTCTTCTGTCCAGAAAAGTTGGACTGAGAGGCCAAGAGGTGGCGGGCACAGCAACAGTGGTTCTTTGCTTCTTCTCCATTGCAGTCCATTCTCCATCTTCTAGAAAGATTGAATGGATCCAGTTCCATCCACAGTCCATGCTCCAGAAGGATCCACTGGATGCCAACAAACTGTCTCTTCTCTACTGGCCCCTTTCCTTTCCTTCCAGCTTCAAAGACTGTCTCATACAATGATTGAGGGATGATACATCCATCTCTCAAAAACGTTATATCTTTGAAAATGAACTTGTCATTTTCAGAAACAATCTTTGGCTTTAGAACCATGTGGGTGGCAACCAAGGCATCTGTGGCATATGCTTTGTGGTTGCTGCTTTGGTTGAAAATAAAGACACCGGTGCACCCCTCATGCAAGCTTTTGAACAGAGGGATAACATGGTTCTTCAGCTGGTCAAGCATGTCTTTGCTTGTCCAGTAACTGCCATATGCTACCCCAACGTTAAATATTCTGCAGGAGACCCATCCCTTCACTCGCATAGTGCCATTGTTGTGGTGGTTGAAGTTGAAGAAGTTTTTAAGAGGAAGAATTGAAGATTTTAGATTAGGAACGAAGATTCGGGAGAACTTGTGTAGGTTTTGTTTATTGAGAAAGGATTTTGTATCAAAGTTTGACCAGGTTCCTACACTGAACCACTACTGCTATTTATATTATTTTGGATCAGAAAAATTATATGACTGGGGTCAGGTAATTGGTCCTATCTGAGCCTTAATCAGAGCAACGTGATCTTGAGATAATTAATGTATGATTAATTATATAAATGTGTGTAGTCCCAATAAAGTATTAATATCGAAAGTAAATGTGTTTATGAGTTGTAATTATGCTTATAATAATTCACTGATGTATCACATATTATGGTGATATCATCATATGAAATATAATTACTATCATGCATGCTAAACCTGTGTGTTAAATAATAAAGTAATTGGTAGACACCTTTGACTGGAATAGCTGAGGCCTTATATTATTTCCTTCAGACTTATTCTCAATTACATCAGTAGTCAATACTCATTTACAACAGCCATGACAAGCACACTGGAACTCGCTGACCATCAGAGATCTTCCCTGACCTTTTTTGCGGATGTGGCTTTCACCTTCCTCAAGCCACATGTCCACCTTTTCATCATGGGCATAAAAGGTGGACTCATCATGGGTCACCATAACCAGCTTCTTCTGGTTCTCCAAAAGAAGAGAGGTCATCTCAATTTCTTCATCTTCCCCAGTAAAGTCTGACAGACATTGTTTGTATCCTATCATTCGCATTGCCCAAGCATAGCAATACTGAATAAGGTCTTGTCTTTCATGTCCATCATAATATACGTCCTGGTTGTTCTTGCGGTGGACGTACCCCCAAGCTCTCATGCATTTTCATGCTGTGCTTATGGCCACGTTGCCTTTTACACCAAGGCATGATGGAAAAAGCATTTCATTGAGATACTTTTTCAAATCCACAACAGTTCGTCTTTCTGCTTTTTGAGTACGAAGCCAAACAATTACTTTCTTTTTAAGGTCTTCATCGTCTACAATTGAAGACTGCTTGGCATGCTTGCCCTGTTGATGTTCAGAAATTTTGCCAAACTGAAGAAATTCTTTGACCCAACTGCAGACAGCCTCTCCACGGTACTTGGAAGGTGTTGTCCAAAAAATCTCTGCTGCTTTTTCAGATGCCTCGATTTTCTTGCAATTGTTCAAGAGGCGTCAGAAATACTCTTTCACAGCAATGTGTTTTCTTACTTCAAACAAAGCAAACTTGCCCAACTCGCTATCTGAACTGACTGGAGACTTTATCATCTCAGAGATTTTCTCATAAGCTTCACGAATCTTTTCAAGTTCCTCATCTTTTGATTGCTTGTATACAGTTAATGCTTCTGTTACAGGCGAAACTGGTGCAACAGGAACCAAGAAACCAAAATCAGCAAGCGTTCTGACCTTCTTGTCTTTATTTGCCTCAAGCTCTTCTTTCATTTTTCTCTTGTTGTGCATAATCGATGATCTCAAGTCTTCTCTGTAGAGTCTATGCAAATTTTTTCTTGCGTCTGGTCTTTATATCAGAAAGCTATTATAGTACGCAGCAATCATTGTATCCATATCTAAATCCAAGAGCTCCCAGTCGTACTCTTCTACAATTTGATTTTCAACAGGTTCCTTTTCTCCAGCTTCCTTTTCTGTATCAATAGTAATAATTGGAGACTTGGCACAGAATTTTCCGCCCTCTCTTCGAACCATTTTAGAAGTAAGGATAGAGCAAGCGTTTTTACGACCCATTTTTAAGAATTTGTTTTGGTAAAAGTAAAAGAAGTGTTTTCAGAACAGTCTTGATAGACAGCTGTCACATCCAAAAACGTGGTTTATACTCCGCATGTTACGCGTAATTGCTAATTTAGGATATATAATTCTCTATATCTGCCTTGAGATGCCATCAGAGATATAGATTCAAGTCTCAATATTTCTCTTCCCCTGCTATTAAATTGGAACACCGCACTTTTTTAAAAGTCAAAAACTTTGTTGGAAATGTTACTACAAACAAGCTGCTCGCACAGTTCTTTTCAGAAACACTTTCTCCGTGTCCATGAGCAATGGTTTTTTTGTATTGACATTTCTGACAAAGTTTTTGCCTTTTGAAAAAAATATCGGAGTCCAATAATTCTTTCTGATTATAAGAAAAATACACTATATAGGAAAAAAAGTGGTCTTTTTGGTGGTCTTTTAGGTGGTCTTTTAGGTGGTCTTTTGGGTGGTCTTTTGGGTGGCAGTTTTGGTAAAACCAGCAAAAAGACCACCCCTATTTTTGGAAATATAATTAGATCTCTGTTGACTGATGAATGTTAGGTTTTATTCATATCCCGATATTTAAATTTATGTATTATTCTTTTTGTTCTATTGGTAGAAAGAAAATAAAAAAGAGCTTTCTTATTGTGATAGATGGAAAAAAAGAATCTTTGTATTGTCACTCATAAAATACTTTCATTATACTGCTACTTTTAATTGGATAATATAAACTTTATTGCAGTATGCACATTGATAATATTGGTCATTTAAACAAAAACATTCTCTCAATTGGTTCTCATATATATATTCTGATTCATCCCACTGCAAAAGGAGGGCCAATTCAGTATACTAAATCTTGACCAAATACTGTCTGAATGAATAAAATTCAGCATGAATTCGATCAGAATTTATGATGCCAATTTTTTAAAATTCGTGAGCTAAATGAATACAATTAGTATACTGAATTTTAGGAACGCAAAAAGAAAAAGTGTGATATACTTTTATGTGATATATTTTGGTCATGAAAATATAGACACACTTTTATCAGACCGCAGATTTTTCATTTTATATTGGTTTTGGGGTTTTTTTTTAAATACAGCACATAACATTCAACATCTTTTTATTACTATATATGGGTTGTTAAAGAAGAGATTTGGTCAAGATTTGGTCAAGATTTAGTCAAGATTTAGAGGTTTATGGGTCATTTTAAAGGTTTTTATTGGTTTGAAAAAATTTTCTTATTGTTTCTAGCTGTTTCTATTCGTCTACATCACTAATCGTCTTCTGTTGCAATTGGGTAGAAACATCACACTCGATGCCGTCATTTATTTTAGTGGATACTATGTTATTCCTTTCGAACATCCATTGGTCCACCCCTGGTGCAATCGACCCCTACTGTATTCCATTGCTTGCTGCGGCACGCCTTCTTGGCCTGTTTGTTTACTTTTATAAAAAATAATTATAGGGTGGATTAGAAAGAATGTTCTAGGTATATTTATTTGAGAGCGACAGATTATTTAAAAAATATGAATGTACTTACAATAAAGTTAAACACGAGAACAGATGGATGTCTTTAACATAAAGATAGATATATCAACGTTTTAGTTAAATGTCTCAATTATAGTAATATTGTCTATAAAAATAATAACTTTTGTTAATACGATGCAAAGTAAATAAGACTATGGTTTGCTTACCAGACAGTTCAGAAAACAGAAGAGTTGACAAACACAAAATACAATGACATTGTCTATAAAATATAATCTTTTATTAGAATGAAATAAAGAGTATCAGACTATTTTTTGCTTACCAATTATTCAATACAATAGAAGATGCAGCATGCGGGAAATGGAGATATTATCTATAAAATAATTTCTTTTCATTAGAATTACATACAAAGAAGTAGAATGATTATTTACTTACTTGTCTATCTGTAGAGAATAAGAGTCGGTGTATAATCAAAAAAAGAGGACCGAGATAAAGACCAGTGACTATAGAGTGTATGGTATACTTAAGAAAAATAATAAATACAAGTTGTATCTTGAAGGTGCACGTTAATACTTATACAACATACCATTTTGTAAACCCTCCCAAGGTATATGTCTTTGTTAACGGGCCAGAAAAATCTAAGCAGAATAATTAATACATAAATCGTGAATAAATATTCAAGTATATTTTTATTACCTTTTTATCATTATTTTTGAGGCAGTTAAGAAGGACTTGGTGGTTTAAAGCATAGTGTATCATGCTAGAATAAAAACAACAAGATGATTAGGTCTTGAAACTTTGATGTGAGTTGATGCTTACCATGTTAGACATTAAGAAAGAAGTAAAGAAGAAGAAAGAAAAAATTAAAAAAAAAACGGGGGAAATTCAAAATTATAATTTTATGACCGTTGACCCTGAGAAACTGATAGAATCAATGGAGCAAATTGAAAGTCATTCAACCCATCCCGATTGAGACAAGACATTACGTACTAAACCATAATCTCTCACATCTTTGTAATGGATGTAAGCTATTACAAATGCCTTTCCAAGTCGGCTTATAAAGAAAAGTATAATATAGAGAGCAAAATGCTATAAAGAGCATCATCAGAAAAATAATCTTTTGGTGCCTTACTTTCCACCTTTACGTATGTTTTGATTTATTTTATTATTTTAAAGAAACCCGACTCTAATTATTAAAGTATTCACATTGTTTCCATTTCTTTCATTAGCCTTAAATATCTCAATTCATGTCTTCTAATACGCAGCAATCCAAAAAAACGAAAAAGACGACTACAAAAAAGTCTGTTCAACAAACCGCTGGGACAGCAGCAAGCACAAGACAATGGGAAATTCTTCCCAGCTTGACAGTTAGCGCAGAGCTAGATGGTACTGTCCTGTCCACTTTGTCCACCATGAGCACCCGACTGAATGAATCTTATTCACTTCTGGAGAAGGTCTACCACAACATGGGAGCAACCAATGGCCAGAATAACAATTCGAACCATAGTCCCATCGGTCAGGCTCTTACTACAGGAGAATATATAAAGTACTGCCTTCCAACGGTTTCGGTAGGATATATACTAGTAATAGAATATTGCAAAGTTACTTACATTATATTTTGCAGAGATTGATCCGTTCTCAAACACGAGCAGTTCTGGCAACAATGCCATTGACAGTCAATGAGGGCGCCTTCTTGACATCCAACCGTCCCATTGCTGATGTAGTGCAGAGCTACACACATCAGCAAGCTGAAGTAAAGTCTGTTTTGTCTGCAGTTGTGGAAGAGAAAACCCGAAGACATATTTTGTATATGCTTCAAAGGGCAAAAGCTTTGCCAGAAAAGATAGCTCGACAAAATCGGATTTCTCGACGCCGGTCCAGAAAGAGAAACGTAAGTATAGTCAACAGTTTTTGTGTAAACTATTTTAACTTTTTTTTTCAGATTCTTGCAGACTACAAGGTAATTCACTTAGCTGACAAGACAAACCTTGAGTCTAAGTTTGGTGAGACTGTCGTTGACCTTCTGAACTATGACATGTTGTCTGATATTGAGTCAGATGAGGAGAAAAATAAAACTAGATATACTCCTAGAAATAGACATCTCTTGGTAAGGCTCTCATAATAAAAGTTATTTTTTTTAATACTTCTAACTCAAAAGTATTAATATTATAATGCAGGTGGATGAATACTTTACTGTTTTGAAGAAACAGAGACTTGCTAACAAGGGACCAGACGTCATTGGCAATTCTGTCTATCCAATTATTTTGAGAAACACCGAGTTATCAAATGAGAAAAAGGCACGTGTTGCTGCTTGGATTCACACACGCCAACAATAAATCGTTATTTTGTTTACAAAGTGCATATAGTACTTTAATGATTTTTATTGATTGTGTTGAATGATGTGGGGTGAAGTGGTAAAATATAATCAGGCGGTATTGTCAAGATGAGAAGCAATTAATATATAAATAAAAGGAAAAAGAAAAAGACAAAATCAAAAATCAAAATAATAAATTATTTATTTTATTTTATTTTATTTTATTTTATTTTATTTTAAAGCCAATTAATAAAAAAAATATATATACAAAGCAATTATTTAATTATATAACCCTGATTGTTTTATCCTCGTTTTTTTTTATTGGAAATTATAATACCGATATTAGCAAGAATATGTAATAAAGGCAAAGAAAATGGTAAATGTCGGGTATTAAATATACAAGTTTTTTTGTCTTTTATATTATTGATAAAAGCAAGAGAAATAAATCATGGTTTTTACTATTTGTTAATAGTTAAAAAAAACTGGTAATATAATTTACTATTGCTCTTTTAAATACTTAATAAAGAAGTAATGTTAAAACTAAATAAGAATACAGAGATAAATAAAGCTAAACCTTTTTACAGTCAAAAAAACTTCTATTATAATTATTTATACTGGTAACCTAAATAGTTGTTATTTATTTTTTTATGTGACTACTTTTCTAGGCAGTGGAATAACCAGGTGCTTTTGCGTCCCACTCTGCATTTTATGCGTAGTCAATGCAAAGCACGAATGCAGACGATGCACTGGAACAATGCACGAAGCATCTTCTTCCATAAATCCCTTGTCCCACAACTGCAGACCTTGATCAGCTAATGGCTGATGACTACTTGAATGGTAGGTGGGAAACCATTTAATGAATGCGAACGTTGACACTCTTTTGACTCCACCGATCTTGATGGTATGAGTAAATAAATACTCTATTTGACCAGGGAATTCAGATACATCGTCATTTGTTCTCTCAAGAAACAATACCCTCACAAAAGACCCGCGCTTCTTCTTTTCACCACTGCAGTACTCTTGCCCCAGCAACGAAATCTTCTTCACCTTTTGAATCCGATTGTTCACAAATACATCCTCACCAATTGGGATTCTCCCTACCACACAGAAGGAAACACTTGTACTCTGGTAAGCCTTGACATAGAATTCAAATAACCACTGATAGTGATCATCCTTCATCATAGTCAAAGGCTGCAACTTGATTGGCAATGTGGTCGGGGGCAAGGCCTCACTTCCGGTGACATTGTACCATGGATTTGTAGCAGCTTGCTGGAACATTGCTAAGCTAAATGGCAACGCAGGAGGGTGGCCAGCATCCAAATTCAAGGGAGAAGAGCTGTCGGAATTTGATTTTACTTGGGCAACCCCCTCAAGGAACTCTATCAGTGGTGATGAAAGATTGGTAGAATACACTCGAAGAAAGCTACCAATGAATGCTTTCTCCAGGAAGACTCTCATGAAGGTGACCTCAAGACCATTGCGACGGTTCGTCTTGATGTTCTTTAACTTGCCGTTGTATCTCTCGAAGCTATACAGCCAGAATGCGTATACCGGACCAAAATTAAGCATTGACTCACGCAAGTGCATATGCAAGTGCATATTTGGCGTGATGCTGCTCTCTCCATAAAGAGTCTCACACTCTTTTCCGAATTCTCCAAGGAGCTGGTGTGCGCTGTCAATTTCTGAATATGTGACTGAAGGACCGGTCAACTTTCGGCATGCTTTTACAAAGAGAGTCTAGTTTTTGTAGTCGTCTTCAGGCAAAGCGTCTTTTAGTACCACCAACGAATAAATCAGACACCACAATCGCCACTTGTCTGCCTTCATATACGGGAAACCAGATTCGATCTTTGTTGATAAAACGGCATACCCAGGAGGAACAAGAATACCATCGGCAAGACGTTGCATACGGACGAGAACAGCAGTTGGGAGATACCTCAGGTCTTTCCAAACACTGATCATACGCTTTGCTGTCCCAAGAAACAAATTGTGCATGGGATCAACAATCGTGCATCGGACGGGATCAAAGTAGTGTAGGCGATGCAACTCGGAAAAACGGGTGCCATGCTGCTTCTCCAAAACAGCTCTCTCTGCATCAGATTCTGCGCAGAACCACATCTCAGCTTCGGTTGCATTTTCCTCTTTTGTTCGGGAGACCCAGTTCTCATGATCGAATCCAGAATAATTGATCTTACTTGTTCCAGCAACAACAGTGAAATGACGCTTGCATATGTGACAGGCGTTTGTACTTGCAAATCCTGTAAATCCAGCAGTCTTTCTTGCAGCAGGTATGTTGCAAGCAACACACATAAGAGCAGCGCGGATACTAGTACCATTGGGGAACTCTGGAGTTTTCATAGTTATGCCGCCGTATAACTCTACCAGCTCGTCTACCAGAGGTTCCAAGAAGTTGTTCATCTGGTCGATCTTCGCTTCCTTTGGACCAGGCATGACACCGACAAGGATAATGTTTTCTGGCTTCATTCTTTCTTCCCTAGGTAGGTTGTTCATTGACAGGTACAAGGCCCCACTTGCATGTGTACGACCCTCGAACGGTTGAAACCAATCCACATTCAATGTCAACATCAAAGAATGGTCGTGATTCACAAAAGGCTCGTCATCTTCATCAAGGAGCTCAGACCACATTGCACCATCATAGATGTCCAACAAGGTACTGTTTACAGTTTCCCTTGATCTCCATTGAACGATTTGATGCTCGAACCCAGGTTTGGCGAAATGCTGTGCCAATGCATTCTTGAGCGAGTTGTATGGAAAAACCATGAGAGGGACGGCGCGATCAGCTTTGGTGTCAGAGAAAAGAGGATTTCCGGAGTATGTTGGTGGTGTGGTTGTGTATTTTTCGAATGTGCAATTTGGTTGGCGATTGCCTGGTAGGTAAATTGCAAAGCACTTGTTGCAGACGGTGTATTTGACGATGCTTTTTGTCATGAAATTGAAGCCGGTCATAGTCTTTAATGCATCAATGGTGAGTGGGAGATTGGTATCCTTATCAAAGGCAACAAGAAGATGGCGGAAGAATTTCAACATAGCAGTTCCACCTGCTTGAACCAAGTAAAACGCCTGAAAGATAACGCCAAATAGAGCCATGAATTGGCTTGTTTGAGACATTTCATGAATTTTCAAAGAAGCAACTACAAAGGCAAGTATTTCTGTTAATTATTTGTAACACAATTTATGTATATTTCTTTTTTAAATGTATGCATACCGGAAGCAACCATGTCTTCAAAATCTTCAACACCGGCAACCTCAACTTCGCTCTCATCTTCAGACTCATCGCTTGAATCAGGATCGTCATTGTCAGAAGCCAATGATGTTGTCTCGACATCAGACTCTTCGAATTGAAAAATCTTGTCTTCTCTCAAAAAAGGTACACTCTGTATGGTAGTTTTGGCTGATACAATAGAATAATTGTCTTCATCTATAGTAAAACCAGACTATTAGCTATCTAAATTATGATTTATTAAAAAGAAATTTTATACTCACAATCAATCGATGTTTCAGATACATCTACCATCTCAACGTCTGTCTCTTCTTCGACAACTTCTGTATTAACTGATAATTAACAAAAAAAATATTAGATTACAATTTATCCAGTAATGCGCGTACTACTCAAATGTCATTTACCTCGATTTTTTGGGCCAATGTCTAATAACTTATCAGCATTATTATGATGCTTAAAGGTCTGTGCATTTTGCAAAATTCCGCCAATTGCATTTTTGGTACATGATGAACATGTACACATAACAGTGTAGGTTTTAGTTGTAGAATTCATAACAGTAAGAATAATATTAATAATAATAAAATAATAAAGAGGTGTATACTATATTTTATTTTCATCTTTTATATGTCTCTTATTTTTGTCATTAATAATGAGTTGATATATCTTGTTCACTATGTCATTGACTACATTGAGCTTACCGTCCCTATTAGTAAGAATTACAAATGGATTTTGATGCAGCGATCTTTTCTTAAAAAAAGTGTGCCTGATTATTAATTGGGCTTCAATTTAATAATCACTGATATAATGGCGTAGTTTTTCTCTTTCGCGTTTTTTTAACATGACATCAATTCTCGCTCATTTTGGCAAGTGGCCTTTTTTGGATTTTCTTTTTCTTGTATTTTTTATGACATCAATTCTTGCTCTTTTTTTCAATTTTTTTTGATATACTTTCTTATTAAAAATAAGTCATATGTCATACATTATTATATTCTAATAAAATTCAGTATTTTTTGCGATGCAATAAAAATATTATTGAGTCTAAATTAGGTGCATCTGTAACAACAAGTTTTTCCTTCCAGAAAAATAATTAAATACTACATTTAACATTTAATATTTTATTTTTATTTTTTATTTTTCTGCCAAGTCAATCGAAACATATATTTTTTAAGACAATTGTGCGATTTATTGCCTAATTAATAAATATTTGTGTTTGTATCTGTGTTTATTTAATATAATCAGAAAAAATTGCGAATTCCCATCTCAAGAAAAAAATATATTGAAAAACGATGGTGTTTGAAATATTTTTCCAAATTTTGCCAAAATTCAAAAAATAAAATTCGACCGAATCCACCCTCCTTTTGCAGTGTCCGCAGTTTTAATTGGGCAAAAAAGTTTTATTTCATAGAAGATCATTATTTAAAAATGTTTTTATTGGTTGTTATAATAGAAATAATATTTTATTCATGAATCATACTGGCTAAAATTCTTTCAGATTATTACATATTCTCACATTAATTACACAATTTATTGTACCTACCAGATATGAACTTACCAGAGTATTCTCGCTTCTTACACCCTTTCCAGAGCTGGCTAACCCTTGCAATTGATGCCCAGTTTCTGTGGCATCTGGTAAAATTGATTCTATTGTCTCTGAGTATGATAGAATGATTGATACACAGCCTGTTTTTATCCTCTTGAGGAAACAATGACCAGGCAGGGTTTGTTCCAAGATCCTGAACAGATGGAAGAGCTGCCAGTTGATCACATATGACCTTGTTACATGTGTTAACAATTCTCTTGGTTTCCTCAGTCAATTCTATTCTAAGATTGTCTGTTATCATCTTATATATATGCTTTAAAGTTATATCGTTGATTTTTGATATGGGTCTTGGAATGATGCCAGTAATAGTCTATTATGTTTGACATTAATTGAAAGGACTTTAGTTGTTATGGTATTTGCTTACACTGGTAGAAATTACAATAGTTCTATCTGGAAATTCCCGATCTTTAAATTCATTGTAGAAACTTGTCATTTGAAGTTGCATTGCATCTTGTTTTTTTTCTAATGCTTCTTGACGGCCTAGCAATGCTTCTTGACCACTCTTTAGAGAAATAAGTGCTGTGAAGTTTTATAGAATAAAATCAACAGTAAAAAGATTGAGACGTATATAAGAATACTTTGAGACTGTATATAGGTTGTCTTTATTAAAGAATACAAAGTTGTCCTTTTTATATCAAAACACGATCTGCTTTGTCAGTCACATCTTAATTTCTTAAGTCTGAGTTCATTTAGATATTAGAGAGCTGGTACTGCTATGTTTATAATTTAATCTAATTGCAGTGTCCTCATATTAACTCAGTGCTTACTGAGCTGTCATAATTACAGTACTTACTGTAATTAATTATTGGTCTTATTGATTTACCATAAGTAAAATAAATAAATTATTCATTTGTTCTTGTAATGATAGCTGTTTTACTATAATAATAGGAATATGTTCTTAGATGTAATAAATCCAACAACCTAGTGTCTGGATCACCACAAGTGCAGCTTGTATTCCTTGAAGCAACTGAATCACTGTATTGTCTGTATTGTTTATAATTGTAAAAAAAAATCAGTTACGTGTTTGTTATAGAAAAAGAAACAAAGAGAAAATTTTTTACCAGAAACTATTATTAGTTTCAAATCTTTAGCTTCAATTTTTTAGCTTCAAATTATTAGTTTCAAATTATTTATACAAATCTATTGGTTACTCCTGAAGAAACATTGATCTAGTAACTTCACTGATGACATACAAATACTTCTTTAAGATTCTGAGCATATATTCAGAATGCATATAACATCATTGTCTTTATATAATTAAGTATAAAGCTATACATTCAGAAATTAATTAATTCTATTCTTACTTATATAACAAAGTTTTTTTTTATCTACCTCAAACATATCCAAAATTACAAAAGCCCCTCGTTACCAATGCCGTACTTGCAAGTCGACCTTTAATAACAGTCAAACATATAAAAGATGGCTCAAACAATGCATGACAAATAGGGCAGAATTACTTGCCAATAGCAAAGTTTTCCAAACTGTCTCTCTTCCTGATCAAAGCCAGTTTACATCAGCAATGATTCTTAACTTGGCTTTTGGGTAAGCTTATTAAAACCAAAAACACAAAACAATAGACAGTATATTAATTAGCTGTATACTTTGATAAACAAACAGAGAAAACATCAACACAAGCAGTAGTGAGGATATGGATATCATTGACAGTACTGAAGATGATGAGTCCATGGTGAGATACATAAATATATATATTATGATAATCATACTTATTGTTGTTTATCTTACTATAGTACGATTTTGGAGAAGAATGTGAGAATGTCATTGACAAAATTGAAGGCATCACACCCTTGCTAGTCTTTGATTTTAGCCAGCCTCTTCCTGTTCCCAGCAACAATGATAAAAAGAATCTTGCGTTCATGCAGTTGATCCAAGAGTTCGGAATTTCTCATCAAGCCCACAAAAAGATTGTAGAACACTTCAACCAGATCCATGATTGTTCTATCAATATTATGTACCAAGCATGCAGCCCACACCTTGAAAACAAGCTTCTTGAGCGCTTCTCGGGTATCAAAGCAGATGGACACAACATTTGCATCAGAGATTATATGCAGTTCAACAACAAGAATGATATCGCATGTGTAAAATGCGGTGAAGCAAGATACCAAAATAGCCAAACTAGCAAAAGTGATACCAGGGTTCCTGTGATATCGATTGTACAGCTTCCTTTGGCCAGACAGCTTGCTTTGTGCTAGGCTGATGATAAGACCGGGACTGAAATGCTCTATTGTCATAACCATCAATCCAGCCAAGACGGGCAGAAAGCAGATGTTTTTGATGGTCATGTGTACCAATTTATGAAGCATCTGTTTTCTGGTGAAAATAATATTACGATTTCGTTGTCCATGGACAGGTTCAACCCATACAATGTACCTGGATTAGTAACCATTGTTCATGCAACTGTCTTGAACTTGAGTCCAACGATCCATTATGAGAAAAACAGGACTATCCAAATAGCAATACTTTCTGGTTGCACTGGTCCCAGTGACATCTGGTATTTTCTTAAGCCAACTCTGAGAGATCTTCATTTACTCCAGACAGAAGGCATGGAAGTAAAGACAATGACAATGACAATCAGGGCAAAGGTGCATGTCCTCATGGCCACTAGCGATATTCTGGCTCTGGCAAAGCTGGCATGCCATGTTGGCCACACAAGTAAGAATGGCTGTTGTATTTGTCACATAGTGGGTCAAACTCCTAAACATGACCAGTACTTCTACATGTTGCCTGGAACTCAGACGTGCTCACTGGAGAGTTTTAGAAACTACAAACTGGCAAGCAGTGAAGACAGAAAGGGGCTCAATGGTCAGTCACCATTAGCCTCAATGGAAACATTCTCTGGCCCGTTTTTTTTTGCGTTAGACAAGATGCATGATCTGGGCCATGGAATCAGTAAACAGGTATGGGGACTTGTACGCAGAAAGTATGGAATCAAGCATTCTCTATGTCTTTCTCTTGCCACTCAAAGGGAGATTGGTGCTACAATGGTAGCCGCAAAATCCACAATTCCTACATTGTTGCATGGTGCCTGGAGAGATGTGACAAAGAATGCCAGTTTCTTTAGAGCTGTGGATTGGACAGACTTTTTACTCTTTGTTGTCCTCACGTTGGTTGCAGAGCGTGTCCAAGACTCGGTTGCCCGAAAGGCATTACTTGGCCTGGTTCAAACATGCAATTTACTCATGAGCTGAAAGTTATCAGCAGAGAATCAGACCTCAATAAGAAAGTATGTTTAATGCCATGTTTTATTTCATTTTTCATAGTAATTTACTTTTATCTTTTTTCTTAGTAATCTTGTAGAATAGAACATATTCCTAGAGAGTCTTCTTTCTACAGCAGATATTGACATTGGCGTGTTCACAATTAACCAGCACATTATTCAGCATTATCCTCAAATGATTGATCTATATGGCCCACCAAGAGCATATAACACACGAACTGTGGAAAGAGCCATTGATGAGTACTCCGGGTCTATCAAGAGTAACTCCCAAGTCAGTGTCAATGCTGGAAACATCATGATCAGACTGATGCAATCCCAGCGTGTAGCAGAACTGACAACAGTTACAAGCACCAAAACTCCATTAGCTAACCTTCTAGTTTACAGTGCATATACCGATGGGTGGCCTGTTACAGAAGGAGGTGATCCTGCCAATGCTGAGTGTGAGATTGAGTTCTGGGGGCCTTTGAAGAATTTAACAATTTTCAATAGCTTTGAAGATAGATCTCATCTTTTATTGCTTCTTAGAACGTTTTATAATTTGAAGGGGAAAGAATGTAGTATGCTTGAGCCTTCCATAAAGACAAGTCGCAAGGCCTATCTTAACAGTTGTGTTATTGACGCTGCATTCAACCAAAGTTCTACAAGAGAGGCATGTCATGTTCATGTGCAGCTACAAGTGAACATGAACTCCAGAAGATCCGACTCTTACCATCCAGAATATAAGCATTTCTTCGGAAAGGTAGTTATATTCTTCCAACATGTACACAACTCAAAGAGATGGCTACTAGCTCTCATAACCATATATAGTGTGCATTTGAAAAATAGATTGCTTATTACATCTGTAGTAAAACCGAAGACTATAGTGATTCATGCCAGTGACATTATAGAGTTGGTTGGCTTGGTGCCATCAAATGTCAATGGTAGCCATTACATCATTTGGTCTAGCCTTAAACGTGGTCCAAAATTGACACTTGGTGCCTTAAGTGATATATAATTTGTTTTTTTTTCTTTTTGTAATAAATTTTTCTTTTTTTCAAATTGTCTTAACAAATTTTATCCAAGCAGCAGAAAGTTTAGATATTTTCTTTTTTTTTATTTCTGACATCCAATATTTCTCAATTCCAATCTATATTTACAAAAAATGTAAGATGTTTAATTAGAATGGACATTTGTCCCTCCTGGGATTTAATTTTAAGCAATTCATTTGCTTTTTATCAACCATTTCAAAGAACAAAGATTTTCTTGTTTCAACTTGGATTTTTGGCAATCTTTTGATTATTATAGGCCAAAAATGAAGCCACAAATTCGAAAAAGACTATCTTTTTCCCATAGTGTAACAAAAAGGGGAACCAATTGGTATAATATTGAGGGCATATGTTAAAAGAAATAACCAATTGGATACCTGACTTAAGAATTTCTATCCACAATGTCAACTCTGATATATGTGTCAGGTCTTGATCTGGTATTTCTTTTCTGGCACTTGTAACTAAGTTGCAGAATCAATACCACTGGGGATCGTTAAGTTTTTAAGAATAGTTTTTAGATAAAAATAAAGATGCTTTTTATTAAATGTATTTCTTGACTATTTATATAAAATGATAATTGATTTCTGGCTAAAAGAATAGCTACTATAATATGTCTTAGATGCTTGTTGTTCAGTAATATCTTCTACAAGTATATTTACTATCTTAAACATCTAAAACATATGTGATAGACCAATTGACAAAGTCAAGATCTTTTATTCTAAAAAGTCAACCATTACTGGTTGCTTGTAAATCCCAATTTTGGTTACCAATGTCAACTCTGACATATGGTACAATTGGAGATAACTATCTAAGTTTTTGGCACTTTTTCAAACGTATATGACCTTTGCAAAAATCAAGTTATCATAAAGCGAGACCGTGGAAATAATAGATATAATCATTACCTATTGTTTCCATGGTCCAGATTTTTTCTGGCTGTCCTAGATAAAAAGTCATATACCTTCAAAGTTGGGACATAATGGTAGATCTACAGCAGAGTTTGCCTTTTTTTACAAAATTAAAAAAAACATATATGATTATTACTAACGGAATTTAAATAGACTTCCCAATATGGAAATGTATGCTAATGTGACTTCTTTTTCCGCTTATGCCTTTAAAATTTTTAGTTTACCATATATAAAAAAGTGTGTATTTTACTATTGGAGTTTTCTCAAGAGATAATTGAAATAAATTTAACAACTTTGATACTTATTCCTGATTACATCATAGCTTAACAAAAGTAAAATAGAAACCGAAACAGACACTACGGTGGGATGAATGGCAGTTGGACCAAAAGTAGGCACATAACTGCCATTTTTTTGGTCGAAACCCAATAAAATCTCCACCATTTGTTGTAAGATGGTAATCTCATTCGTAGCAATTTAAAAAAGTAACATAATAACACTTTTTTTGTTGCTGTACAATATTTTCAATACTGTAAAAAATGTTTGTAAGTTGTAATGACCACTTTGAGTATTGAAATATATGTTTTATTGAATATCAAAGATGTCAACAATTATTAAGATTAATAATTTTTGGAATGTGTGAACGAAATGGTAACATAACTGCCATTTTTTTTTATTTTTTAAACTACGTTCTTTTTTTTTTAGATATTCTTTTTATCTTGATGAATTGGCAATTTGATTTTATTTAAATCGCGTAATGGCGTATAAAGCATATAGGGAATGAAGAGAAAAGCATAAGATGTATAGAGAATAGAAAAAAAACCAGAGTATATAAAGAAGAAAAGAAAGACGGGGCATATAGAGATTAAAAAAAACATAAGAAATAGAGAAAATTAAAAAAAGAATGTAAGATACAAGGATGATATAAAAAATATAAAAGATATAAGGATATAGAGCATATAGAAAAATAAGATAAAAATAAAAAGGATTACAGAATGGAAAGATTGCCTTTAGTAATGCGCATGTTGTTGTTAAAGATATAATAGGGTGCGATTACATAAAACTGGTTTCCATTCAGTGGGTATTGGATCAGACCAACTTGATGACAAATATCATTTACACTTATAACTGCATAAGTTGGTTGCGTTTGATGGCCTAGTATACGGGTGCTTTGTGACCGTTGTTTGATGATAGGTACTGATGAGTCATGGCCAGCCGCGTCATGTTCCTTCATGATCTCCATGAAAGCAAGAAAGTGTGGAAAGCCATAGAAATCTACATGCTGAAAGTAGAACTGTACTGTACCGATGAGCCAGCTGTGAACAATTACATTACGGTTGCTAAAATAAATAAATAAATAGAATATAAGCAACTTTTGATTGTATATCAAAAAATATTATACTTACTTTCTATAGGGGCAAGTAAACATCACGTAATGGTTGCCACGGCTGGTCTCGTTTTTCTTTCTTCGGTACATGCATGAGGAATATACAGTCGAGTCCATCCACAGACGTGCAGCTACAACAACAACAGAGTCACCAAACTCATGGCCAGTCAAGCCTGTTGTTCTCTGGTAGTATTTCAATAAAGCTTCCTTCACACTAGGGCTGCCTACACCTTCCACCGAATCATTGTTCAAATTAACAAACTGATGAAACGGCTCCCACAACTGCACACCACTAGGATCATTAGGAAGGTCCATGTAGCTCTCTCTTCCATATGGCTTTGGCCGAATGAGGTTGATTTCATCACAGATGCTGATTGCCGTGCTGGTATAATTGTGAATTGCAAATCACTCAATGAGAAAACTGGCATTTCGGCCACCCTTTGATTTGGACTTTATCAATTTTGAGAAGACGCCAATTACTCTCTCCATTGAGCGAGTGGAGTAGCATTGCAGGGGGCCTTGCTGCTTGATGATATAGGGTATATGGACCAGGTAATGTTGCACTGGTCGGAAAACACTACGAGACAGGGTACTATTCTGGACTTGTTGATATAAAAACGAGTGCCAGTGCTTGAAGTATCTATTATTAATATTTAAAAAATGGTAACAATCAGCTATTTGTAATGATAATATATGAGACGTATAATAACATACGACTCTATCTCATCAAGCAATTCTGATGTCAACGTCCATTGCAAGGCAAGCGCGCAACCTTTCATGAGAGATAATAGAGCTGTTTTGACAGCCCTATTTGGTAAATAAGGCACGACCAAAGTGGGGACAAGGTATAAGAGAAAGTCAAGCCAGTCCACTGTGCGAGTACCATCGATCTTGGCAAATACGTTGTCGAAACTGCCTTGAAATGAGGTGGGTATATATTTTCGTGAGCTGGTGATACAGTTTCCAATTGTTACAAGGTCTGCTCTTGGTATATGAAAAGGGTATTCAGTGGTATTGAGGGTATTGTCTGGATGGGTATAATAAAATTTGGTTTCCTTTGTGAGGGTGATGGTAATCAGGTCATACACAAGCTTTCCAATCCCTCTTGCAATTAAATGAAGTTCATCTAATACAAAAAATGATGATCCAGAGAAGGTTGAGAGTTGGGTATATATGCTCAGCTGGTATATGTTCTTCGACTATTACAAGCAGTTATTTAGTATGAAAAAAAGATGGCTAATTGAACATTTGTATACTTACAGGGTTGCCTACTTTGAAGTCTTCCAAAGGTCTTAACCGGGCGGAAATGTCATCAAAGTACATGCCATGCCATCTGTTAGTAGGGCATTTGCCTTTGGTCTCACAAAAATGGCAACCAAATAAACTTGTATGGGAACCAATGTGGGCCATATCAGCTACAGCTGGAATATCGCCAGAAGCAAGCAGAAGATAGACCTTGGATCTGCAAAGCTCTACTCCATTGTGCTTGACAACCAAGCCATGTGCCTCAAGATCTCGCAATTCATTGATGATGGGTATAAGAAAGGAGTCCAAATGAGTTGGCTTCTTGGGGCCAGGCAAAATTGCCAGTTGCAAAAGGTATTTGTTGGTATATCTAAGTATTTTATTAGTAATTTTTTTTTAAAAAAAATGTAATAATAATAAATAGTAATAAATTAATTAATTACCTGATGGATAGGTCTAGGTTGAATATTATGCAATGAATGATGGTATATGAGTTTTTGCCTTTCTTTTGATTGACAAACCCATCGGTATAAAGCCCAATGACAATATCATCGGGATTGGAGAACAGGCCCTGCTGCACCAACTGCTTGTAATTGTCACCATCAAAAATGTCGGTTAGCTGACCAGCTACAGATTCCCGGTTTGCTCTGTAACAGAGGAGTTCTCTTGTGGCTGGATCTGCCAACATTTGAGAAAGCATATCCCCAACTGACATAAGTTTCATACTGGCGGCTGGTGTCTGACCTTGATCAGGATCAGTCTTGTATCGCGGTTTGCTGCAGTCAACACAAGATTCCTGGTCGTAATTAATGCCATACAATCGACAACCACTAGAGCAGACATCATACTCATGGTCCTTGACACTTGACTTTGACTTGAGCAAAGCATCAACAGTTTCGCCATGACTGATCTTACCCCCAGGTTCTAAAAAAAAACCGATATCACTACATGTTAGTGATCTGGAATTAAAGTACAAGATAACAGAAAATATAATATTTTACCCATCATTATATCGTCATGGTCTCGGATGACAGTGTTTATAAATTGAACAATGTCTCTATATGCTGCTCTAGCAATTCTATGCTGTAGCATCAATTGAGACAGATGAATACTCATCAACTCGGCCTTGGTAGAAGTATTTGTACTGATTTGACTGCTGTTGTAAATGTGAGCTTCACCCTCACTGTCCTCAAAATTACATGCGCACTTATATGAAATAGTATTATCAAGCTCCATAGACTCCATAGTATATTCTGTAATACATTATTTAGTAATTGGAAAATAAATAATACAATTACAGCTCTTTTCATTACCTGAATTGCTAACAGATTCATCTTCATTACTAGTATCATTTTCGTCATGGTACATGTCAACATCATCCAGAATAGACTGGTCAATTTCAGTCATTGTTGCTGAATCTCCTCTGTGAATTCTCTTGTGGTTTTGCAGCTTCTGGTAGTTATCAAAAAACAAGACACATTGATCACATTGGTATTGCTGTGTAGATATTCTATCTCTCTGCTGGCTGGCGTTGGAAGAAGACATATTGGTTGGGTTGGTACGTATGTAATATATAAAATAAAGCTGCGAAGAGGATTTTGGTACTATTTATTAAATGTAAAAGACATCTTTATATACTCTTTATTTTTTAACCAAAATGCTTGCGGCTCTTTTTCTTTTTCTCTCTCATAATGATGATATAGCAATGATTACAGTAATGTCAATGCTAGGTGAAACACCTGTCAGTAAATAATTCCCGTGGTTGGAAAGATTCTTTTTCATTAATAATTATGATGTAAGTTAAAATACTTCTTGGTTGACAAGGGGGTACCATTAAAAGAGCACCGGTGAAACAGACACGTACTCTTTACTTGTGAGCGATTAGATATTCTTTGGGCTTTATAAAGAGGTATATGTATATTTAGGATAATTAATGACCAAATAATTTATGTTTTTTTTTAAATAAATTATCAATTACTCTCTAATACCAAAGGCAAAGAAAAACAGCCTTCTAATAATTAACAGTTAAAAAAAAGTAGTACTGTCTAAACATATTGGTAGAAAAGACATATTTATATTATCTGTGTTGTACTAATAATATTTTTGAGATAGTGAATATATATTTAGCTAATAGCATTATTTTCTTGTTTATGTATAAAACTTAAAGAAATAGATATAGATAATGAGAGCTATAGTCTGATACTCTTTTACTGACATCATCAAGATAAGCACTACTGATCGAAAGGGGTGTTAATTGAAAGTGCCGATGTGAGTTAAAGCACACCTTTTTCAAAAATGTACGGTTTCAGTCAAAAATGCCCCTTGGTAAATAATAGTAATGACAGTTAAAATTATTTTTACCTTTGATGACAGCATCAATCAAAACGCGTTTTAGTCGATAATGATAATAAGTATGATATGAACTTGAGTATCATAACATTTACTTTAATGTTGATAAAAAGGGGCTAATTAACTATATGATGTTCAGATGTTATATAGCTACTGTAGAGTATATTTAAAGTTATAATTTTAACTGGTACAGGGTTTTGTCATCGAGAACTTTAACCAAATTTCATGCTATATCTGCAATATGTATAGAGTTATATTATTATATTATATACTTTAAAACATTTAATATGTAGACGGTGCAAAGTATGAACATATATACATATAATATTGATTTAAAGTCTAATTCATTTTATCTTTATATTTCTTACAGTTTTGTTGTGTCGACACAAAAAGACTGTATCATGTTCACATGAGCTACTGCAGAAAGGTGCAGACAGGTGCATACAAGTGCATAAGCATCCCTTCTTTTATATGTTTTGTTTGTACATCTGTCTGTATCTTTTTTATATAAATAGCTATCAATTGCTTGTAATAAATCGTTGCCTTTCTCAAACTCAAATCGCTCTTATTCTACTTGTCTAAACTATCACCTTTTCTTTTCAACTCACTGCTTATAGCTAAAAAAAAACTTAAACATGTCTGATATTAACACAACTCTCCTCAATTCAATTCAAAAGATTGAGGTTGATCTTGCTGAAATCAAGCAAGCATTGCGCGAGTTTCAAAGGCAATTCAGCAATCAATTTGCGCCAGCAGTCAGTGCGGAATATCTAACTACAATGCAACAAAGCATTATTGAGCAGAGTTGTAAGTCATATATATTCTGTACTTAGATGTTTATTTACTTTATTAATATTGTCATATATTTTTTGTAGCTCTTGAGCGCATTGCCAAGTCTGTGAAAAGAGCCCAGCTCACAGAGTACCCTGATCAGCTTGGTAAGTGAGTAATCAATACTGGCGGCGAGTTCAAAGGAAAAAACAAAGCACAAAAATACAATCTGTTGCTTCAGATTCTTCAAGAGCAGGACTGGAAGGCGCGCTACAAAGAAGTTCCACAAGGGCAGCCTTTGCCCCCATTAGTCCCTCTTTCAGACCATGATTTGACAGTAAAAAGACTGCATCTCAAAACATTAGGCCGTATGGTAAAGCATGATATCATTGACAAAGACTATCCTGCGGCCTCAAAAGAATGGAAGAATATCCCAGAGAAAAACAGGGAATACTACATGATGCATTTGGAGAGGTTGGCGAAGAATGGTGGATTGCATATCCACCAATGTAAAAGAATGTGGTGTGCCAGAAGCCTTCTTCGGAAAAGCTTCAAGAGTGACAACCAGACGCACAAGAGAAGAATGGCAGAGAAGAACAAAGTAAGTTTATCAATTAACAAATCTATATATTGTAAACTTTAATTAACATCGTTTCCTTTTATTATGCTATAGACACAGTGAGACATAAGTGATTCTTCACTTTCTTCTCCTGATATGTCAGAAACTGGTAATGTTGAGTCGCCCATAATGGCAGATGTGCTGTAAGTTACCATTGTTGCTTTTTCTCATGCGCTGTTAATACAAAACTAATATAAACTTCTTACTCTTTTATGTAGGTCTCCTCCACCCACAGCAAGTGTCGAGCCTGCTCGCAAGAGAAGCCGAAGATCGTAGTTTGGCTGCTGTGATTGGCCAAGTTTGATTTTTTTAGTCTGTCTTTAGTGCATTTTTTTTCTTATCTCGTCATTTTTCTTTTTATGTTTTTTATTCCTTTTTTCTTTCATATAAAAAATTTATCAACCTCTTTCATATGATTGCTAATGTTGTGATTACAAGAATTTGAAGCTAATGTACAGCATCTACAATTCCGCTACATTCAAATATAAAAGGAAATAGTATATAGCCTTTTTTTTGGGAAAAAAATTAATAATAATATTTTTGTACTGATATATTATACTTGGGAGTCGTTCTATTATATGTAAGTATATTGAGTAGAATAAACACGTTAAGCTTTCTAACAAGATGCTCATTCTGGTTGTATGAATCAGATTCGAATTAGCTTCATGTTACATGACTTGAAACTTTGCTCAAGTTTTTCTTCTTCTACGATAATGACTTTCTATAGTGCTTATGTTTTATTGCTTTTCTTATATATAGATTTTAAATATTAATACATTCTTTAATATATATATATATTCTTAAAGTAAATGCTTATTTTACTGAACAAGTAAGCATATTATATAAAGGTAAGCATTATAATAATATTATATCTATTTATTTATTTTAAGTTTTTTCTCTAATATTAGTATATTTGTAGAAATTGGTAAAAAATAATAAGTGCTATCTAAGATATATTAGAATACCCAAAGTATATGAAATACAATTTGAATAGTAGTGTTTTACTGCATACGTTTTGCAGTAGCTAAACAGAACCATTTTTTATTGCGAGTGGCCAATGGAATTGTTTTTTCATTATTACTATTATTATTATCATTTTCATTTAATAAAACATGCATTGAAATAAAGATTCAATTCAATTAAACCCGATTCAATATTGTATAATAAAAAACAGACCATTCTGTTAAAGCTGCAAAGGAAAAACAAGAGGTTGTGCTAGAATTGAAAACAATAGAACAAAAGAAAGAATGTAATAGAGGAAAGGAAGGACGCTTGATTTTTTTTTTGAAAAATGGTAACAGTGCCTGTTTTGGCTTTTTACATAATAAATAACTGTCATTTTTTATTATGAAAAAAATGGTAACAGTGCTTGTTTTGGCTTTTTACATAATAAATAACTGCCATTTTTTACTATGTAAAAAATGGTAACAGTGCCTGTTTTGGCCTTATACAGAGTCATAACTGCCATTTTTTATTAAGTAAAAAATGGCAGTTATGTTACCAAAGTGGTAACATGTTACCATTTTCTCTGCCGTGGTGATTAAAACACTGTTTCTGGTTTTTTATTGGCTTGAATACAACAGGCAAAAATATTATTTATTTATTATTATTATAAAGACATAACAATTCATTATAAAGACATAGTAAATTTAGTAAACGTTGTACTTGTTTCCTTTTTCTCTTAACACTTCAAAGTAAAAATAAATAAACATTATGTCCCCAATTCCTGAACTCTACAACGAAAAGTGCCATTGTGCTGGATATAGTCAGAACGATCTCATCTATAGTTTTGTTGCCAGAAGAACTGCTCAACGTCATAACAAAAGGGTAAGACTAAATGCCATAAGATGTGAAAGGGGTACAATATTTGAATTTATTTAATTGCATTGTAATCAATGAAATAACTTGTTATAATAGACATGTCTACCCAAAGAAATATGATGGAGATCAATGATGAATGTAAGGTTTATTTAATTCAGATATTGTTAGATATTAACCAAGTGTTATATTCTAAATGCAGCTATCTTAACCAATCAACCCGGAGCCCTGAAAGAATCGTATACTAAGACAAACTCACCTGTTTGGGAAGGAGCTTCAATGTCTGACACTGAAGACGTTTCCGTTACTAATGACGTGATCAGCAATGACAACAATGATGACAGTGGAAGCAACAGCAATGAAATCAATGAAGACAAAAGCGAAGACAATGTTATTGAGCTTGACAACAATGAATTGAATAGTGAAGGTCAGTTAGTGTTAAAAATTTTAAAAAAAAGCATTAAATATTTTTTATAATAGACCCTTTTGCCACCCCTGATATGCCCCAGAACCCAGTGCACAGGTTCATTGCTACTTTTGTGGTGATGTTTGCTTCCTGCTATGTGGTTGACAAGGGTGCCGTTGTCTTGATCGAGTTCATCAACAAGCTTTTGACAATTTACAAGCAGGATTTCCAACTGCCCTTGAGCCTTCCTGATCTTCAGCGCATGACAGGTTTCTCAGCCATGACCAAAGGCATAAAGAAATTTGTTGTGTGTTAGGATTGTCACAAGGTGTACAAAGAAAGTGCATCTGTCCCGTCTCATTGCGATTTCGTAAAGCTTGGTGCATGCTCGTCTTGCAACTGCCAATTGACAAAAACATTAGCATTGGGTGCTTTGGTGGCCAAGCGTTCATACTTGTACCAGTCCATCATTAATACTTTATGAATGTTTTTTCTTCGTCCAGGATTCGAGGATAAAATTAGACATTGGAATCACGAGCTGAAGATAGTGGATATGATGTGTGACATATACAATGGTGCCATGTGGAAGGAGCTCAAAGACAAAGATGGTGTGCAATTCACAAAGGATTCGCGTTCATTAATGTTGACTCTCAACATCGACTGGTTTCAACCTTTTGATAACGTCACGCACTCGACTGGTGCCATATACCTGGTAGTAAACAATCTGCCTCGCAATGAAAGATACAAGCCAGAGAACACACTTCTTGTAGGATTGATGCCTGGCCCGAAGGAACCCAAATCTGAAGAGATAAACCATTATCTCCGGCCTATGGTAGATGATCTGATAAGATTGTATGAGGGACTGGCAATCCCAACTTTCAAGTGTCCTAGTGGTGTCCGCGTCCGTGCCACATTGATGATGGTGGCCTGTGACATCCGGCAGCAAGAAAGACAAGTGGTTTCACCTCGCACAACAGTACATGCGCATGTTACAAGTGCAACAGACATTTCCCTCACTTGGAAAACGGTGTCAATGTTGACTTTTGTGGGTTTGACTTCTCTCGGTGGGTGCTTCGTGATGGTGTAGAGAACAGGTTGCATGCTGAAGAGTGAGAAAGTGCTAGTACCCCCTCAGAAAGGCATCGGCTAGAGGTCAAAAATGGTGTTCAATAGTTGCAGTTGCATCACCTTGGATATCTTAATCTAGTACGTGGAACGATCATTGATCCCATACATAATTTATTCCTGGGAACGCCTAAAAGATTGATGAATCGTTGGATCAAAGATGAAGACATTCAAGATAGCGATTTTGCGGCAATGCAGAAAATTGCAGAAACAATGATTGTGCCTGGTGGATACACCTCTTTGAACTCGAAAATAGGAAAGCAGTTTTTGTATATGAAGGCAGACAAGTTGAAGTAATGGGTGCTCATATACTCGCCAGTTCTGTTGAAAGATGTTCTTGCAAAAGATAGATTCAAAAACTGGATTAACTTTGTTGATGCACGCTGCCTGTTGATCAAGCCAACAATCACGTTCAATGAAGTCAACACTGCCCATCAGTTTCTTCAAACTTTTTGCACCAGATATGACGAGCTGTACAACGCCAAAATCCTCACCTGTAATATGCACCTACACCTCCATCTTCAAAATACAATTTGTGATTTTGGACCAGTGTACGGTTATTGGCTATTTGGGTTTGAGCGATTTAATGAGTTGTTAAAAAATTTGAAGACAAACAGAAAGATTGGGTTTAAAGAAACATTTATGAAGATATTTATTGAAGATGTGCACAAAGACGATCTTGTCAAAAGTTTCCTTCAGAGTACCCACCAGACATCTGCATTTCCTCTCCTTACCAAACTCATTTCTTCCTTTACACCCGCCACCATTTCATCCATCCATCAATGTACCTTCCGCATACAGTCATTTGTCAAGGCTTCTAAAGATCCAAATGTACTTGTAAAAGACAACGAACCTCTCCCTCCTTCCGCATTCCCTCTATCATTAAAATCTGCTACCACAATGAGTGACATTCACTATGTTCATCTCTTACAATACTACAAAGTTGCATACAACAATGAACAATTAGTTCACTTTCAACAAGCGTCGGAATCACCATACTTTGTCAACAATACAATCACCCTGTTGAAATACATCAACATCCTTGGGCAGGTCTACAAGGGTAAAGGTGAATCTGGAAGTCATGGCTCTCTTGTACAAGCAAAGTTCATTGGAAGTACTAGTGAGCATATCATAGTATACACGGGTCAAATACAGTACATTTTCACCCATTCCTTTACTTCTCCACCCACCTCTTCATTGCTTACTTCCTTGCTCCGCACCCATTGCCACCCGATGCAACTTCTTCACACTTCTCAACATATTTTTGCATTTATCAAATGGTAAACACCCGAAAATGATAAATTGTGAGAGTACGAATACATTGAAATCTGCTTTCCAACATTTTCTCTTGACGATTTCCAATGTGTATTGCCAGTGCATGGAATTATGTTAGAAGTAGCAACTGCTAAGTACACAACACGCAGAAAAGTAAAAAAGATGCTGGTCATTCCTTTGCCAAAAAAACAATACATTTAAAAAATAATAAAAAATATAACTCCTTTTTTTAAAGGCACACAGAAAAGAATAATCATAGTGTTTATATTTGTTGGTACATTTATCATGGTCAGATGGAGGATGTGGAGGATGTAGAGGATAAGAAAACAAAATTTATTGAAACTTATCTCTAAAAGCCCAGTGAGGGAGAAGGGACGTCAATCTAGGCAGGACTGCTAAAACAGTATCTCTACCGAAGGACCTCTTCAACATCTGATGCGAATTGAAATCCATGCAATTACACATAAAATCATCAACAACTGCAAGAAAGTGGTTGTACTAAATACAAATAAGTGATTAATCAAAGTTCTGTTTCATTTAAATTCATAAAAAAACCAAAAAAAGCTATATGCAATAATGTAAACAAAAGAAATTATCTCATCGCTCCTCCAACTTGGACGCACTGTACGAATCGCACGGTTGCTAGAGACTCCAGGCATATTATCTTCAGATTTGCCCTCAGACATTGCTTCTTTCTGTAAGAGCCCGTTGCAGCTCTTACCCACCTTCACATCAATTTCAGCCTTGAATGTATGGTAGGTCAGCTTGCGATAGTCAAAATGCTAGTTTATAGATGTATTAATATGAAGACATTTAATTTGCAATCAAAATATACTTCTAACATACATCGTTCTCTCGATCTGCTTTTCTTGACCAAGAATTTGTCTTTTTGCGCGCTTCATAGAATTCCTTGATTCAGCGTCTCGTTCCACAAAAGTTTGTATATATAAAATTGCTAATATTGGCCTGTCAAACACTAGTCCCAACAACCTTTGGAGCCAGGTATGCATGAAGGTCATGCATCAGCTGTCTGTTGGGTGGAAGTCTGTAATCAACATTAACATCCCAACTGTGCTTACTGTCATTAGCTGCAACTAGTTCTGTCTTATTTGATTTGAAGTTGTATTTCTTCAACTCTTCTTGGATAAGAGCCTATACTTAGTGTGAGATATTATGTTGATAAACTACTGTACATCTCAACACTTACTAAAATTCTAGTGTGATCCTGTTTACTAAGTTCACCAGCGTTTGCATCAGTAAGAATCACTGGACCAACAGAAGGAGCAACAGAAGGAGCAGCAGAAGAGATACCAAAAAAAGCCTCAGAAGGTGTTGTATATCAATCTGGAGTAGAACCAATGGAAGAAGCTGCGAAAGGGACAAAAGCAGAAGCAGGTATAGTAGTAGAAACAATAACTACAAGAAGTTCTCCAGAGGCATTGACAATGCTATCAAGTATTTCCAATGAATCTTTGTTCCCCTTGATGACAATGCCAATGTTTGAATCCATGGTCTTGTGGCTTTCCTCCATAGCAGTGAGCCTTGTGGTATACTCACCACAATTGAGTGAAGAACAGACCCCACAACCAAACACTGATTCCTTCTTGCTAATGAACCTGGCAAGTTAACAATCTCCGGAACTGTTATATGCCAGGCACATGTACACTACACACTCATACAATGTAAACCAATCATTACACAACAGGAATTTGAATTACAGGGATTTGAATAGTAGCAAATATAAAAATAATATTATTTGGTCTCCTTAATAAATAACACTCTCACAGTATCTACTTTTCTCATTATTGAGATACTAACCCATAAAAAATCCCGAATATCTCAACTGACATCTTCTATGCAAACCAATAACATTTTTGTGCAGTTTGTCTTGTATATAGCATCCACAACAAAGACATCAGAAAAACTTTGAGCTATCTTGATCCTTATATTGTTTGTAAGAAATATGTGTGTGAGTCTATTTCTTTTATTGAACTTGTAGAGAATGGAAAATCTCTTTGCTTCCATTGTTCTGATAAGCTCAGTAGCACCATGGGCAGATTTCTTATACCCACGAGTAGCACTATACTTGACATTGTTCATATTGCTGATCCTCAGCTTTTTCATTCCTGTCACCTTGTCACTTGTTGCCTTCTGAACATTACAGAACTTGACGTGATTCTCTAACATTGTCTTTGCAATAGTGACATCTTCAGCAGTCAAAAGAGACATTCTTTCTTAGTGAGAAGTAGCCAAATTCTCAGAGGTGACAGGGTGGTTGTGGCAATGTTTGTTTTTCCTATAGGCAGGCTAAGGAAGATATCTTTTACTCTTCTTCTTATAAGAAAATCTTAAGAGATAGGGGCATCCAGTAAGAGAAGAGTTAGATGTCTTCTTTCTTTTCTCATTACTTATATTGCACTTGTCATAATAAACACCAGCCATTGAACAAGCGATGTGAAGAATAGGAAATTTTCTATTCTTAATCTTAATGGTGAAGTTATTAGAAAGAGTGTAATTGTTTATGGCTTGAAAGACACTCTGCTTGTCAGGATAACTATTCTCAGGGATGAGAGATTTGTTTTAAGCGAGTATATCTTCTCAATAGGGGTATTGAAATTGGTGCTCATATTTAATAAAAGGTCACTGTAGCTATATAAGTATTTTTATTGATTCATGTATGCAATGTATGCAATGTATGCAATGTATACAACGTAAAAAAGGCATCATATCTTGTTATTTGGAAATATTCTTTTTTATTCTCACAGCTAAATGTTAATGACTTTAAAAAAGGGGGTGTTTTTATTTTTCCCAGAAAATTGGAATGATCTAAAGATGGGGACAGGGGTGAGCTTATAAAGAATGGGGATAGAGGTTCTCTAAGACACTTTATAGCTGGGCCTCGGACTAGCAGTCACCTTAAATTGTGCAGTATCATTATCTCATGTCTCCTAAAACTGCTGTAACAGTAACAAGACCTCCATCTCTCTCTCATTTCTTTGAAATCTTTCATAAAACTTCTGTGACTCCACATTGGTTATTTTTTAGTCTCACCAAATCCTTTTTCAATATCCTGGCCCACTTTTGTAGGTTTTGATTATATATGACATTTGTAATCAATGTCCTATAGATATCTCAGGATTGTATAAGATCTGATAGTACAGTAGAGCTCTTTGTTACCTTTCAGTTATTAACAAGTTGACACACCAAGTACCAAAATGTCTGTTGGTAAATGAAGTTAGGTATTGAATTGTAAAAAGATGTCAATCAGGAGCTGTTTATGAATATCATTGCACTAAATATGATATTAAGGAGATCATCTGAAGTGATAATGATCTTATTTCTTAGTAACTCTTTATATGCATTATTGGCAGCAGTATTCAATGGGAGTTTTCTTGTTAGAGCTTTATAAGAAAATCCAAGATTATTTGCAAACTCCTCAGACTTTTATGGTATATGATTAACACATTCATGAGACTGCAATGTACTGTGACTCTCTTTTTGACAACTTCTGCACAGAACTAAAAAAGAATTATTATTGAATTTTTCTTCTTCCTTTATATCTATGCTTATCTTCCTTGAAACCAAAACTTAGACTTCTTTTGGCTCTACTGGATGGTCTAACTAACAATAGTAGTTAACACAAAAAACATCTATTAGCATAAAAATGTATATAGAAAAGATAAGTTTAAATATGTATCATAGTCAACCAAAACTTATTTATTAAATGTGCATTTATAATACTTTTTATTTGCATGTTCTGTTTCTCTATAATTCTTACACATCATGTCTATAGCAAAAGATATACAATTAAAAATGATATAGACTTGATTAAATCAATTACTACTTTTTATCTTTAAAAGGATCAACTACATTTTATTTAGACTTGTTTTCGTTAATGACTGAGAACTTCTTTTTGAGAATAAAACTTTTGAACATGTCAAAAAAAAGGTAAAATAGAAAGAAATGTTAGCTGATATCAAAATGTGACTATCAATTTATAGTGTATTATAATTAATTTATTAAGAATACATGCATCAGTTAAATGTCATATGTAGTTATAAATTAATCTTTGTAATTGAAATTATTCTATATAGCTTTTGTTAAAACGAATAATAGTCTATAGAGATGAGTATCAAAAAGAGCATATAAATTATATTCACTAAAAACCTGACAATATAGAAATTATTAAATTTATATTTTTAATGTATTTATAAAAAAAAATAATCAGTAAAAAAAGAGCATTTGGATTGTCAAAAAGTTTTAATTGTTTTTTTCTATAGAATAAGCACAGCTTGAACATCTCTTTTTAACTTGTATTCAATCCTTGGTGTAGTTACTATACACTATATATAATGTTGTTTGAAATCTAATTGCTGAAGATGCTTTTAATAAACCTGGGTATTTGTGCTGAAATAAAAACACAAAATTCAAAAGTCTAACCGCTTTTCAAATTTTTGATAAAGGCTAGAAAACAAGCAGTAATTACTATTACAGTTATCACAGCAATCAAAACATCAATGAAAAGCCTGTCATTATAATGTAAACAGATTGTCTCTTTGAGTCATTTAGACATAGCTTCCTTCACTACCACTCTAGAGAACTTCTTCCCAGAAACCTTGCCACCAACAACAGACAACCCATACCTACTATAATCTGCTATTGCACTTAAGAGCATCCACAGCAGTCTGTGTAAATTTAACAAGAATGTTAATTTAGCTAAAAAATTTAGATTTTTTCATCCCCAGCGGATTGCTTAACAAAAAAATTTAACTGATTATTTCTCAATAATAATTACTGGCTTTTTAAATTTAACAATTTACAAAAACATCCAGGGCTTTTTTACATACACTACTAATTTTATGAAGACTGCTGTGAATGGTCTAAATTATCTCTTTTAAATGCGTCTTTTTTATTTTACGTAATTATTTTAGTTACACATATCACTGTGAATGCTCTAACTCCACTATATTACTACCATCAAACATCACACCCACCCAAACGGCTACTATCACTTCTCTCTCTGCAGCTAGCTACACTCAAATTGCTCACACTGGTCTGACCTCTTGCCTTTCAACCACTTGTACCAGACATACTCTTGGCCCTTCTCTCACCTCTTGCTCTTGGATATAACACCAAGGCACTGTGGCGCACTCCATTTTTTTGACTTCTCCACTGCTAATTCAAACTGACTGAATGCCTTCTATACAGTATCCCACGCCTTGTTTACTGATGACCAAATTTTTGTTGTCATCACTACGACCAAGAACTCTATCATCTCTATCGAAATAGTTTTTGCTTCTGCTGATCTCAGCTCTTCTGTCTTGCCACAGGGCCTCACTATTTTGGATAAGACGATCTACCCCATCCCTGCCATTCTTTCCACTTCTCAACTCTTCTAACTGAATCTTACTCAGCTTCCTAATGTTGTTCTCTCTGCTCACCACACTGGTCTCTGTTCCTGTCTTACACACTATGGACACGTCCACGAGATTGTCATTTACTGTGAACATGGTTTCTTTCTAGGCTTTACGTATACCTACATTGCTCAACCTCCAAACTCCAACTACACATTGAAACTCCTGACCCATCACATCACTTATGATCTGTATAACACAGCCACATTCGTTGCCACTTAGAATAAGATGGGTATGCATTGCAAGTCTTGCAAGGATATGTGTCATGTTATTGAAGACTGTGCTGAACGCCCAAAAGAAATCCGCACCTGTCACAGCTGTCATTAAGTAGGCCATCTTCAATGCGTTTGCTTGCAAGTCACCATGCCCATTCCATTGGCTGCTTCCAATTGCAAATGCCCTAAAACCTCCACTGCTTCTCGCCCAACCACTTGTCAGCCTCCTATGCCCACCTCTGCCAATATCACCACTTGATTATATAACAAGTTTGTGATCTTGACACAAATGAATGAGAACACTTGACATCTCACCAATGGTTCTAAATTGTCTAAGTATGACCCTGCACACCCTGACTATGGCGAGGTTCCCAAGCCAGCTCAGCCAGCCCACCCTGCCTCATCTACTACAGAACAGACAAACAACACGCAACTCAACAATGAGGATGGACAGATATATATGTCAGATAGATCCAGCATATATGACTCTGCTGAGAACATTTGATTTGACATCAACGCTAGACTGGCCTCCAGTACATTCAAAGAAGACAAAGCTAAGTGTCTAAAAATTTCTTACCATAAACAACAAGCCACTCTGCCATTAGAACAAGCCCTTGCTGCAGAGGCCAACCAAGGATATGAACAAGTTATTCATTGCTACTCTTAACTACCAAGGTCTAGCCAAGACCAATAATACACACACCCATAATCTTTTTGTTTGTTATCATCGCACACTACAACTAGATGTTCTCACTCTCCAAGAAACCCACACCCACTCAGACTCTCTTCAACAGACATTTGATCTTCAATCCCGTTCTTCTTTGTCCTTATGGTCACCTCACTAAGGCCTGGTTTCATTCTCGCCTTCTATCACATTCACTAACCCCATTTTTAGTCTGTGTGGTCTATCTATCTCTGCTACTCTCATTCACTCTGATTTACATTTTCTCTTGATTCGCATTTGTGTCATCTATGCACCTGCAACCTCCCAACCTCATTATTCGTTTTACTCATCTCTTCTTTCTAATCATATCTTTATCTCTTCAGCACCATCCCACTTTGTTTTGCTGGGGGTTTTCTACTATATCTACTATCACTCGTCTACCCCTACTTGCTGCACACCCAAGCAATGAATAAAGTATCTTCAAAACCATTTCTGCGACTGTGTAACTATCCCTGGTGAATTACCCATATCCACTTTTCATTGAGGTCTGTTCTCCTCTAGTATTGACTATATTTCTGCTTCTCCTGACATTGTATCTCACTGACTGTCTTCATTTGTACAGTATATACACCCTAACTGGTCAGATCATTGCTTGCTCTGAACAACATTCCAGTTTGACTATTCTACACACATTGGTAAAGGGTTGTTGAGGGCCAGCCCACATCTTGCTCGCAATCCAAATTACTGTGCTAAACTCTCTGATATCATTTCTGCTCTCATATGCAACCTACAATGTATAGGCAGCATTCAATGACAGTGGGACTAACTTAAAGAGGAGGTTTGTCATTTTATTCTCTCTTACTCACGTCGCCCTCGCAGATCTATTGTCAACTTGGAACACTCACAATAATGTACCCAAGACATTCTCGTCTGGAAGTTCATCAACAACCCTTCACGCAACTACCAGTTACCAACATATCCTCTGCCTCCTGGAAGACATCCAACTCAAATGGATAGAGATCCTTGCCTTGCGGTCTAGTAAACAATGGCCCAAAAATGATAAAAACTCTGCTGGATATCTTAAGTTTACTATTGCCTCTTGACAAACATTCAAGACTATTGATTGCTTCCACCATCCTATCACTGACATACTTTGCACCAAATCTGATAGCCTCTCTGATGCTGCTGCATCTTTCTACAGACAGCTCTATACTTCTGACCCTGCTTAAGACCATGTCATAGATGACCTTCTCCACCACCTCCGGTCTAATCTCTACTGTTGTAAACAAGTATTGATTACTGCTGAATCTGAGAGTAAGACTGAAGGATAAAATGATATTCTCAGCTATTCCAATCAAATGAATCTGCCTTTGAGATATTATTTAATACACAGATTATAATACACACAATTGATTATTTATTATTATCACTATAACATGGGATATACAAATACATGCATATTATATATATGGCATCATCATATTTCATTTACATATTTCTTTTATTATACGAATGCTTAATTGGGAGACTACAACTACAACTATTTAATATTATGAAACATTACCCAAGTATCTGGGTTGGAATACTAAAATATTACCAATATACTGTAGGAAAAAATGTGCAAGTTCTCGCAAAAAAAAAACTGTATATCTACAAAATCCATATAACTTTGTAAAAAATCATATCAATAGGTGCTGGCCACCGCCCGAAAATTTATCAGCATCAAGAATTTAAGCAGTGTTTTTTATTTCAAACAAATCAATGCCATGACATAATCTGGATTCCAAAAGAGAACAAAATCTAAAAAAGGAAATGGATGCCGACTAATTTTATTTTGAAAACATGTCCAAGGCAGATTTCCTGGATAACAAAAAAGGAAATCTAAACTACCAGCACTCCTTTTTTGGATTTTAATTTATTTTTTAATTTTGGGCCTTTAAAAACATAAATTTGACATATAAAAGCAATTAAATAAACCAAGTAGTATTTACTTACCTTTTACCAGCTCTACAAACTAAAAACCTTCAATTTAAAATAACTGTGAGACAAGAAAACCTCCCTGGCTACCTTGTATTGGAGTTGGATAATATTTCCAACAGCAACAGCAACAGCAACAGCAACAGCAACAGCAACAGCAACAGCAACAGCAACAGCAACAGCAACAGCAACAGCAACAGCAACAGCAACAGCAACAGCAACAGCAACAGCAACAGCAACAGCAACAGCAACAGCAACAGCAACAGCAACAGCAACAGCAACAGCAACAGCAACAGCAACAGCAACAGCAACAGCAACAGCAACAGCAACAGCAACAGCAACAGCAACAGCAACAGCAACAGCAACAGCAACAACAACAACAACAACAATAACTGTACACCAACCCGTCTCAACCCTACCAGTGCTGTATCATCAGTCAATGATACATCAGCTATTGTCTATCCTGGCCTTTCCCTTCTCATTGACGGTGATTCGGAAACAGCTTGTGTGAGCCTTGCTCAAGAAGAGCATGTTACTACCCCTGTCACTACCCCTGGCTCAAGTGAAATAGGTGGTGATCATGGCCATGGTGGCCGTGGTAGCCGTGGTAGTCGTGCTTGCCATAGTGGTTGTGATGGTCGTGGTGGCAGTGTTGTTGACCAAGATGAGACCGGTACTCAAACACAAGTTCCCAGCCGAGTCAACATTTCTTGGGACCACCAGTCAACTGTCATCTTGTTGAATGAAGTCATGAAGCCCAACTACATGAGCTTGGTCGACATGCCTAACACACAGTTAAGAGGTGAATGGTGGGACCAGATGGTGGTGACGTTCAAGAGACTATTGAGTCAGAATGGCCTTGATGTGGGTGCTTCAAACGACATGATAACACCAAGAAAGTTGCAAGACAAATGGGCAGATTTGAAGAACTTTCATTCTGTTCAGCGAACCCTTAACAGAACAGGTGTTGGAGGACATACGGGTGAAGAGAGATGTCCATACTACAACTATGTTTTCGAAATCTTGCGTGATGATCCATCCGAAAATTCTGGCGTCAATGTTGAATCCATGGTTCGTGATTGGCGCCATGGAGTTACGATTTCGATGACATCTAGGGCTGAAGCTTCTATAGCTGAACTGCAGAGAAACATTGAGGTTGCTGCTTCTGCTTCTGCTGTTGCATCTGTTGAACCTTCTCTTCTCAGTACTTCTGACATGAATATTGCAACAGCCACGTCAAACAGCAACAATAGTGCTGGTCCTTCTAGTAGGCTACCCACCAGGGGTACAAGACGAACAAGAAAAGAATATGAGGCAGAAAGAGATGACATGCTCTTTGAAAGACTTCTGGGCATGCACCGTGAGAGTGAAGAACGCACAAAGGAAGTCTTGCATTCTCTCGCTGCTTCAATGAGAGAGGAGAGTGAAGCCCTTCGACGAGACCAACAGCAACAGCACCAACAGACGTTGGAAATGTTAGAAAGGATTGCGAGAGAGCCAGACAATCGCCTGTTAAGTGTTATTGGGCCTTTCTTTAACACTAGAAATAGAAACGGTGAAAATAACAATAATGATAACAATAGCTAGTTGATTTTTTCTTTGTTCTACAAAATATTAAACTGAAAATATAAAAAAACAACCTTTGTTTATCTTTTGTTCATTGGTTTTTTATTGGTTATATTGATCATTATTCCTTCTGCCCCCTCTTCTGGAGATCGCTCTCAGCTGGCTGTCTTGTCTTTTTTGGCGTCTTTGCTGCCTCTGCTGCTCTCGAAGGTCAGCCTGAAACCATCTCGTCTGGGTCTCTGTCAATGGTCTCATGACCTCCATCATTCTTTCTCTTCTCTGTCTCCCGTGTTCTTGAGAAAGATTATGCGCAGACTGGAGCTGTCTCACAGAACGATTCACAGTTCGTGAAGCATTCTCCAAATCCACAGGTATCTCGTTCATAAATGGATCAAGATCCTCAACTTCTATCTCCACGTCATTATCATCACCTCCATTTGTGTACGCATCAAAACCATGCACTTGGTTCTCGAAAGTACAAAGAGTGTCCTCCAAGATGTTCCTTGCTGTGTTGTTGTTATCCAAACAAAAAATTGGGAAGAGCACAACAAGTGATAATGGTAAGAGTCATCTTGTTGATACCCAAAAAATACAAGTGTCTCAACAAAAAATGCCATTTCTGTACAAGTAAGCCAAATGCATTTTCAATGTGATGGCATGTTTTTGCATACGCCTTGTTGAACACTTGTTGCTTGGGGTCTTCGGTTGTAATGGGATATGGAGGGAGCATATTTTTCATGATTGGAAATGCAGAATCTATATTAATAGAACATTGGATTAAAAGATGTACGTTTGTTAAACAGAAGCTTTAACATAAACAATTACCTGCAAGAATGACCGTATTGTTGGGGAAGTAGTAATCTTGGTCAAAAAGCATGTTTATGTAGAGAGAGCTATCTGTGAATAGCCTTGCGTCGTTGACATGGCCTAAGTATTTTTCAGATTATGAAGTAATAAATTAGTACAAAGCTTTATAAGAAATTTCTTTGAAGAAAATATTACCAGATTGCCCTGTTCTGACAATCATAAAGTGCTTGTTGGCATTGCACACAGCAAGGAGATTCATAGAAGATTTGTTGTGGCGATCCACTCAGGAGTTTCCGTGTAAAGAGGGCTTTTGAATGGAAATAAGCTTTCCATCAATTGCCCCGATGACACCAGGTAGACGAACACCACGTCTTTCAGGTTGCTCGAATTCAGCTGCCCTTCTTGCTGCTGTTTCACTGTCATGGACTCCCCAGTTTACGAACTTATCAGAATAGTCTGACATGGCAGTAATGAACCGCATGGTAAACCGTGTGTAGGATCCAGCACTGACACCAAGAAACTGTTCAGTGAGATGGTAACCAAAATGCGTGTTTGCAAAGCGCCAAAGAACTGTTGCAACTTGAATTTCAATAGGATAGCTATTGTTATTTAAAACCGCCTCGTACACCTGATGCTGGCTAACGATGTTAAGAAGTAACTCGAAGTTTGCACGGCTCATTTGGTATTGCAACTGGAAGCTGTTGCTCCCAAGATCGTCAGTCAAAGTTGGATGGCGTACATACCACCATTGTCTAAAAACACCATATCTGACATGATTTACTTCTTGAGGGCCGCGTTCCAGGGTGAATGAGTGTGATCTGCAAGTGTAGATCATAAAGAAATAATCGCAACTAACTAACTGCAAACTTTCAATCATGATGTTTGCTGCACAATCAAGAAGTTGCTGTCTGGACCGTTCAATTTGTTGTTGCAAAATCAAATCCTGTTTACTTATTTGATTCAAGAGCAGTTCAACGTTGGTTAAGTTTGCATTTCTGCGAGAATTAATAATAAAGGCCAGAAGTCGAAGAATCTCAGCAGAAGAATCAATGCTGGTGTTGTTGTTGTTGTTGTTGTTCATTTTGAAGATGTTAAATAAAAGGTTGTTGTTTAAGAAAAGGTAATTAAAAAGGAAAAAGGCAGGTTATTTTAGCACATCTTTTTACTTTTCCAAAATGAGACAAAAATAAAAAACACGTGATGTCCCTTTTAGAATGCTTGCAATACTGATATATTTTCCATGCCGATAAATTTTTGGGTGGTGGCGAGCACCTAATCTTACTAAATTTAGAGTGTTCTAAGCCCCTTTTAGAAGCTGTGGACCCGTGATTAATCTTTTTTTCATGTGTTAAACTCAGACGCCTATTTTAAGTGAGAAAAAAAAGACGACTGCTCTTTTTTGTTTACAATTTTGATCAAGGTTACAAATATAGTCAATCAATCAGATATACCATTAATTCGGATTTTCTGGTGATGCGCAATTTTAAATAAAATGATAATGACAATTAATTTCGTTGAGTAATATCTGAATAAGACGAAAGGTTTATATACATTTATTAAAAAGAAAGAGGGAAAAAAAAGAAGAAGAAAAAACTACTGATTGTGAGTCGGCAAGGGTCAGAAAATATGCCTAATGGCCCCATCCTTAGTATCGTGAACGAGGTCAGCCATCCCCTTGATGGACTTCACGTCCACTATACACATCTCACCCTGTGAGCGGTTGCTTGACACAGGGAAGAGCATGCCCGGCAAGGGCCTGATGTCAAAAAGACTCTCGGTGGCTGCAAAGAGCCTGGTCACTCCTTTGACAGTGTGGGAAAAGAATTTGCAGACAAATCCATAACTTTCAAAAAACATAATTAAATTATGATTAATATCAACTTTTAATAATGTAGAATATAACTAACAACACTTACTCCCACATATGTTCAAGCACAATAAGATTATTAGCTCGAACATGTCTACTATCAAAGGAGGACTGGACTCTGTAAACCACCAAGTCTTTCCACATCTTTGTGGTGCAAATCACCTCGTCTTGTTCCTCAAAGGAGGAAACTCCTTCTCCTGCCCAGAAAGGCAACAACTGTTAGACGAGGTCCTCCCATTCCATGCCAATGGTGTTGGCCAACTTGGCCATGCTATACCTGGCCGGACTGGACCACAGCTGAGGACCAGCAACATCATCACTTGCAACCTCGAAGTTGCTGGTCCTTCTGTCAGCTGGTCTAGTCCTGACTGGACGGTTGCCACAGCAGTGGCTGATAGCTGCCATCCAGAAAAGAACATTTTCCATGTTTTTTCCGGGCTCCTTACTGGACTTGATTGCAGATGTATAGGTACTGATTGTGCGTTCTATCAGACGGCAGCTGTAAGCCCACAAAGGGCCCATTTCCCACAATATGAAACCAAGTTGAACCAGCATGTGCTGGTTCATCACAAATATATTGGATTTCAGCTTACCATCCAAAATCTTGCACCTCAGGAAGGAGTGCCAGTGGCCAATTGCCCTATAAAACTCATTAAAAACCAGATAGAAATATATATCTAAGTGACTTACTGCTTCATGGCAACAATGTCGCTAGTGGTGATACTCCATTGTTAGACAATGAAGCACGCTAGTACCAGATCTCTCACAGCCTGCTTTGCACTGGTAAAGCAGAGGTGGTTGATGACTACAGTTGGAACAATGAACAAGAGGAAGTCCATCTAATCAACAGCTTTCCTCTTGCTGTTTGATTCCTTCATTGACCTTTACATACTGGTAAACGCCATCAGTATATCCGCTCTGGATGTGCTGACTGCTTTTTTGATGTCGTCTAGACTGACATTCAGGGCAAAGGGGTACTCAAGTCGTTGCAGACGTTTTTGCAGGTGCATGCTATGGGATTTTCTGCCCGGGCCTGCAGTCCCAGGGCAGAATTTATCACCAAGGGCTTGATAGAGCTGGTGCCCTGTTCTGTGACCCAGAAGGTGTATCTCATCCTGACCAAAGAAAGCAGAACTGATAAATGTGAGTAACTCTGCAAAGGCATTGTATCTCCTATCACCAGATCTGTAAAATGATGTTAGTGTTTTTTTTTAATATTTTATAACTTATGCTTCCTTTGGCTCTGCAAATGCTCCCTACGTCCCTTATGGGGGCAAAACCCTTGCTCTTCAGGAAGCACATGGTCTTGGCAATACTTTTATCACAGGCAAAACAGTGGTGGCAGCTGTATTGTGCATTGTGATGCATAAGGTTCATCAAGTAAGAGACAGCTGGAGTATTTCCAGTTGCCATGGCAAGATGAACCTTACATACCACATACTGGTCTCTGTCCCAGCACTTCACTCCACTTGTCTGCAAGGCTCACAGGTCAGCAAGAATGGGCTCCAAAAACGAAGCAATGTTCTTTGGGTGCTTAAGCCCTGGGATGATGGCCAGTTGCATCATGTTACCCTTCTTGTACCTAAATATATTATATTAGTATATATAAATATATATCTAAATCAATGTGATTTATTTACCTTTTGGCAGGGTTGATATTCATGTTAATAACATGAATGATGCTAGCTGACATGGTGGTGTCCTTGAAGGGGTTGAACTGGTCAACAAACATAGACACCACCATGTCACCCTGGCCAACAATCTCAGCTGTGAGCAGTCTATGGATGCCATCTCCATCAAAGATATTCTTATGGACATTCGATCAGCTACCAGCCAAAACCTCTGCGCCATAGGCGATCTTTGCCTGTTCTTCAGGGTGAGCTAACTTGAAGCATAATTGCTCCAAAAGAAGCACTACCTGGTATGTCTGTACAGGTCATATAGTGTATCTCTCATGCTGATATTGCAGTCCATTGCAGTGAGGGCACACCTCATTCTCAATGATTGAGTTTCCAGGCCTGACATTGGGGAAACAAAAGCACTCACTGGCACACATGTCATACACTTGGGCCTTTACAGTGTATTCTTGCTTTAACAAGGTATCCAACTTGTAATATGACAGAAGTGAATCTGTTTTAGCTAATACAATAGTAAGTATATGTAATATAATAGATATGTGATAGTAATAAACTTATGGGATCCACATTCTGTTATGTACTCATTTACTATCTTGACCGACTAATTGTAGATTTCACGAGAAACACTGTTCGCAATAAACAAGGAGAACAACTCCAGACTAGCAGCCTCAGCACGGCTGTTGGGAGTGTATATTGGTACAAACTGGTCGTACTCAATGTTGGCCTGCTCTGGTTCAGCTTGGGCCATTCCTTGGTTTCAGACACGTGTGAATCCAGGACCATTCTCTAATATATTTATATAGTTAATATTTAACATAAACATAATCATATGTAATAATGTTATTATTAACATTTTCTTTTAATTGTTCTTACAAGAGGTGTACTCCATCTCAACATTGCTGGATTTGGCTTCCATATGAAAAGTGTCCTCTTCATCGGCCTCAACATTGTTAGTGGCAGCAGCCAAGAAACCATCAAAGTCAATTGAATCATTGACAGAGGCTTTATTGTTAATATCCATCATGTCGTAAGCTGGATAAGTGATATTGATATCCATTTGAGTGGGTTGTTGCTCAAAGAACGAATTGTCAAGCATATAACCACTTGTTTTGTTTTTGGTAACAGGGTTACATAAGTCATTAATGTTCATTTTGAATTATTATTTTGTATTTTAAAAAATAGGGATGTAAGGTGGAAAAAACCACTTGGGATTTGATATTAATCTTTATTCCATCAGTGGACAATAAAAAATTACAAGTGTGCTAATTATCATGAAAATTTTTTTAAAGGGGTTTTAGTTGTTTGTTTTCTTTTTATTTTTTCTTATTGTTTTTGTTTTACACTAATTTTTTTCATATTTTATATCCTCATATATATATAGTTATAAAAATGTCATCATTAAACATTGCTCAGATAAACCAGCGACTTATGACACTGGAGGTTGCATATGCCCATCTTGAGGCCAGGCTGGAAGGTGGTGAGGCTGTTACCAAGCTGGCCGCCTGGGAAACCTCTGATAATATAGTCCCTTTTCTATTTGCCATTAGTGACAGTACTATCCCACGCCTCACTCTCCATAATGGGCCAAACCACTGGGCACTCTCAGTCCATGGTGTCAATGCAGCCTTGACATTGCACTTTACCAGAGGTAACACTACGGAAGCAAAGGTTCTGTACAAGGCGATCGGCAGAATCGCTTACAAACTGGTACAGACGACAATCTGGGGCTACCATATGAATGGTATGGCTATTTCATTGTGGAGTAGCCTGGCGCCTAACCAGAGAAACATTCTAGTTAGAAGCATCGAAGAGAGGGCATCCAGGAGGAATATTCCTATTGGAAGGTTTGAAAATTCCTGGGTAACCCTCTTTGTACTTTCTCAAAGGTGGAGATCTGCCATCTTCCATGGAAGAACTTGATAACATGTAAGTTACTTTTAAATACAAAGCCATCTATAAGATCAAAACTAATACAAATCGTTTGTTTTGCTTTGTTTGCTTTATTTTATTTTATTTTATTTTATTAGGGTAGGCAATACCGAGTTTTATAGATGATATTTATAAAAGCATAATAAAAATACTATTTTGAAAGAAAAATTGTCATTAATTAGAAATTAATTTGGTATCTGTCATATACATTTCTTCTATTATTAGGGGGTTTCATTATCTGTTTTAGATTTTATTTTATTTTTCTGGGATTGAAAAACACTAATTATTGGCTGGTAAAAATCTCTTAAAAAATAAAATCTCAAAAAATAAAATCTAAAAAACTTGGCTTGATAATTTTAAGATTTTATTTTATTTTTGACTTAGCATTTTTATTCAAATATTATAAATAACAAAAAGCATTACTTTACTTATATTTTCTGTTAACTTTGATAGAAGTAGTACATTATATTATTTAATATGTCTTAAATATGCTTATTCAAAGACTTTTCATAAAATTTAGCCCATCAGTAGCTCTATGTAAACAGTAAATATATCTAGAATAATAAACAAAAAAAAAGTGATTTTTTAAAAGACTTTATATATTAAATTAGCTAACATGAGGGGGTGTTGTATTTGATAGTCATATAAATTTTTATAGAACAAGTCCTATCAAAAACACAGCATTAATCTCAGGAGCCAATGATAAATACGGACCTGAGAGTAAAGAAACCTTATAAAAAGGGCGTAACTGTCATAGTTAGTAGACCATCTTAACCAATACCAACTTTCTCTTTTTCTCTTTCAATAAAACTACTATACAAAGTCTCACTTTATTTCTTCATTTCTTCTCTAAAATTAAACCCAAATATAACAGGGAGGTTCAGTAATATCTTTTTATATCCATTATTATTGGTTAAAACTTAAAGCTCAGAAAAAATAAAATAAAATCTAAAACAGATAATGAAACCCCCTATTGTTTGTTTGTTTTTTATTGCTTTTTTATTTTTTTATTTTTTTGTTTTTTTTATTTTTGTTTTTTTATATATATTTCAGAGATCAAAGAATAAAAAATAAAGCAAAAACACAAACAAAAACCTATTTTTATGTGATGCAATACGTATTTCTCAACCAATTGGAGAGCTGATGAAATTACTCAAAAAAGGGTAGTTGGATTTAATATACGTATCTAATTGGCTGGAAAAGACTGAACAGCACTGAATTAAATTTAAAGCCATTAAATTTCTAGTATCCGATTAGATTAAAGCCATGACACTGATAGTGTAATACCGCATTTTTATTGGTCGATACAGAACGTGCAAGTTTGCATTTTTTGACCCAAATGTACAATTGCGGGATTACAAATTTTGCCATTTTCCACAGTGATAGCATAAATGCTCTTCTTTACCAAAACTCTCGGACTGATCTGACTGGAGAAGTATCATATCAATTGGTCTTTCCAGATCTTTCCAGAAGAACAATACTCCTGGAAAATGACTCATTAGGGACCTTGGTGAGACAATAAGAGCCATTTAGATGCTGAGTTACAAAATATAGATTTCTATCAAACATTCTCTGTCGGAATATCATGTCTCAAACATAGTATATATTTGGTAATCATTGCCTGTTGGAAAAGAAGTAGTACTAAGCTTACGAACAATGATTTACATAATCAAGCTAATGAGAGATTCATTAACTTCTGTGGTGATCCAGACACTCAGATGTTGGATTTATCACATATAAGAACATATTCATATTGGGATAGCGTAGTAGCTATCATCTTGTCAGTATAAAATATATATAAACGATTAAGTAATTGGCTCAATAATTATTACAGTTAGTACTGTAGATAATATCTTAAAGATTGTTAAGATAATTATATCATACTGCCAGGTAAACTGTGTCAGATCGATATGGAGCTAATTTAGTAGGAAGTCCTAAAGCTCTAGTGTAAAAGAGAAAATAATAGCTAAGAGCTAAAGAAGTACAATTTATGACTTGATGTCATAATTGTAACACCGACACTAGTTAAGCAGTAAATACACTTTAATAACCAAATATAGTAAAGGAAGAAAGCCTTAAGAAACTAAGACGTAATGACAAGAGCAGATTGTGTTTTCTTATAAAAAGGGACACTTTTTATTTATGAATAAAAACTTATATACAGTCTCAAAGTATTTCTATACGTCTCTATTATCAAATATTTTATTTTTCTATTGTTTCGTACCTGAAATACCACAACTTCTATTAAATAATAGTCATTTTTTTCTTGGTATTATGTTAGAACAAAAATATTAATACTAACTTTATTAAAAAAATAATGAAAAAAATAAGTAGAGAAAAGTATACTGAAGGGATGCTTATATTCTTACATGCATACATTAAAATTACAATTATTAAAAGTTTCAAACTTAATGTTTTCGTGTGTTTAGCAACAAAAAAATAATACAACATGATTGGTCTATTATGTTTTACAATGTTTGAAAAATTTCTTTCAAGTTTAGCAAACTTTTGAGAAAATTTATCAAATATTCGCGTTTTTCACACCCAGATTTCTTTATACGAATAATTTAAACTCCTCAAAATGTTTTACAAGGTTTCACCAAGGTCTCTGTTATGATAAAGATTGCTTAAGCACACACTGAATTACAAATTAGAAAAACATATAAATATCAGTAGATAGTTCCATATAGAAGAACAATCGAATTTTATTATTCTTTACTTTTCCTTTGAAATAAACAACCTACATGAGTTCTTACAAATTCTTTCGTCTATATTTTTATTTGTTTTATTTCTCCCCACAACATCTACCTATCCAGCCTTGTCAGTTGCTGTCATCCTGGCACCCTTTTCTTTGGACAACATCTGCGCTGGTGCAAACGGCTTCCCTAAAGCAAGCAGCCCAGATCCTGACGGCTTGCCATATGCAATTCTGCGTCTGCTTATAGATAACTCAGACCTTGCATCTCTTGTCACTTCTCTGTACAACGACACTCTTCTCTGTGGAATATTCCCCATCTCTTGGAATTCCACTCGTGTTGTTCTTCTGCCAAAGAAAGGGAACCTTACTCTGCTCAAGAACTGGCACCAGATAGCCCTGATAAATACACATGCTAAAGTGTTCACCTATCTTCTCAACGCCCGAATCATCCCTGCTGTCAGTTCATTCGTGTCACCCTACCAAAAAGGCTTTGTCCGAAATCGGTTCATTGAAGACAATGGACTTCTTGCCAAAACAGTGATGGAGACGGCTTGCAATAAAGGTTCGTCTGCTATTGGTTTGCTCCTTGATCAGGAAAAGGCATATGATCGAATTCATCCTGACTATCTGTGCCGCATTCTTCTCCACTTCAAGCTCCCCACCACCCTTGTCAACTCTACCTGTTACCTCTTCTTCTCAACACAAACTCAGATTAATGTCAATAGTCATCTCTCTTGCCCTCTTTCTCAGTCTCGTGAATTACAACAAGGCGATACACTCTCACCAGTGTTATTCAACCTGGCCTTTGAGCCTCTCCTTTGTCGCCTTCTCTATGACTCTGCATTCTCTGGTTTTCTCCATACCATCCCAACCTCACACCCTCCCTCTGTTCCAGTGAAATATCTTGCCTATGCCAACGACCTCATCATGCATAAAACACAAGCTATTTCTCTGTCTGGCCGCCCCTTGCTTCATTGCCAGGACACTTTATCCCAGTACCAGATTTTAGACCAACACAACTGCCACTCTCCACATGCTCTGATATATCTTGGCTTTCCTCTCTTTACCTTCACCCCCCAACAGGACGAGTTTCTTCCGCCCCTCCTATCCAGAATCTGCAGCACCTGCTCCTTACACCTTTTGTGGTCCTTGTCAATTCGTAGCTGGGCTACCATCCTCAACTCACTTATCCTCTCCAAGTTGTGGCATGTTATGCGTGTGGTGTCCATTCCTGCCTTCTTTATCTCTCAATTCCGATTGGTCATGGGTGTTTTTCTTCAGCATCACATGCTCCCACCTATCAAACTCTGTACATTGTGTCTTCCTTTTGCGTCTGGAGGCCTTGGCGTCCTAAATCCGTCAGTACAACAGAAATCTCTTCAACTTCGTTGGATTTGTCATCTTCTCTTCTCTCCTGCCCCGTCTGTTCTGGTACCTCCTTGGCTGTCCTTTCTACTGCTTGCCCACTCCTCGGCTCCTGACTGTTGTCTTTGGCTCTTGTTCTCTGACCTGCGACCTGCTCTCTTTTGACACTTGAACAGTCTCTTTCATAACATCTTTGCCGCCATCGACCTCCTTCCCTTCACATATGAGTCTGCCACAATCAACAGCACTACTTGTCTTCTTCCCCCTCTCTGATCAGCCTGTGTCCCGTCCACCGCTTTGTCTTTCTGGCCACGCTCTTGGCGCCAACTCACTGTTGCTAATGCATTTCAGTTTGACTCGTCTCTGTTGGTCCTATCTCATTGCCCTCCACGTGCCCGCCCACGCTCCCCTCGTGTTATTAACAAGATATTTTGCCAGATTGATGCTGGCACAATCTTGTTGCAGCCCTTCCTGCTCCGTGCTTGTCTCCCTCTTACTCTCATTCAATCGCTCTACTCGCACATCCCCACTCCAACTGGCTCGTCTCTAGACTTGTCACCATTCCTGTCTGTCCTCATACCATCCATCCACCAACATCATCTCACACCCCAACTATATCAATCTCTCTGCACTCCTCCCAATCTGCCTACCCCTACCCACCTTTTGGACTTCTTTGGCCACGCTTTTGGAAACTTACACTCCACCACCTCATCCATAATGTCTGGTACCATGCACTTCATCACAAGCTTCCATGTCAATCTCTGCTTTACCACATCATACCAGCTTCCTTTCCCACTGACGTTTGTCTCATCTGTCATCTTCACCCCAGCGATCTCTCTCACTTCCTATACAATTGCCCCGCAAAATGGGCTATCTGGTCTTCCGTCTGGCAGCCTTACTTTGCAACTGAGGCTTGCCCGCGCGACATTGCTTCTGCCCTTCTCACGCTCACCCTTCCTACGCCCAGCCGATCCTCTCTCTCTGCCGCGTCCATTATCAGTTGTTGCCTGCTTGCCATCTGGCACCAGCATTGGGCTTCCATATTTGACGATAAACCTTTCCACCATGACACCCTCATCTCTTCTGTTTCTATTCTTGTCTCCTGTTTCCAAGCCAAACTTGATATTGACCCCCTGGCTTAGCTACCAATATTTACTCCTTGCAAAAAAAAAAACACAAAATAGCTTAAAAACAATTTAAAAATTTAAAAAAAAACCCCCAAAAAAAAATGTATTGATTTTTCTTTTTCTTGCTGAGAAGAAACCACAATAAATCTTAGCTACGTCTCCTTACAAGCAGAAAATCGAGTCATTTAGACTTGTAGATAGAATGTCTGAATAGATATCTACTTTGTCTGAAAACTATTTTCTCTTTGTTTAAATTTCATTTTCGTTTCGTCCACAAAAGGTAAGCGTATTGTCTAAAATTACATTTCGATTCGTCTAAAGCATTTCCTAATTTGTCTCAATCTCAAGTAGAAAGACTGTATTAAAAAAAAGAGATGATAATAGTTAACATTAACAATAGTATGGTAATCAAAGGTGCTGGTCTATCGTAGAAGTACATATACATATTATTGTTTTTTGGTTTTAAGGGTACCATAATCTTAAACCTCGGCTAACCGCTTATAATCCAGGCACAAACCACAGTTGAAATGAAATTGGTAATTGCACAATTGAAAATTCAACGCACTAAACTATATACACCAAAGAACTAAGTTTTGTAAAAACTTTCATCTTTTTTCTTCGCTAATCTTCTTGATAGAGATTTATAATGCACCTATACGCTTCAAACAAAAAACACTACCAGAGATTACTATTGAAAATAAGAATCGGTCTAGAGTGGAGAAGTTGTGTATTTTGTAAATACTATACTATACTTTTTTATCAATATTATCCTACTTGTGGTTTGGAGAGGGAAACATTTTAGTAAAAGGACTATTACGTTTCTTCATAGATCCTGCTGGTGTTGACGTGCCGCATCCTGCATCATGTAGATCAATATTTGACATGGTTAAAGATGGAGCGAGGGACGCAATATCTGTACTATATCGCTTGATACTAGAGGGTCGACTGTTTAAGTAGACACCAGAGTCCATTCGCCAAACCTTTATAAATCCATGACAATCAGCCGAAACAATTATATGTCCATTTTCATACAAAGGGCTCTTTTGGTCAGCCACTATATCATCTATTATAGTTCCTAGCGATCCTTCACGCTTAACATCTTGATTGACGGATAACCTTTTCTGTTCTAGATTATTAACAGGTGTGTTATTATATATCGTATCTTTGTTGGTATTTGCCAGAATTTGTCGAGTTTTTGTAGGCGCAAATATTGCACTTGTAACAACAGCTTCATGTGCTTCAAAGTGCTCGTCCCGACTGGGTCTTTTATAGTTTGTACGATGTTCTCGACGCTTAAACCAATTGGATAATCGAGGTGCAATATGTGTTTCTTGCGGATGAGTGGGAGTTTGTTCAGAGGCTATCTTCATCTGCTCCCCAAAGCTATCATGAGAGGATATGGGCTTAATGTGATTTTCTTTGGAATACATTGGCAACGTTCCAACTTTTTCAGTTTTCCATATGTAAACGTTAAAATTTTCTGAGCCGCATACAATATATTGACCATCATCACTAGAGATTTTTATACAATTAGCCTTTTGTTGTTGTTATATCAGATATATGTTTATACATAGTAATAATTCACTCACCTAAACGAGGCTTTAATCAACATCGACACATTCTCAGCACCAGTATATTTGTACAAAAGACTTTTGTCTTTCATGTTGATCAGTCGAATACGTGAATCATTGCTAGTAACAAGAAGCATATCTTGGCCGGGATGGCAGCCAGGCATAGACTTAATACCTGTTATCTTTTTTCCTTTTCGACCTTTTTTGGTTTTCAGACTAATCTGAGTATTGTATTTAAGCCCCTGGGTCTCATAAAAAAACAAGCAGCCAATATAACTGCCCACACAAGCCGTATTCCCATCCCTTGTGAATCCAACAGCTGTAATCATTTGTCCGCTAGGCAGTTCATTCCAAAACGAAACATTCTTGTCCGGGATACTCCACAATCTTACTTTGCAATCCAGAGAACCAGAAAGAAAATAGCGGTCATCCTAAATTTATCATCATTATAGTCAAATAAAGTAAAGTACAATGTGTAAACATGTGCAATAAATACCTACCCTTGGATGGAAGTCTATTCCAGTAACGATGTCAAGATGTTTAAAGACACATAGACATTCTTCACGAGTTACATGCCACAAGCTATTTGTAAGAGAGAGGGAGAGAGGGAGAGAGATTGGATTAGTGTACCATAAAGTGGTTATTAAAGAGTATATAATAACATACCGAACTGTTTTGTCCATAGAGCATGACAGTAAAAAGTTACTCTAATGAATTAGGTTCATTTACAATATATCCCAAATCAGTCTTTTTTGTTTGTTTTTCTTTTAACCGTTCTGGGCAAGTTCTTTGGTTTACCTTTGACCAACTTATATCCAGTACATCAGATGTATGACCACAATATTTGCGGAAGGGAACTTGTTCAAATACTTTTATAGAATTATCTTCGAGTTTGTCAGGACTACTGAGAACTTTCCATACATACACAATGCACAGTTTTCCGCCAGATGCCATGTATTGTCCGTCTTTACTAAATTTCATGGTCCACACAGCATCTGTTGCATCTTTTGGTGATTTTGGCTTTTCATTTGATGTCTGTTGTTTATTCTTCTTTGCTGTCAATATCTGAGCCAAGACAATACGAGTATGGCGCTTGACAAGGTTGGATTTTGACTTTACCTGATAAAATCACAATATAACTGTGAGACATTTTATACTTATAATAATCAACAACATACTTTTACATATGATGCGTTGTGAGGTGGTAATATGTAGGAGTTATTTGACTGTGAAAAAAAACTCGATCGACTAGACTCTAAACTTTCGCGAGGCTCAGAAGCACAGGAAGAAGATGAGCTTTCACTAATACATTCCGATTCCTCGTCTTGCTCTTGATTTTTATGCGCCTTGCGACAATTAAATATTCCTAGACGAGAAAGGATATCCTTTGCTATTTTTCTGACCAAACAAATCATTAAATTAATCAAAGAAGTTGAAAGCTTTCTCAACCACACACACATATATATATATTTCACCTACTTCTTCTGTGTTGAAGAATGATCCTCCAAGGAAGCATTGTATAATTTCCGGCTTTCATCTTTACGCCCATCGGCATTATTGCCAAGACTTTCAGACACATCATATGCGTTATAAGAGTCATAGTTGTTGTGACATGATTTCTCTTTGGAAAGTAATTTGAGTGGTAATTTCTGAGACGCACGACGTACAATATGAGCTGAGAGAGGATCTAGACTATTATATGAATCGCCTAATGCTACTTGAGAATCGGATTTTCTAGCAGAATCCAAGGTTAAAGAAGACACTGACAAATCTCCGTTTTCTAAAATAAAATAGAAAGTCAACAGGATTTTAAAAACTTGTGCATGTAAACTATAGTCTTGTACTACCACTAATTCAACCTACTTGTATTAAGCGGTGACTGTATTTCAGTAGAAAGAGTTGCGACACTTGCCGATCCTCTAGACTTCGTACTCGGATGCCGTTTAGTTTCGCGTGTACGGGAAAGCTGAGGAGAGGAAACCTCTTTCGCGTCGTAGAACTCATCTTCGTCAGAACTCGTCAAAAGCATAGTGTCGTCGAGCGGATTAGAGAAAAAGACGTGGCGGAGATTACCACTCGGTTTTTTCTCTGCATTTTGTGACTTTGTATTTGTCTCCGATACAAAAAAGGACGATCGTTTGAGTCATGCATCAGCGTACACCTTGCAATGACTGGTAACAAGCTCTTATTGTTATTATAATTACTATTCACTATGTTTAAACTAACTTGAGACCATCAAAGACCCTATTGAATACAAAACTATACATGCAATACAGCAAAAATGCGTATTAGAGAACGATTGGTCTTTACTCGAATTGTGTATACGATCGGTGTTTAGCGACCTTGATGTCTTGAGCTTGAGTTTCTTGAACGTAAAAAATAATAACACAATTACCCAAATCCGAATCACATTTCTAACCACATTATAATCTTGCCTGGTATAATTGTAGAAAAGACCCATAAAAAATAAGTCCTGTCCAGTAGATAAAAGCCAGCTAGACCAGACTCTCAAGCTGTTACAGATCGATGCAAGTCTCATCTCCTTTCTGGTCAATCAAAAAGGTCTCATCAAAAGACCCAAATCTCCTTTACTCTAGTGTCCTTCATCAATCAGCAAAACACTTCTTGGATCTCTTGAAAAACTATTACATTCATATGCAAGTGATAAGGAGCACACATTCACCCTGCCTCAACTTAACGCCATGGTGATAATGTTTCAGGTACATACACATAAGCCAAAATCTACCTTTATTTTCGAAAGTGGGCTGTCTCTAAAAAAACATTGTATTGGTTTTCCAGTGTTTTTTCTTTGAGAATGAACCATCGACAACTATCAACACAGATTTGTGCGCATTGATTGCTGGACTTAGCCATACATTACAGGATACTTTATGTGTATACCTTATAGAAGACCATTCTTCTTCCAGTCAGTCATCAGAGAAGTTGGCAAAGAATACATTTAATTACCTCCTGAATATATTTCACAATGTCGTACGTGATTGTGTCTCACTGCCCTCAGACAGCGATACGCTCGTACGCCGCTTACCTGAAACAAGCTTTACTCCAAATTCAAATCCGGCTGTTATTGATGCAACTCGATGTCTAGCAATGTTATGTGAGTATCACATTCTCAACTTAAGTCAAAGTAAGATAAGAAATAACGCTACTAATTTATGAGTAAATACAGATAGATTGAATGAAGAACTTCATTACGTATCCTACACAGAGTTTTATAATGATGCTGTTAATGAAAACTTAGAAATTAAGGAAGATTTTCCAAATTTTAAGGATCACAAAGGGTACATATACAAAATAAGTGACGGGTGAAACATGCTTATATTTTTTATTTGTATTCTTTTCAGATTTTCTTTTTGCGACTATTCTTTTATTCTTAATCCAGCAGTAAAGGCTGATATTCTTAAGGTAGAAAGTGTATTTCAAATGCGACATGAGCTTCAGGATGCTTTTTTTCGAACACTTCTTCAAGGTATCAAACAAAGAAACCAATTCATATATACTGCAACATTAATTCATTGGAACAAATAGGCGTGAATAGTCCCTACCTTGTATTGGAAATAAGAAGGGAGCATATTATCGCCGATGCTTTACAACAGGCTAGTACTTTAACGAAAATACTTTTAAGGGAGTCTCATTTTAATGTGTCGAAATTAAAAAACGCTTTCGCAAATAGCTTTACCAAAAGTCAATTCATGATCTCAAGAAGCAATTGCGCGTGCAGTTTGTGGGAGAAGAGGGAGTGGATGAAGGAGGTGTTCAAAAGGAATTTTTTCAGCTCGTTGTTAGAGAACTTTTTGATCTGAAGTATGGTGAGTATTAATTTTCGAGGAAGTATATTACTGTTATTATTTGCTGACTTCCAATATATTTGAAGACATGTTTACTTTTAACGAAGAATCTAGGTTGTACTGGTTTAGTGCAAATCCAACATTGGATGAACATACACTTCAAGAGTATCGACTAGCTGGTTTACTTCTTGGATTAGCTGTTTATAACAGTGTTATCCTAGATATACATTTTCCCAGAGCTTTATATAAAAAATTGATGAATGTTGAGGTCAATCTTCAAGATCTTAAACAGCTGGATCCGGTATGGTAATTATTTAGTTTAAATTCAATATTTCTGAACATAGCTATAGAGTCTAGGAAAAGGGCTCGAACAACTGCTAGTATTTGATGGGCCGGTTGAATCAGAATATGAACGAACATTTCAAGTGGACATGGAGTCTTGTGGGCATGTTTATACATACGACTTGAAACCAAACGGATCCAAAATTATACTTTGCAAAGAAAACAGACAAGGTAAAATAATAATAATTAGATGCTTTGATTGTAAATAGCTTGTTTTAAGAAAAATGGCAACAGTTAATAACAGTACTGTTTATTTTTCTAGAATTTGTAAATCTATACACCAAGTTTCTCTTGGATACATCTATGGAACAACCATTCGGGGCCTTTGTTCAAGGATTTAGACTAGTTTGTCAAGATAGTGCTATAAAGGCAAGTGTAAATATTCTTCAGGAAGAATACAATGCAAAGAGAGTATAATTGAAAAATAACTGTGCTTTTGATATATCTCACTCTCTGTATATAGATCTTTAGACCAGAAGAGATAGAGCAGCTAATATGTGGAAGCTCGGATTTGGACTTTGAAGCGTTAGAACGATCCACTGTTTATGATGGCGGTTGGACAAAAGACTCCGCTATTATAAAGTGAGACTCTTTTTTGCATATGTAGATAGTTATAGTAACATATTGTGTCTAGGTATTTTTGGGAGATTGTTCATGAGTTCTCATACGAAGAGAAGAAGAAATTGCTATTCTTTGCTACGGGATCAGACAGGGTAAAATATATAATAAAAAACAGAGGAAAATATAAAACAAATACACTTAACTGGGTATTTAAACAGGCTCCTATCGGGGGACTTAGCAAACTGCAGTTTGTGATTGCAAAGAATGGCGGCGATTCCGATAGGTAAACGTTAATAAAATTGTGTAAGCGGTATATATCTCATGTTATGTATAATATATAGGCTTCCCACATCACATACATGCTACAATGTACTGCTACTATGTGAATATAGTAGCAAAGAGAAGCTTCAGGAGCGATTATTAACTAGCATAAGCAATGCAGAAGGGTTTGGAATGATTTGAGATTGATTAGATTTGGTGCTATAAGCAGCTACTTGATCGTACAGACTTATATAGATGCTATAGTGTATTATTAAATATGACATCCAAATCAAAGCCTACCATCTGACATTTTTATCGCAATATAATACGCTTGTGTACCTTTTCAATCTTTTTACTTATTAAACAACAAAAACAAAAGCCTGAGTATTTACACATATAGTAAAGTTCGTACTAGAGCAAACCAACTTAAGCATGGCTGATCAGTGAATATTGTGCTTAGAATTATGAGAGATGCTAAAGTTTAATTTTATAACTGTTTTCCAAATATTCTTAATCACACCAGTTGGGTTTTTAAAATATGTGAAAGAGATATTCTGTTGTCTTCAACAATTTGCTTCACGAAAAGTCTACATTACGATTAAACATTCTTTTTGAAAACCACAGGAAACTCCGCGCACCACCCTTAAGGCGCGTCACAAAAATGGTCCAAAGGGAGACTTTCTCTGGCTTTTCCGATTTCCTTTTATCCACATTATGAATCCAGCATTTTATTTTAATCAGGCTGGACAGGCTAATGGCCTACCTGCACGGAATGGAAATGGGATGTCAGCTACGCATTACATGCCTCAACCTGCCTTTCGACCAGGAATGGCTGACCCATCTACGATGCAACGCAAACGAGCTCAAAGCAAGGTGAGATTTAAACAAGATAAAGCAAAAGAGAACAAGCCAAGCTGTCAAGAGCGTATGCAATCGTCAATATATTTTGCGATAAACTCTGAAATGTATATTTTATTCCTTTAGCAAGGACCACAGCTGATGGAGGATAATGAAGAAGCATCCGGTGGTAAGAAGACACCTTTTTAATATGTGTTTTATTGGAATAATTGGTATGATCATTTACAAGTTGAGATAGATGAATTGGATGACATTTCTTCCCGTGATATCGCCATGGCAAGATACAAGCGAAATCACGACTATCTATCTGAGATCTTTACACCTTACAATGCAGGTAGATTATGATCATAATCTCAACTTTACAATCCAGTTAATTTGTCTGTTAGCTTCAATTGTGCCTCCACCCCTTGATATCGCACACACCAAGGAGGAGCTTAATAGCCTTATTGTATGTTATAAAACCAATAATTTAACAGCTAGTGTACTTGGATTTAAATATGTATTTTGCTTGAAAAGGAAGAACATGATACCAAGGTCAAGGAACAAAAGGTTACTCATGAAGAACGTATGAAGGCATTGAAACAAGAAAAAGAGAGTTTCTGGGCATCTTTGGCTAGTCTAAATGAAGCAACTAATGCTCAGGTAAGGGTCGATACACATATATATATATATGTATGTATGTATGTAAAATATTGAATATTTGTCTTACGTGGGTATGTATATTTGTAGGATATTGATGAAGTTACTCTAAAGTATGGGCAGCAACAGCAGTTAAAAATTGAGCATGCACTTCAAGGTGTGTTTGTACGTGAAATTCCGGGGATTCAGGACGAGGTTCGTCCGATGGCCCGTGGAAATGAACCAGTGGCAGCGGCATCGGTTTTACCGGACTTTGTACAGGCGTACGACGTTTATGACAAACAACAACACCCAGCCACAGGGATGGACATGTATACTTACCAGCACGATTCTAATGGGCCCACAGAAGAATCTAATGACTATATGTTTGAGGAAATGGTAAATGCAAGCCAGGAAGATGATGATGATCCAAGCATGAGTGAGTTCTTAAACACAGCGGACATGGAGTTTGATAAAGATGAGGACGATCAATAAAACAGAGAATTCCTAAAAAAAGAAATAAGAAGTGGGACAGTGTGACGCCTATAAGGATGATCTTTATTTTCAAAGGCAGGGTTTTTGGAACTTCATTAGAGCTCCACACAATCGCCATTTTTGTTTCTTTTCCAGGTTGTTCTCTTGCTGGATCCATGCCGATGGTAAGCATTCTTGTCATTGTCTAGTCATGTATTGATGATCATCCAGCCAAGCGGACTTCCGTCCTTCCGACCATTGCCCATCGCCAGCCAAAATGTGTCTCGACAATGCCGTCTCCTCATCCTCTTACTGCACATCCTCAGTCTTTCGCCGGCTCTTTTAGGCATTATCTATAACATAAAGGCTGCTTATGATGTACCTAATCGCGATGCAGGAGGACCACTTGTTTTGGGCAATACTCAGACAGATTACTGGGTTGCCAACCTCTGGGTATAGTATTATTAGTAAATACAAGCTTAGAAACATGTTAATAACTTTATACATATGCTTGTTATAACTTTATCCTTGTAACTACAGTGCGTTTTGGCTGGCTATTGGAGTTGGACACTCTCGACAAGCATGATCAGACGGTGGTTATATCATTACGAGATCATCAATGCCATCTTTCGGTTGATTACCCTAATGGCATTAAATTGGTCCATCTCGGCTTATTTGCAGAATCTGCAGGATCCCATCACCATCTGGATGTCGGCGAGCGGTGTATTACTAGTGGGTACACTTTTAAAGCTTACTTTGGCCTCCAACCCAAAGTATTCGCGCAAGGCTGACGCTGAGTCGGACCTGCGCCTTCATTCCAAGTCGACTATCGTCCGAGTACTTGTATTGCCGCTCTTCTTTGTCACATGTTGTACACTGTGGGCAACCATATATGAGATCGGGAAAGTAGAATATAGAAGTAGCGAGCTTATGGAAGGTGTCCAGCTTGATACAACCATTCAAACCAAACAGCTTGTGCTAGTCATGTCGTCCTGGACAGAACAGGGTCGCCAACGTAGACAGGCTATGCGTGAAACGACTCTACAATGGCTTCCTAATGATTCTTATCGGTTTGTCTTGGGAAAACCTCCCTCCGCTTCAGCCCAGATGAAATATGGTCAACTCATTGTCCAAGAATCAAGTGAAAATCATGATATGCTGATAGTACCTTCGTCAGATATTGAGCAAGACAAAAGCCACAAAGTGCTAGAAGCATTGCGTTGGGCATCCAGTGTAGATTATGAATATCTCATTAAAACTGAAGATGATATGTTTGTACGCTGGGATCTTCTTACTTCTGAGCTTATTGCCCTTGGGCCAAAAGCTGAATATTGGCGAGGACTTGCTTATAGGTATGTAGAGAAATATTAGCAAGGTAAAAGGGGGGATGGGATACGAAAGAATTTGTTTTAAAGATGCTTTGTTTTATCTGTAGAAATATGCCTCCCTCTGATGATTCTAAGCTTGCTATGAATACAGATTATGGGATGCCCATATTGCCGGCTTATACATCTGGCTCATTGTATGTAATCTCACATGATGTCGCCGACTGGATCACCCGTGCCAAGACCGTCGTGCGTTACATTGCCCGAGACGACCAGAACTTGGCTGTGTGGCTATTTGGGCATACAATCAAACCCATTCATGATCCTAGGATTCAAGAAAACGAGGTTTGCGAAGACGATTTGTTGGCTATGCGAGTTGGTGGTGGCGATCGGCTTCAGACTATGTATGGCCTTGCCAAACAAGGGCGATCCCAATGTAGTGGGGGACCAGCCATTCGTTCATGTTCTGTGTGTTACCCTTGCCACAAAAGATCTGATGATTGGCGATCCTATAATTTAGAATGTGATCCTGTCAAGGGTATTACTTTGCACAATCAACCATTGGTAACAAAAATTGCTGATCAGACGGTTAAAGACCAGTTAGAAAAATCCCGCCTTGGAGAGAACGATGCCTGGATCATCCCAAATGTATTGTCACAGCGGACTTCGGTCTATTCGGACAACGACTGGGATCTCATCTATTGGGTTTGTTGGACCAGCGATCCCTCCACATTTACAGACCGCCATTGGAGAGCGCTCGAGCTGGTCTGGATTCACCAACCAAGGGCCGTGATTTTCATGATTTCCAATACTCTGTCTACCGACTTTTTCAAGGATTATATTAGCCGTGGTTACAAAATACATGTTGTTCACATAGACAAGGAAAATCTCTTGAACTGGCACTGGTACTTTGGCCCTGGAACACTCGATTGGTTACAGAACTGGGAACGATGGGAGAATGAGTCTTTCTTTTACTGGCACTTGACGGATTATGTGAGACTGTACCTTCTTTACAGCTACGGTGGTACCTACATGGATATGGATGCTCTCTGGCTGCGTGCTCCCCCTGACCCTAATCTCGAGTTTATTGGATCGGACTATTCAAGCGTCTGGTCTGACCGTGAATGGACCCTCAATGACAAGAATCTCTACTTGCCCCAAGGACTGATGCGCTTCAAACGTGGTTGGACACTATTCCGCGAGATGGCAGAGAGTTCTTTCTCGTCATATGCTTATGATCCCAAATGCTTCAACTGCCATGGACCCAAAGCTATTACATCTTATGTTCGTGAGCACAGAGCTCCTCTTGAGGCTGCTAATTTTACAATTTTGCCACGCCACGTTCTTTACCCCGCCAGTTACCTGGAAATTTATAAATACCTGCTTCCGAATCCCAAGGCTGAAGCGGAATTGAAATCCCTTGAGAGTTGGAATATACATCTTTTTGGAAAGATGACCAACAGTCTTGACATCCAGCCGGGCAGTATCATTGATGTATTATTTAAGCGGTTTGATCTTGGACGTCATCACCCGAATGGATCATGGCAAATTATGGGACCTAGCCAACATCTCTATCATACAGGAACCTGGTTAGACGCTCCTCCGGGTCGTTTCCAAGGATTAGACACAATTTATATTCGTGGTGATTTGACCGAGGCACGTCTTGAAATTGAGATTGCCTATGGCGAGCTGCAGGTCGGCACACAGCCATGGAAGGACCGAACAACCCATAGTCAACAAGAAATCAACAAACTACTGAATCAACTCACTTATTCACCATCGTCCGAACTTGTTACAAAAGGTGGCCGTGATTTGTTGGTTGTGCGTGTTGTATCCGGAAACAAAGTCCAAGAAGCCAAGATTGAGGTTATCATTCCGGCTCCACAACGACTCATCTAATTTCTGTTATTATTATTATTATTATTATTGTCTTCTATTTTTACTTCTTTATTTTAAAGTACACTACAAAAACTCATTCCACATACGCAACGTAAATCAGAGACTATTTTTTAAAAAAAAATCTAAAATAGATCTTTTTAGACACGCCTTATTTTTTCTTATATAATTTTTTAATTGTTTTTCATAGCATGTTTTGATTAAAACTAATAATAATAATAAAACGAAGAAATAAAAAGATAAAAGTAGATGTACAGTAGGTATGGAAATGATAAAAATAATTTGTAAGAATAATCAGATATTAGGTAGCCTTGGCATCTAAGCCAGGTAAGGCACCTGCACTCAAGAGGGCCAACTCAAGATCCTCTAATAAGTCCTCGCAATCTTCAATACCAATACACAGTCGAATAAGATCCTCGGGAAGAGATCGCTCGGCACGAATGTGGGCAGGGATAGAAGCGTGGGACATGCGACAAGGCATGGAGATGAGTGAGTTCACACAACCAAATGACACACTGATACTCCACAATTTGGCAGCTTCGACAATACGTTCAGAGATTCCGATATCACCAGTCTCAAAACTAAGTACAGCTCCAGGTCCATCAGCGATTCGCTTGTGTAGCTCGTATTGAGGGTGCTTGCGGGATCCAGGATAGTGAACCTTGAAGCCTTGGTTCTCAAGATATTCGGCAATTCGAATTGCACTTGCCTGTTGCTTATCCATACGTACTGCTAAGGTCTTCACACCACGCAAAAGTAGCCATGAGTCGAATGGCCCAAGACCACATCCGGTTGCATTGATGACGTAATACAATTGGTCTGCTACAGAACTCTCACGAGTGCCGACAATGCCAGCCATCAAATCGTGATGACCGGAAAGATACTTTGTGGCCGAGTGATAGGAGATATCGGCACCCAATTCCAATGGACGCTGCAAATAAGGACTCATCATTGTGTTGTCAACAACAACGAGTGCATTGGGGCACTTTTCGTGGACGTACTTTGCAATAGTGGGTATATCACAAATTTTAATCAATGGGTTTGTGGGGGTTTCCAGTAAAACCAAGCGTGTCTTGACTGGGTCGAGGAAAGGCAAAACAGACTCTGAGCAAGTAGTATCCACGTGATGGGTTTTAATGTTTTGAGATGTGGCAAGGAAGGTCAAGAGTCGATTGGTTCCACCATAGAGATCATCGCCTGCAATGATTTCTTCACCGGCACGGACTAGACGAGTAATAACATCTAATGCGCTCATACCACTTGTCACTGCCAAAGCACGACTGGCACCCATAATCTTGGCCAGATGATTCTCTTTATTTATGAAGATTGATGAGTATGCATACTAGAACCTCATATGGCTGCTTACCAAGATGAGTGCGTGTGGGGTTTCCACTGCGAGAATAGTCATACTCTCCCCCTCCTGCAGCTGTTTTTTGCTTAAAAGTGGCAGATTGATAAATAGGCACTGAAGCGGCATTATGAGGATCGTCTGAGTTATCGACGGTGACGACCTCGGTAGCAAAACGGTACTTTCGTCGCAGGCCAACAGAAGAGGCTGGAGAGCCAGGAGATAATGCGTCTGTCATGGAAGATTAAGAGGAAGAGATGGATAAATAAGAGTGTGGGTTTTCTTGTTCTTTTTTAAAGTGAAAATTAGATAGATAGATGGATGTAGGAGGAGGACAGCCAATCATACGAAAGGCAGATGATCCCATTTGTGACTAAGAATAAATCGGAGTAAAGCAAGAGAAAGAAGTAAAAAAAAAACGAAACATCAAACTCTCATAAATTATGCGGCAATATTGAAGCCGATTTTTATGGTTTTTGGCACCAGCTTCTCTTGCTGGACAACAGTTTCAGTGTGAATATGCCCAGAACCAAGCCGAGGTTGGCTGTCTTGATTAGACCAACCCTCATCGGGTATCAGCCGCGCCGCAACATCATCCAAACCCTGTAATAACTCGGGTGTAAAACGCATGTCAAAGATCTCCAAAACATATTTTCTCACAGGGGATCTAAAATGATAGCTTCCAAGCAACTGACAAACAGCATAGTACAAATCTACCCTCTGAAATGACTCTGGGTAACGTTGGCGTAACCTAAACACAGCAACAAAGAAAAATGTCAGTCATTATTATTAGACTTTAGACTTCAAATCGTTATTGTTCTTACTTGGCCAAATTCTTTGATGCCTCATTGGCCATAATATGATTGCTCATATCTCCAATATTCTTTAGAATATCCGACGCAATTGGATCTCTGGTCGCTGATAGTGGTAGGCGTGGTGGCTGAGGTAGGCCGGCCGAATATTTCCAATTACGGATCTAAGATCGATCAGGTTATTAAGATTTTTTTAGGCGAATAACAAAAACCTAATATTGTATTCATCCTTTATCTCTTACCGTCAGAAAAACTCTTAGGTTTAGCGGAACACAGAGACCTTCGGCTCCACCATGCGGGCCAAGTACACCTTCCCAGCCTAATTCACTTAGAAGCTCCATGCCCTGTTTAGTCTTTGAAATTAACCCGAGCACATAGTAGCAAGTCCTAAAGTATATTGCATAAGCATATCAAAAAAAATGCTTTTCTTTAATTATGCTATACGGAACTTACCCCTTAAGTGAAAGAACCTCGCTGCTGTCAGCCATGGCTACAATATCTTTGACAACATCTTCTTCTTCCAGAAACGGTAGGCCATTTCGTGTAGCTCCAATGTTACCAACAGCCCACAATACTGCTTTGAGTTTCCTTAATTCTTCAACATCATGGTTCTCAACAGAGTAATTGCGGATATCCTTTACGAACAGCTGAAAGTGTCCCCGATCTTTAAGGAGATTACAGCCTTCTTCTGTCTTTGTGAGCTCGCCATAGAAATGAGGGGGAGTAAGTCCATCTCCTGGCTGTCTAATATCAGGATATGCATATACACATATACATACACATGTTTATGTTTACAATTATAATTACAATTATAATTATATCAATGTTTAAGCAAAAAAGTTTCCACAACAACTTACAAGGCCTCAAAATCATTTTCACTATCCACACGCTCTTCAAACGGATTTAATGATTTTTTATCAGGTGTATTGATCAGAGCCCTCGCCAGCGAAAGCTCGAGTTGGGCAACATAGTGTTTATTACGATGCTATCCAGCACCCATAATGTCATGAAAGACAATCAAATGTTGTTATACTAGTCTAAAAAACTTACCTCGAACCACTCATCCATCTCCTTATGCACATACCCAAGTGCATTCAAGTAGCGGAAGCCAGTAGATGTTGAGAGAAATCTGCAATGAAATAGAATCCATCTAGCTTCTATATTTACAACCTATATTTTACGCTTACCTTAACAAAAGCGGGTTTCCAATTTCTCCAAGATGGCCCAAGCTTGGACGGAATTTGACTAAGAGCTCAAGATTGGCCGGCCGCTCACATGCCTCATCCAATAAATTGACTGCTTCTTGACAGACATCTAGATGGGTGTCATATAATTGAGTAACAAGAAGTCGGATGATCCAATCATTGTATTCGCTTTCAGATTGTCTCATAATAACCCCCAAGTATTGTGTAGCAAATAACCGGATAGGGTTGTACCCAGATGTCATAATCTTGGATAACAAGACACGAGGATGGCCATCGAGCGTATAATCTAAGTTGGTAATCATGGCTACTTTGATGTCATCACGGTTCTTAAGTTCAGACAGCTGATAAAAAAGACTGAACAGTTTGAATTTTTCTAGCATCCGTACACCCTCCTTGTGTTTGCTTAAGGTTCCGAGAAGGGTAAAATAACCAGCTGTCAAAGTATTTTCCATACGCTCCTTGGAGAAGATCGGTTCATTCTCAGAGTTGTTATTAAGAGGTCCTAGCTCGCTTAAAGCTTCGCCTATCTCGGAAAATAACTTATTCTCACCCAGATAACGCACACCATCTTGGTGACCTAATAAGGTCGACAGTAAAGTACACCCGTACTTGACATAGCGTGTAATACTAGGTTTGTTGGCCTTGATATCTGAGAATTGGTGTTTGAAAGGGCGATAAAAAGCCAAAAGACGTTTGATGAATTTCTTTCCTCGCATGGCTTCGTCTAATCGTCGTGGATTGAGCAAAGGACCCTGCAAGAGTTCAATAATACTATCCCAGCACCATTTTGTGTAATCTTTGGTATTTAGTACTTGTGAATCCATGAGAAGTTGGCGAAAATGTGTATCGTCAATCGCATAACCGATCTTGAGTTTTACTTCATGGACCTTTTCCTGAGTACGGGTTGATGTGGCCAATCGTTCTCCTTTTGTCGGTAATGGTGTCACATAACGTGCACGAGCTCGAGTGAGTTTGTCTATGTGTGCAAGAGCGGCAGTAGCATTATGACGAACTTGTTCATCATCAAAGTTGGAGGCAAGTGCAAATAACTTCGGTAATGATTGAACTTGTATACCCATTGATATCGGCAGTAGTCGTGTGGATAGTTGTAATATCTCCCCAATAAGGAGTGTAGCTTTGCGTGAAATATAGACATCATCAGATTTGACCATGTCAATTAAAGCCATTAGAATATCAGACTCGATAAAGATAATAAGTATAATACTAAGATGATGGTCGAGAAGCTTGAGACGCTCTGAATTACTGGCAGTTGTACTTCCACTACTACGATCATAAACACCTGCAGGCATTCCCCCGGCAACTATAAATTCCCCCAACAGACCATTTGTAAGTGTGCTTATCAAACCACGGCGAGGAGTAGGATTGATTGGCTCAGCGGCGGACGGGTCAATATGGACTGTGTGTTGTCGACCTGAAAGAAAGTTATTATAGTCTTTAGGCAATTTGACTCTAAAAATGTCAAAGAACATGTCGAGAACCATTTTCTAATACGAGTAAATAATAAGATATCAGCAATATTACTCAATTATAAACGTGTCTGTTTCTCTCTATCTCTCTCTCTCTATGAGAAGGGGATACTTACTTGGGTTTCTGGTACAGGCATCTTCAAGGCCAGGACAACAGATCTGGCTGCTCGCATGTTATTAGCACACATATAGAAGATACCTGCCCAGTTTTTGAGCATAAGAGAAACTACACGCGCACTATTCTTGAGTCTTTCTTCGCAATTGACACCCTTGTTGGATTCGGTAAAGGGTGAAATGAGTAGTTCGAGTTCTACACCTGGTCTGAGGAAACACCGTTTATCAGGAGTATCCAGCACATACATAATTGCTGGCATAAGAACTTCTGCCATATTGAGCTGGCCATCCAATAATGCCTGCATTACTACTCGGAGACCACCTGACCGAACTGTCAGTCCAATGTCCAGAATACCTTTGTTTTTTTTTGTAGAAGCATAATAATCAATTGACCATTTCTTTTGTACTTATCGTAATGTCATTATATACTTACTTAGCTCTGCTAATGTTTCGAGAGAGATGTTTCGTAGACGACAATCTGGTTGTTCTGCAATAGCCACAACCGCACGTACTACATTTTGGCTGATATATTTGACACCACCGTACTCTATAAACGAGCGTACAAGTTTCACGGTCTGTTCACGTTCAGGCTCATGCTGTTCAGGATCTCGTGCCAAGGCTCTATGCAAGCCATAATAAACACCAGGACATAATCAATTTTTTCACATCAATCTATGGTACCTTTGTGCAATTCCATTGAAAACTTACCTGATAATGAAAATGTCTAGTTGCATTTGCATCATCAGCTCTACATCCATAGGCTCTCCAACAAGATATCGCAGGGTACGAAGTGCCATAACACGGATCTCTCGGTTGGGACTTGCAACACATTGTCTCAGACTAGTAGATACCTTTAAATTAGCCTCCTTGCTTTTACCAGATAGTTGTTCAAATATTCTGAATATGTTTCGGGTTAGCTCACCAGGTAACCAGACCACGCTTAGGATAATAAACATCAATGTCAGCCGTTTTTTTAATGAATCGTAGCAACGTTTCGAGTTTTTCCAACTTTGACTCCTTGAGGATAGCTGCTTCATTTGATTGTCCAGGTTTGGCGACTTTCCATTCATCTGCTTTTAACTGATGTATTATGTGAGGTATTTTCTTTCCATTTGGCCAAGCATCTAATGTGTATGTGTGTGTGTCACCAAAAAAGAGAGTGTGTTAAGTTTTTACATCTTACTGGCCCTAATCCACTATAATTATTAAAGTTTTCTACTTGCCATCGTCAGGGAAAGAAATGCTCTCCTGTGAAGCCTTGTATTTTCCTTTGATATTTGGCGAGCTATTAGATCTTCCTTTTGTACGTGCCTTGACAGGATTTGCGGCTGAAAATGAAGCTGTGTTTCCAATGTAATGATGTGTTTTTAGTTTTGCAGCAATGTCGGCAATCTCTTTGCTGTTACTGGTTTGTGTACGAATTGTCTCGATAGATTTTTTGATCGACTCGATCGCCAAGTTGTAACTTTCTAGTTGAGATTCAAGATCTTTGGTGCGTTTTTTATCTTTAATATAAGCTTCTAGCATATTTTCGACGCCAGATTTCATCTTGGATTCCTGATCAAGTTTGAATAGAAGATCATCAAGCTGAAACAAAACAATTCCATTTCAACGAGAATGTTAGAAATATTTGTCTTTTCTTTTTTCCTCGCTTATTTGATTTATCATTGCGTTGCCAAGACTAATTATATTATTTCCCTTTCTCCACTGCCAACCCCTTTCTCCCCGCCCAGTAATACTTACCTCATTAAGCAACTTTGAGGGTTTGGGCGGTGGTGGAGGCGGTGGGGGCGATGGAGGCGGTGGAGGTAATGAAGGTGAATGTTGAGAAAAGTTTGAGAGACCTTCCATCACCTGCGACGGGTGGGAGGGAAGGGACGATGGGCACATTGTAGAGCAGTAATTGGCACGTCGCAAAGAAGAAGCACTGCGTTCAAGCAGTCTGAACGGAGTTGACCAAAAACGGCGATATTTGCACCTCCATTACCTATGTGGAGACTATCACACGTGACAAATGACGTCCCCTTTGTCTTTCTTGTTTCTACCAGCATATATTTTTGTGTGTTTGTGTGCTGCTCTTGTAAAACAGAGGAGTGTACATGATTGGGTTTCAGCACTGTATTTCTTCAATAATTTACATTATTCGTTTGACAGAACTGATTTTTTTTGTTCTTTAAAATTATAAGCCGAGAAAATAAATTGTGCTTGAATAAAATGAGTTTTTGGGTCAACTAGATTTGTGGGCGGCGCTTTTAAGTCCTGTTTTTTTTTGTACACTCATTATTAATTCATAGTTATTGAGGCAAATCCAGACTTAAATATCTGATATATATATATATATATATATGGGATTTAACAATGGAACATTTAGATATTTGGTCATTTTATTGTTATTCTTTATTTTTCTTATATTTTATGAGGAGAAAGAGAAGATGAAGAAGGGGGTAACATTGAGAAGTATATAGAAAGGGTGGAAAAGACAAATACCCTACCTGACAGGTAGAATTGCAGACAAGACAGTATAGAAGAATCATCATGGATTTGAATATAGAATGTATAGAGAGCCAATCAGGGATATATGTCCAGAAATTGAACCGAGAAAAATCCAGATATTTGGATACATTGAACACATAACCTTTTGTAGTATATTTTACTCTCTTTGTGTAGCAAAATCTCATCATCTCCTAAGGCTTTACGGAAATGTCCTTGGGCATCGTAACGATATTTTTGCGTAATCGAAAGTAAGAGTTGCATCCCTGATTGGGGTTCCTTGTAATTGTATGTATATTGTATTGAGGTAAATAAGTATCGGAGTAAAATTCTATTATGGATTCGATCAACCAGATTAAGGTACTTGTATTAGGAGGGTAATCGTGTGAATAGAAAAAACGTGGGGATTATTTCAAAGCTACATATACTTGGAGAATCTTCAGAGTGGGCCGTACGCTACTATCGGATGCTTTTGATGAAATTTTAGTAAACACAGCTCCTGTTCCAGTTATACAGAACAATTAGACGTACTTTATCTAAGTTTTGTAAGCATTTCAATTCAGGCGAGTGAGCCTAGTGCTTTAATCCCTTATTTAGCATAACGCAACTTCACTCAACGTTTTTGTTTAGTTTTATCTTTTTTAAGTCTTCAAAAATGGCGTTTATAGTAAAAAGAACACTATCCTATTTAGGATTGTAGTATTATTTCTTTGTTGAATTTCTCTTCTTCTTTAATTAAGCTATCAAACATAATTTAGAGCCAAAAAAATTCAATTCGTATATAGTTTGTATGAATAACTATCAATAATCTTGTGAAATTTTTAATAACACTAAGGTAGAAAAAAAAACGATGAAACAAGCCTAAGAACTTTTAATGTTTAATTTCAATAACACTACACTGGTTTTGGACCATTTGAAGTCATTTATTAGGGAAAATATATATATAGACTTTATCAATTGATTTGAATCAATATCGAGCGGATAGAGTAAAGGAGTATATATGTATATGTATATGTAGATATGTATATGTGTGTATGTGTATGTGTATGTGTATTTAACGCATAAAAATGAATGTTTATAAAGCTATTGATCACCATGATTTCTCACCTTTCTTTCTTTCTTTCTTTTTTGTACACACAGCTTCAAATATAATAGAATTTATCTTTGCAAAGAAGGTAACTGAACTTATTTGCGTCCATAATGTTTCCTGAATAACGCATGATGCTCTTTACTACTCGACTGTCCACCACCACGCCCACGACTAGCAAACTGTCCGCCTGCGTTACGAGAATACTCCAAGTAAGCCATATTATCACCGCCGGACAAAGTTTTGGTACTTGTCATGGTTCGTTTTACTGCACCGGCTCGGCTCTTGGCTACCACACGACGATCAGTAATTCTACCAACATCGTCTGTGTGATCGATTTCTTCATCTTTTAGATCAGCCTGATACATAGAATAAAGTCGAGAGTTGTCAGTAAAATAATATGAAATACAATTTCGGATAGTAGTATGCTTACCTCATTAGCCAAAAGGACAGCCTTGAGGAGATCCATCTGTTCATTGTGGGTTTTGAATACCAGATTTGGGTCACTATCCATGCCTTCGAGGTTGGTGATGACCTTGAATGCATAACCCTGATCAATCAGAAACTGTTGTCGCTTGGTGGAGTAATACATCTCTTGAGTGTCTCTAGATACAAGCGAATAGAAGAACGCATTAAAACCTTCATCATTACGACGCTTGGCTCGCAAAATACGGCCTAATTATACAGTGGCAATAAGTTAAAACACTGCTCAGTTTATTTTTAGACGCATGGTATGTATTGATACTTACCAAGTCGTTGTGCTTCTTGGCGACGCGAGCCATAATGAGACGAGATTTGGATGAGACATGTAGCTTCTGGAAGATCGATACTGGTATCACCGACCTATGATACACACATAGTTAATACTTGTGATTCTTTAAAATGTTCTTTTAAGAAATAACAGCCTTCTTCTTTATTGATTACCTTGGACAGAAATATAGTGTTGACAGCAGGATTGTATTGAAAGTTTTGTAAAATACGCATACGTTCTTGCTGGCCAGTGCCACCATAAATATAAGGTTTTCCAAGTTTCTTTGCATACTCCTGTTCTCAATTTCCATTGATCAGTCATCTAAACATTTACTTGACATAAAAAAATTTTCGTTTCTTTTCTTACCACTAAAGCATACACATTATCTGAGAAAACAATGATCTTGTCTCCACGCCTTTCATGATACTGAATCAGATATTGACAGGCCTGGAATTTCTTTGGGTTCATAACGTACAGCAAGGTTCGTTTACGGGTATTTTCTCTCAAGTATTCCTTGTAGAACTCAGGTGTCATTGGACACCAGACTTCGGCACACTGAGACAAAATAAAAAGTGAATGAATATATATATCAAAAATGTGGGTGTATTTGTTAAAGATAAATTACCTGCACATTGGCAATATGACCACGACTTGCTAAATCCATCCAGTTGGCTTCATATAGCTTGGGACCAATCAAGAAATTAAGATCATCAATCTTTTCATCTTCACGCACCAAGGTTGCTGTAAGAATTGTAATAAATTATCAGTATAAGAATATATCTAAAAAAGTGAGTATTCTCTATCCCACCCATGATGATTTACCTGTTAATCCTAGCTTGGCGTGAGCAGCAATTGTGGTAACCACAGTACGGAACATGTTTGCTGGTACAACATGCACTTCGTCCAAAAGCAAAAAACCCCACTCACGCGACTCTAAGAACTCCATCATCTTCTGGGCGTCGTACGAACGCTTTCTTTTGTTGGCCACCATGGAATATGTCGATATAACAATACCAGAGCTACCAGAGAACTATTGCATATGTATAAGATGCGACAATTCTCTGGAACTGAAATACTCAAGCTTACCTTTTCTTTGCAATCAGAAGTAAAGACGGCAATTTGATTTTCTTTAATGTTACTCCATTGCAGGAACTGTTGTTTCCACTGCATGACAGATACACTGTATATATAGTAACGAGTTATTAGTATTAGTATTATTAGTATATGTTTTTGCGTTTGTCTTTTTTATACACCATAAACATACACACACACGTAGAAAGAAAAATACTTACGAAGAAGTGCATAGTACGAGACAACTCTTCTTGATTGTACAGGCAGCCGTAATACCGACTAGCGTCTTTCCTGCTCCACACGGCAGCACAATAATACCAGATCGAGCACGTCTAATCAATCAAAAGAATATTGGTATTTTTGCAAACGGTATAGTTTGTGCTGTTTTTACCCGTTACCAAACATCTTGGATAAACTTTTTTCTTGGTAAGGACGAATAACAGTTGTAGGTTTGAGATCGATCTCAAGATTGGCGTTGATCGTATCGTTACGGAAATCGTATTCTTCCAGCATGGGATAGTCAATGTCATTACATCTCTTTTTTATATTCTATAAACCCACCAAGTATATATATAGTAAGTTATCTGAGACGTTTAATATTAGCAAATCTTCTTACTTCTACTTGATCGGCAGCAATTTCAAAAGCATGAACTTGTTCGCCCTCATAGTCCTCTTCTTCATCTTCTTTGTCAATACGAACAACCGCACCAAATAATTTTTCATCTTCTTTTTTGCGCTCTTCTTGTTCCTTGTCCAAAAGACTTTCTGGATCGACTTTGCCCTGGTCTTTAGGTTTTTGAATTCCTGGGATTGTCAAATCTTTTCCTGTCGGTTTGCTGTTGACCATAAAGATATTAGACACCGAGCTGTTCCCGGCAAGATTTAAGATTTGATCGTTTTCGTCACGAAGGATTCTTCCGGCATTAATAATAGAGTCCTTGAGTAGCATTTGAAGGGTCTCTGGATGCGACGATTCGACATAATAGCGATTATGCTTCAAAACAAGTTTGACTTTACCGTAGGATAGCGTACATTGTCGAATAAATTGTGTAATTGAATCAGGGACTGGTACTTTAGATAATCGATTGAGAACTTCAATAATATCTTCTGTTTCTAGTCCAACTGACACAGCTGCATAAAGCGAATATGGCGTTAACTTGTACTCTTGTATATGAGCAGGTCTATAAAATATAAATTAATATCTACGTAAACACACATTTGTATAAATGCACACACACTCGTATATGTATATATATATATATATATATTGGTCTTTCAGAATTATATAGTAATATAGCGACATTCTTTTTGGTTTGTGTATACATGTATATATGTATGAGATAAAACGTACCGACTAACAGGTTCACTGATAGCCACCAGAAAATCCTGGGCTTGCTCAGCGATAGGAGAAAATCCCTCGAGAATAATGTGTCCATCTTCTGGACTAATCCATAGTGGACGAGAAGCATGGTCTTTCTTTAGAGGAAGATAAGTATAGTCTTCTTTTCCAAATATATGGGATATAAAATCAGGCCGTCCCTCGTTGACGACTTCGTGATGATTACTGTTTAATGAAGCAATGTCAAGATTGGCGTTTCTTGGAACTAAAAGCCAATATCTGTGTGAGGGTCTCTATATTTCTTTCTCTCAATTTTTCTTTTTCTCTCTTTCTCTCTTTCTTTAAAAAAAATCTTTTTTCTTGTTTGTTTGCTTCTTTATTTTCTTGTTTATTGTCAATCGAAACAAGAAAGAAAAAGTAATAATTAATCATATACCATAAAGCTTTGATTGGAGCATTTCGTCCAGTTGGACATCACTATCCTCCTCATCGCTCAGCGTGTCTACCGATGTTCTTTTCTTGTTAACATTACAGCACAAAACAATATATTCTTCTTTTTAGTCATAAAACAATTGAACTCAGTACCATCGAGAGTTCTTTTGCTCATTTCAAGAAATCTTGGTATGGTTGGCGCAGTAAGATTATTAAAGAGATGGAGGAGAGAGAATTTGCATTTATACACATTTGAGTGTGTGTGTGTGTCCAGTCACAGATTAAACTACCGCTGATAAAGATGTCAATTGTTGCTCGGGATTTGTGTTTTATGAAGGATATATGAATATGTGTACTTGTTTCGATCACATCTTGTAATAGGGGTTTTAAAGGAGACCATTCTCTTTTTTTTTCAAGAAGGAAAATTGAATGATAAAATACGTTCAACATGAAATACATATAAAAAGAAAAGTAGAAAGAAGAAAGGGAGGAGAAAGGACAAGTCTTTTGTAGATTTTTAAATGTCTGTCTGACTGTCTGTCTGTGTTTGTGCGTGTTTGTAAGTGAGTGAATATGTGAGTGAATGTACGTTTGTGAATGTGCGTGTGTGCGTGTGTGCGTGTGTGCATGTGTGCGTGTGCAAATATTGGGTTGTGTTGTGTGTTTCTTCTCATTTGTTACTATTTTGCCTGTGATAGGCTACATTATGACAAAAGAAACCTCCTGTTTTTTTTATCCCTCTCTTTTCATAACTAGGATCCTCCTTCACTCGCCGATGATGACCGTGCAGCTAGCTTGGACATAATAAGATAGACAAACAATACCAAAACTAATACCCATCGCTTCCATTGACTGACTGTCCTTGTCCAGGTAGATTCGTTTCTTTGAGCATGAGGTGTTTGAGGATCAATAGGTCGTGCCTTGACTGTAGTTGGGGCTGTTGTGTTGACTCGTTTCCGTGTTTCTGTAGCTGCCATGAGCTGATAAGCATTATCCGGAATAGTACATAATTCAGGGAATACATCTACAATCAATTATTAGTACAAAAGAATATATAATTATCTAAACACACTACCTCTAAATTTCTGGATCTTTAGGTTGAATATGTGTGATCTAGCTGCATAGAATCTCTTTTCAGAGTCCGTCGTCTTGATACTGCCTGTAGTTGTTTCGTCGGTGGTCTTTTATACATACAAATATATATATATATATATATATATATGCATTTGTGTGTGTGTGTGTGTATGTTGATATAGATATAAATGATTTACAGCAGTTAAGGTACAAAGAACTGCTAGAATAAAAATTGACTAGTATTTTTCTCACCATGAAACTCAGCAATCCGTTGAGGATGGTGGCGACGGACCAGCTAGGATTCCACAAACTAGGGTGGAAGTCACTCATCGTCAAGCAAAGTCGCGTGTCAGGCTGGAAACGTCCAGAAGGTGTGACCATTCGGATAGCTGGTGGTTTATAAGGATATTCTGAAGGAAACGTCAGTCTGCCATAGTATTCACCACCTAGATATGGTGTATCAGGTGGACCTTGAATCACATAATGCCTGTAGAGTCAAAGTAATCATTGGATTAATTCTGAAATTATAAATTGTACTGTATAAATTAGTAGAGAACTTGCCATTCAAGAATGTTGCTTTCCAGTGGTTTAGCAGTAATGAATGGTGGAGGGCTAAGTTGAATGCGATAAGATAAATGAGTCATTGTTCAGTATCATCTTTTTTTTTTCCTTCTCACTTTTTTTGAATAGCAAGGTACTCTTTGGAGAGTCGCTTATAAGCGGCCTTTGTTGCCATAATGTGCAATGAATATACAAAGATAGAGAAAAGTTCAGAAGGAGCAGGTAACGATAGGAGGGTGTAGGTTTATATATAAAGCAGAAGAAATGAAACAAGTAAAAGAGAAAGAAAGAGAAAAAGAGAGAAAGAGAAAGAGAGAGAAACTGAGTCAAGCAAAAAAAATACCATGTGACTCTCCCGCTCATCGCCTATAACTCTCCCCTCAACCTATTCATATTTAGTCTCGTCCGGATAAACTACGTCACTTTATGTTCGGACCTTCACAATGTTAAAGATTTTTTTTAATTAACCTATTAGTGATTTTTTTGTGAAATATTCTCTCATATTAGTCATAAAAAAAATGGGGGTTGGGCTTTTTGATTGGATCTCTATCTTGGAGTTGTGTTATTTTTTAGGAAAAAAGTGTAGAAAAAAGAATATAGATATAATAAAAAAAAAGAAAAGAAAGATAAAAAAATATAATAATTGTAAAAAATAAGCTTTTTTTTTGGTTTTGGTTATGATCTTTGGGGGTTTTTTGGGGTTTTAAAGCTCAAGGGCAAATGTACCGGAAGGGCCGCTGACACTTCCTCTCTTTTTCTATACATATACACAGACACGTAGAGAAGTATATTAGAATATTAAAAATTTAGAATATCATCAACTCTAAAAATCAATTGAACTTTTAAACTTACACCGTTGTGAGGGACTTTGTATGTTTCATTAACATCTTTCTTGGGTGCTTCGGCAACCTTAAAGTCCTTGGCAGACTTGAACTTGCTGAGAAGGGCTTCAAGGCGTTCGGAAGGCTTCAATTCACGCTTGTTTTTGTCTTTGCGGTAAAATAGGTAGGCCCAGAACTTCTCGAGACCATATAGGTGACCATTGTCGTAATCGGACAAAGTTAATTGCTGGAAATCTTCAAAGATTTCTCTGCGGAAACGCTTTTCAAGACCATAGGAGTAGAATCGGAAAAGACATTCAAGACCATATCTAGAAATAGAAATAGAAAAAGACACCGGCACAGGCACGGGCACACAATTAGTATTTTAGGATATTAGATAAATATAAACACTACTTTCTAGTATGCTCTACCTGTAATTCTGGTTGGCATCCTCGACAGCAAGCTTCTTGAATTCATTGTACATACGCTTGTTATAGTGATCGCGCAAGAAGTGAGACCAGAAACGGAAGAGGGTGTTCATTTCCTGAGACTGACCAACACCAGATTGCTTGCGTTCTCTTAATGCCTTTGCGTGGTACTTGTGGTATTTGTGTTGCATAAACCCATTCTCACGCAACAATTCATGACTGGGATGCTGGAAGTTACCAAATGAATGAGCCATGTCCATCGAAGACGAAAGCATACTCTCGTTCAAGGCAGGAGACTTTCCAAGACTGGTACCCAACAAATCAGCGGGGTTGTAGTGGTAAGGCTGGTCGCTGAGAACCCATCCAACATGTCCTTGATCATGGGCATCTTTTTTGCTGTTTCCTGAACTAGCTCCAGAGCGAGGCAAAGAGCTACCGTAGAAAGCGCTGCTAGGCAAAGATTCGGGACGAACAGGATAGAAACGGGGTGCTTTCTTGGAAGCATCAATAGGCTTGGCCTGGGTGGCAGCAGCGGCTTGACGGATTTCGCTATCACGCTTGGCACTAGCGCTGAGCTGAGCAAAATGCTCAGAATCAAGAGTGGTTACCTTCTTGACATCGGCCTTGTGGCCACGCAATCCAGTTTCGTACTGGAAAAGACCTTCATTAATCATGTCAGAAATATCGTCATTCATCTTTGCACGATCAAATGACTGGTGGGACTTGTCGCGCTTGCGTTGGGTAACAATCATAATGCGAGCTACCATATCGTCATCCATTTCGAGATCGTCGTCGTCATCGGATTCTTCGTCAGACAAGTAGTACTTCTTGACAGTGTTGGGGCGGCTACCATCAACCCAGTCATCGTCAAAATCGAACACAACATCGTCTTCATCAACTTCCTTGACTTGGGACTTGCGACGCTCCTGGTTAATAATAGACTTAGCCACAAGCTTGGGCATAGGCGAAGGGTGAGTAGGACCTGCCAACGAAGCAAGTGTGTGGTGATGAGTAGTGGTGGGAGCAGTTGTTGTGGCAGTAGCAGTAGCGTTAGTAGCAATAGGTGCGGATGCAGCGACAACAGCAGCAACAGTTGGTGCAATACCGGCTGCTACAGCAGTGGCTACACTGGTATCTTTGACAGCAGCAGTCTTGGGGGCATCAGGTTTGGGGGCGACACTCTTAGCAACTGCGGTTGTGCTGTTGGTAGGAGTGGGCTGGATAAGCCATGTCTGCCATCCTTCCTTACGACGAATTTTATCCGAGCTGATATCGAGGAGAGTGCTGGCCTGGACAGATTCACGGATCAAAGACATGTCGGTTGTTAAACCCTTGACACGGTTAAAGTTTGCAAGCAGCTGCAGATCGACATAACCTTGTGCGTCCATCTATAAGGTTTTCACATCCCCACATCAGGGAGTATATTTAGTACGCACCGTCTAAAGAGTGCCCAAATCACTTACCTGACTACGCAAAAACATATCTCTACACAAATTATCGATGCTGAAGTAGTATTCACTATAATAAATTACACGCATTACAAATAAAGATATTAGCATTTTTCATGATTATGATATATAATATTTTTACATACATTTGTTGGAGAATGTAAGTCTTGAGAGTATCGGCATCAACGTTGACAAATCCAGGCTTGGATCGACTGGCGGGATGAATGTTGTGAACATAGGGAACCCGACGACCAACACCTCCACGGCCGCGACCGCGACCACGACCACGATAAACTGTGCGGGTTGTATGGGCGGGGGAAGTTGTAGGTGGTGAGACAGTAGTAGCTGGAGTGGCAGTGGTATTTTGAGTGGTGGTGGCAGTGGGAGTAGTGGCGGTAGTGGCAGCAGCGGTAATAGCAGTGGGGGTGGGAGTGGTAGTAGCAGTAGCAGTAGTGGTAGTAGAGACAGTAGTGGCTGTTTTGGTCTTTTCGGCCTCAGTTTTTTCGGTTTCGGTCTCGGTGTCATCAGAGCTGGCCTGGGTGCTTACTCGCTTATGGTTTTTGCGTTGTTCGACACCATTCATACCACGACCACGTACACTACGAGTACGAGGGGAGGAGCTAGCATGAATAATGGTCGGTGTATAAGGCTTCCATTGGCCACGGCCCTTTCCTTTTTTTTTCAAAGATAAAATAAAAATCAATCTACCACGACCGAATCTGCGCCACAAATATTGCAAAATATGGAGCGTATGTTTTTGTGTTTGAATTATCGTTCTTTACCCTTGACAAGTCCAAACTTCTCCTTCTTTTGCTCGGTGTTTTCTTCAGTTACTTGTTGGGGTGCGGGCCATGCCTGCTCTTTTACGGGTTTCTCGTCCTTGTTGACGTTTACCTGGGCTACAGTGGTCTCGATGGGCTTTCTGATTTGCCAGGCATTAACTTTAGGAATGGGAGCTGGGACTACAGTCTGTTTTTCCTCTTTCTCGGTTTCCTTAGGAGTTATGGCAGGTGCGTCGCTCACCAGGGGCTCTGCTGATTGCAACTTTGATTCATGAGTGATGGGCTGGGATACGAGTGCGACCATGTCCTAAACAAACAAAACAAAACAAAAAACAAGTCGAGAAAAATCTGGTTTAGAAAGACTTTCTTATCACTTGTTGCTAATATTCTTAATAGAATAAAGTATTTTGGGATTGTAATTATAATTATCAAAGGTTTAACATTTGTTGCTGTTACTACTGCTGTTACTACTACAGCTACAGCTACTACAACTACTACTGGTATTATCACGTTTAATATAATTAGTACTATTACTAGTGTTCCTAGTATTAATGCTAATGCTAATACTAATAATTATATATATGTATATATATATATATATATATATATATATATCAATATATCTCTTTTTTTTTGCTAGTTGTATCTTATTGTATGTAAAATTTAAAAATATAAATAAAAGGGGAAAGTATATTTTCTGCTTCAACTCGACGGGAATAAAGTGTGGCATTACAATAATAGCAATGATAGCAATAATAATAAAGTCTTGGTTTGGTTTCTTGTCCTCATTACTATTACTATCACTACTGTTATTTTTTTTATGTCAGGGCACGTCTTGTAGAGCAAGACACAAAACGTTATATCTTGTCTATTTCGAGCGATATATCCATTTGACGAGTTGTTGAGGTTACATAATAAGAATAAGTAAAGATGGACGTGCCTTTTTATCGGTCTTGGTTTGGTTTAGTGCGGTGCTTATTAAAGAAGGGCTTCTTGTGGAGAAGAAGTCCAAGGGTCGAAAGTCACTTTTTTCACTTGTTATCCTTTTGGTTGTCCTGAGGGGAAAAATAAATGTCAATTTTAGGGTGGCTTAAAGTGAAACAGTCATCAAATTTCTGAGCAGTAAAATATGGCCTTTTTTTTTATATATATATAATATTATTTTATTTTATTTTTATTTTTGGTGGTGCACTGTGCTTCTACCTATGGTCGGTCTTGTAAAATATTATAATGTGCATTTAAGATTTGATGATCAACATGCGGATTCTTCACTGCAGAGAGATAGATAATATATATATATATTATTCAGGAACAATAATCTATAGATAATAACTTTGAATATTTTATTAAATTCTATGAAATATTAAAGGGTTTCCTTGCCAAGAATCACTGTATTTTGGCAAAATTTGGCTGTACCTGATTTTATTCACTGCTATAAATCATTTATTTTCTCTTTCTATATATCATTTACTTTTCATTTACTTACTCTGATACTTCTTTAAAGTAGAATCCCAGAAGAATAAATTGTATTCAAGTTAGAGACATTATAAGGATAGATATGATGTTTATCAGAATCAGTAATCCTCTCCTTAAAAAAAACAACGTTGACCCCTTGAGCGTGTGTCAAATCGAATAAAGGATTTGCCTCAAGGTACAAATAAGCCTTTTTAACCACGTCCAAATTATTCCAATCCCTCTTTATCTTCTTCAGCTTTGTCGTTTTGTCTTTCTCTTTCTCTTTCTTTTCTCTCTTTTCTTTTTTTACTCCTTATTTGCCTAATTCTTGGATTCGTTCAACCTATTTCAAGCTTAATCGAGCATTTATTTATTTATTTACGATTTATTGTACTTATGGCGTGCTGTCAAAGGTACGCTGGTTGAGTAGATAAGGAACAGGTTTATTCTGACTATAATAGTATAAGCAAAGGTTATGTCTTCACTACCAATATCCTATCAGCCTTTTTTGGTTGTGGGTTGGTTGCCTTTGGGATGATGGGGATCCAACACAGATTCGATGGTTCACTCCTGTTTCCTGTGAACATCCTCAAAAGTACAAATAATGATATTATTATTATTAAATAGTTTCTTAAACTGTGTGCATTAAGTTCTAGAACATTTGTTCACTCCAATTTTCTGTTTTATTTTGCTTTGTTCTGCTAGACTCACACTTGATTTGTTTTCTTTGAATAGTGATCAATATTCTCGGTATCATACTAGTGTTTGCAGCAGCAATTGGTATATTTGGAGCATTTTATCCTAACCGACAGACACTCCACATCTTGTACACAACCATTGTTCTTATTGCATTTATCTATCAACTTGCCACTGCTGCAATTGTTTATGACCAAGCTGTCCATATAGAAAGTTGGCTAAGTCAAGTCTGGGCAGATTCATCGAGAGACTATAGATTGTATGCTCAACACAAGGTACCAAGCGAGTTTTGATAACATGTAGATAAATATATATATATATATCACTTTTAACCAGCAAAATTCAACCATCACAACGATAACGACGATAACAACAACAACAACAAAATTCAATTGAATATGTAGTTCTTATGCTGCGGATTTGCTCATGTCTTTGATCATCCTGTGATTACAGAGACCTGCAGTCTCAGCAGCATCATTAATTCCAGTCCACCTTGTTACGGCCCAGCGATCTACTTTATTCGCAAACAGCTATCAGCTGTCTACATCCTTCTTTTTGCTGCCCTTAGTATTGAACTCTTGGCTCTTTCGAATGCCGTCACTCTCATGTGCAACCGTCAAATGAATGACCCCGACGACGAAGAACTTGACCCGGCTCCTTCACAACGTCCCCGATTGTTTGGTCCTAAACAATCCACAGCTGTTAATCGTGCATCAGTTTCTGAAATTGCCCTCGGATACATCCCCAAAAACACACTGCGCCAGTCGAATCCTGAATGGAAGTATGCAAGGGGAGGGTCATCTCCGACATTAGCCGATTCTGCTATTTCTGAATCGTCATTTAAAGAACCCTCTACACCAAACACAATCCACAAACCGGACGAGATTCTTCATCCAAGACAGTATTAGGATAAACTACACTGCACTACAATACAATACAACACAATACACTACACGCACACGCACAGTCACACTCACACTCACACTCACACTCACTCACTCACTCACTCACTCACTCATTTGCTCGTACTCACACCAACTCTCGCGCACTTTATATATATATATATATATATTACAGTGCACTTTATCTCACATACTTATGTCTATTTACCTTCTATTTTTTCGCCCTCGTTAATCGATCTGATATTTATACACTGTGGATATATATTTACCAGCCACAGATTTCTACTTCTCTCTTTTAAGAAAGGATTAGAGCGGAATATTGACTATCAACAACGACAAAAAAAAAAGAAAGGGAATTGAACAAGTCAAGGTGTATTAATAAGTCCGTGTGTGTGCCTATGTGCTTTTTTTTTGTGTATATGATCCAAGTATAGTTTTATTCTTCTTCTTTCAATCTTTTAATACTTCATTTGTGCTTTTGTAACAATTTCAAAAGGTCTTATAATATACAAACGGAGAATTCATAGTAATCCGTCTCTTTTCTCTTTCTCTCATCACTTATTTTATTTGGACAGAACAGGATTCAGAAACAAAAAATCATATACATATGAGTTCAGCTATGTTTTCTGTACACAAGGCAATGCTTATAATATTTGCTTTAAATGAATACATACATACATGCACACATACATATTTGTATGTGTATGTGGGTAGGTGGGTGTAGGTGGGTCTGTATGCATGTATGTATGTATGTACAAGATAAAAAAGTTTTATATTCAAGCTACTCCAACTCTAGGGAATCTAATTGGCATCTTTATTTTATAGCATGTTTTATATATATATATATATATATCTTTGTTTTTTTAATCAATTTGCTGTTTGCATTTGTATAAACGTTTGAATTTTTTCGATAATATTTTTCTTATTATTATTTGTTTTAAAGCATATTATATGTTGACACGCTCTCAATCTATAAGTCTCACTAAGGATATATTAGCTAGCACTACTAGAAAAAAGGTTATCTTCAGAGGCCATTCTAAGGAATGCTTCATGTAACATATACTTATTTTTTGTCCATTTACTTTAAAGGAAGATGATTCATCTCTGATCTATGCCATACGAAAGGTTTCATTTGTACAACATGATACTTTTCTTTAATCTTATAAGCATACGCTTATATTTAAGAATACGGCATATGATCATCTTGTAAAAAAGAGAACCATTAGGTGCTTTTTTTTATCTTAATATTCTATCAATTTTCGCCTATTTGTAGAGATTTTGTTCAATTTTAAAGTTTTATTGAATAATTAACATTTATTCCACAAGATACACATCACAAAAATAAAACATTTTATTTGTTGCTAAAATAAAAGCCAATATATCTTTACCATAATTATTGGCTATAAATGATTTAACATATCATATGTTTCCATAGCAAAAAAGCTATTCTAAAATACTTATAGCACAAATTAGGTTTGACTATTTTTTTTCTGTATAAATTATTTTAATATTCAAATCAAAAGCTCTGACATTTTCTATTATTAAAGCCCTAATAAGTTACAAGCAAAATAAAAGCAGTAAGCTTAGAGAGAAAATAAAGTTTTATTTTTTAATATAAAGAGAGAGAGATCTTAATACCAAAAGATCTTCTTCTTCTTTGAATAAGTTTATATGTAAATAGTGTTTCTCTTTGTAAAGTATAAGTTCTACTTGAGTAATTACTTTACTTACTCTTAGGCAATACTATCAGTATAAACTTGGCTGTATTTTGCAATTATTCGCCAAGTTCTTGCTGCTATAGAATAAAAAAACCTATATCAATTTCTCTGCCTTGCTCATAGCCAAAGCGACATTGGTCTTCAGTAAGCTGAATATGTAGCTCGACTCTTTTCCGGCCAGATCATTAGCAGAGCCCTTATTATCTTATTTGCTCTCTATTAAAGACATTAAATATCTCTTTATATATCGTTCGATCTTGTTTTTGTTCTCACTGATTTAAAAACGCAACGAGTTAAAGACTAGCTGTTGACTCTGTTGCTTATGAATATTCAAAAGCAAATTAGTAGACCTAAACTTTTTGTACTTTATAAAAACCTTTGGTATACATTTTATTCTTTTCTGGGATAGTTAATTTATACTACATAATTGGGAATTAGTTGGTTTTTCGGTGTCAATTACACCTCTTAATAGAAGGACAAAGCTCAATTTCTTCTGCACTATTCATTTTCTAATGTCTTTCATATTTACTCATACATAGCTACCATTAATACCTAGAGATCTTAAAAAGTCAAATGTTTGGGGTGTCTGTTATACCCTATACCATCGTCCCAAATTATCCAATGGCAAAAACTCATTCCCTTGAAAAATCATTTGTCACTTTCAACTATAAGTATAAACTCATTTCAATATAAATCTCAACCTAGAATTCAAAATTCCGTCCCTTATGGTGTTGAGATCTTGATATTATTACATGTATGCCCCTGCTTTCTTGTCTGTTGTTTACTTATGGATAAATACCGCTTTAGATTATATGAGATTTTACGTCCTAGTTACTGTTAGGTTCCTTTTGTGTCTACTTGGACTGGTAAAATAAATATAAAAAAATAACCTTCTCTTGTACCTTTGAACAAAAAGTGCACAGACCACTTTAGAGTAACCTACAAATCGCCGCTATAGAAACCTGTACTCCACCTTTAGATATTTTGCCACGCCGATCAAGATCAGACCTTTCATTACTTCATTACTTCTTTACTTTATTTTGCAAAGTCGCTTTTATAATTACTTTGAGTAAATATTATTAGCTATTTCTTCTGCCGTAAAGCAGTTACACAAACTTAGTAAAAAAAGAAACATACAGCTATATCACGTTTGCTCTGACGTGGGTATCTAAGACTGACAAAAAGCGCAGTCCTAATATTAAATCCCAGATGCAAATGTTTTTGTTACATATAGAACCCCTCCAACGCGTGTCGTTTGTTTTCTCCTTGAGCAACAACAGTCCCGGTTTCATAGTGAGGCGTCTCTTGCGACCGTTGCAGGGAGATTCTTCCATGCTACAAGCATCGGAAAGTGAAAGTTGTTACTCGCCAGCTCAGTTAAGTCTGAGAAGTCGTGGGGCATGGTCTCTTTTCATTTTTGGAAGGACTACTGTGTACATCGCATCGCCAATGTGGAATCATGATGCTGGGGGGAGGGAGGTCTAACCTGTGGTGAGATGTGCTGGCTCTTCACTGCTAACCTGACTGAACTCTTTAACGGCTGACGGTGAAGCTACTGGTAGTCGAATGAGCTGGACCTTATCACCTAGTGGTAAGTTCTCTGGCGAGTTCGCACCCACATTACTCGGTGACGAGATGTGGGGCTGGATGAACGGGTGCTTTCCGTTGGTTTGCCACCATTCCAGCACCTCCTTCGCTACCAAGTCAGGTTTACGTCCTGAAGGAGATTGAGCCGCGTAATGCGGGGACAAAGAACTTGGTGTCATGCTTTTTATTCTTTTACTCATGTAAAAGAACATTAAGTGAAATTCAATCAAATACAATAGTTTCTTTATGTATATCTTTAAATAAATAAATAAAGTCTTTTTTTAACTAGTATCGTCTCCAATAAAAAAAACACGCTTTTAAACCTTTCTTTTTTACTTGATTGAAGATGTCAATGTTGTAATTAGAAGAGTTCATTTATAAGAAAAAAGTATTCTAATTGAATAAATCTGAAAAGAAATTAACTGAAAATGTAGTTTAATGTAATATAATATGCGTGCTCTTATCATTGTGTCGATCACCGTGTTTAACTGCGGGGGTTGTTGTAGTTTATAAAGTCTGTAAGAATAATGTTAGAATAATTTTTAAGAATTCCCATCGCACGAAATATATATTATTGAATTTGGCTAATCCAGATGGGCATTGTAAAGAGGATGTATTTTAATGAGAAAGAAAAAACAGAAGAAATACAAAAATAAAGAGAGATGAGAGGGAATAAAGAAATTCATTTTTGAAAGAGAGAGCAAAAAGGCGTGGCGAATCGAATACACAAGTAATACCCTTATTGTATATACACAGACTGCACAAAAAAGTTCAATTTGGATGTATTTATAAAACAATAATAATCATATACAGATTTTTTTATGCTTTGGGTATCAACGAATGCTCGTTGCTCATTTCGTTATTGCATATACATATGTGCAATTCGATTTACAGTGCAAAACATAAGTTGAGCACAAATAAGAAAAGTTGCCAATTATTGATACATTGCAAAAGCATTCAATATTTTGTATAAAAATAATTTTGCCGACAATATACAGACATAGAGTATATTGAGTAGCAATGCCCAAGTTTCATAAAAGAAGTAGAAATTCATATTGAATTTTATGGAATAGAACTTTAATGCATACCAGCTATTATAGCCAATCTATTGATATCTTTTGTATATATGTTGATTTTTCTTTTTGGTTTATGTCCAAGTGCTCGAAAGATACTGTTTTTTTGCCATTTCAATATTTTCAATTTTCTTTAAATTACTACCATAAAAAACTCTCCTATTTAACCTTTGAAGATATAGTGTATTTTTCTTATAATCGACAAAAACAATTGTACTCCGATCGTTTTTTTCAAGACCTAAAATATGTTGTCGGAAATGACAAAACTGAATATCTTTTCTGTTTACTTTTTTAAAAAACAGTTTCTCTACAAAGTAAACAGAAAACATGTTTAGTTTTGTCATTTGCGACAGCACTTTTTAGGTCTTGAAAAAACGCGGTATTTGAATTTAATACCAGAGAAAGAGAAATATTGACACTATATTTTCCATTTATAATGGCAGACGACGAGAATCGATCCCCTAAAATAGTAATATTATGTATTAGTCGGTGTTTAAAAGATCTTTTGTTGTGAATATATGAAGCTGTGACTGCATAAAGTTCAATATTTAGGATTTTTTAAAAAACTGGCGGACATTTAATGCCTTTCATATATCGGCATGTGAAATAAAAAATTGACACAAATCTTGAAATTTGCGATTATTAAGAAAATACACTATATTGGCAAAAATATTTTCTATCAAGAAGGAAAACAAATCATTAATTTAGATTGATAGAAATGAACTCTTGTACATACTTTCATATTTAAGTTATTTATTAAAATTTGATTTCCAAAAGTGTTCAGGCTGTTTAAAAACAACTTCCTTTCAGTAATAATGAAAGTTGCACTAAGTCATGTAATTTTTGTCTTATTTAGTATTATATATATTTATAAATATTTGAGATATACAGCTTACTTTTGTAAAATTTGATAGGCAGCATCAGTTTCTTTGAAGATAACTGTATTTTTATGAAGAAATTGTATATCAGGGAGATAAACTCACGCTCAGAAAGAAACTAAAGCCTTTGCAGAAAGATGACCCAAGTAGTTGTAAAGAAACAGTGTAAAAATATGAGACAATTCTTTTCTTTCTTCTTTAGGCTACTTGACCAATGCCTTGGACAAGCCTTGAAGAGAATGTTTTGCCATGTTGAATTCTTGGTATGAGCCACTGACAATCTTACTACGACAAAAACAAATGGTGATTCCAATGATGATTTCCGAACCATCACTCATTTTCTATAAACTCTATCATCTTTAAAATTACTTTATATTCTTATTAGTATATAGTTTTACTTCTATTGAAAGAAGCTTGAACTACCTTTTGTCTAAAGTTTTTAAATTTTCTTGTGAGTTTATTGTTATCTGATATGTAATACAAGCAGTATCTCACATATAGCTGGTAGTAATAAGATGAGCTACAATTCGAATATGGGTTATGTCTGAGGATATTGTTAAGAAGTCAAAAAACATTGTTTCAAGGGTGTATTACTAGCTTCGTGCTTGTTATGAAATTGTATATATCCATGATTATTTTCTCACCACAACAACATGAAATAATTTAAAGATTCGGGGATTTTGTGTTTTTGTTAGCTCTGAAAGAGAAAACCTATTGTATTTTACGGACAAACACTCTACTATGGTTAAAACAAGATGTTACCGATACAATTTCATTCAAGAAAGGGCTAGAACTTAAAGATAGCAAAATTTGAAAGAGAAATCTAAAGACCAAAACCTAGATATTTTTATTGCTGAGCAAGTCATTACCTAGACTTCAAGCTGAATCACCAATATTCTCGAACTGTATTTTCACCTTTTTATTCAAGCCAGCGAGCTTATCCATCTTCAGCTTCTTTTACAAAAATACTATAAGATAAACTACTTGGTTGACTTTGTCACATAAACTTCACTTATTCTCCTACATCAACCAACCTCAAGCCAACAAACGTTTAGCAAGTAATCTACCGATCGCTTTTGGTTCATACTGTGTCTTAATCATAGGGAATGGATATACACTTCAAACCCGTTACTATGAGGTAATCAAAATTAAAGGTACGAAACATCTATTTTGGAAATATGGAATCAATGTGTGTTTGATTAATTAATGTAGTACGTCCAAGAACTGTCCTTCAAGTTCCCGGTCATATATTTAAAAGGTCAAGTAAAAACACAACCATTACCTCATTACTGTCGCTCTTAGATACTGTATGTAATATTTTGCAATTCCTCCATAGTAACCATTACAATCAGCCTTCATTTTTCTATTATTAATACTGCTATAAATAATGCATAGATACAGAAATTTAAATTGTTTGAAGGACACGTCTTTTTCACAGCCTGACCCTCATTTAAATAATAGGAATATTCATACTATCTTGAACTTCAAGCAGACTTTTAAATAATTGAGATTTGATATAATGACACTTGATAGAATTACTTGTATTATTCAGGTTAAAACCGCCATGATACCTAGAGAGGATGTTCCGGTCGGTAGACTTGCGAGACGAAGACGGCCGAGTTTTAGAAAGATAACACCTGCAAGAAGAATAAGAAGAATACACTTATTTCACCCTGGTTATCGGTAGGTATTTCCAAGATGTTATTTGGTAGATTATGATATTGTTTGTATATTCCAGTGAACCAACCTTTCATTTTCTGTGCTGGATGGGGAGAGTGATAATAATGGTAGTTTGGGTCGATTCCCAAACAAAAGTATGGTGAAACAATAATAGAATACATATGTACTAAAGAGAAAGCCTTTAGTTTAAAATCACAACAACAAAGAAATATGAAAGCTTGAAATTAGAAGATATATATTTATAAAGAAAAAACAATGAAGAAAAGTAAGTAATTCTCAAAAAAGAAAACTTCCCAGATTTTCTCACTAAAGTTGACCATTTTTTTATTGTTATAGTATAAAGCAACAGGATAAGAGACATCGACCTTTACACTTCAAGTATATATCACTCAATGTCTTATTAACTTTTAGCTTGACAACTGATGAAAATTGTTCAATTGGATTCAGTTATCGAGAACGCGGAGGAGTGCAAATATACCGATATCCTCTAGTGAACACGATCTTCTATGTCAGCCACTGGCTATGAATAGGAGCCTTGTCTATGAAAAAGCAATGATCCATTACGCTTTTTACCACTTTAATTAAATTAAAGTAAAACACATTTGTAAGTCGCATAATTCGAGAAAATAAGGCGCATTTTTGGGATTTTTTTTTCAAAGCTTTTTATATTTAAGCAAAAAGTTGAGTATACATTATGAAAAAAATAGTATCAGAATGTCTAATAGGTTAATAATTTAAGAATGCTTTTCTCTGCTATTTATCTAAAAAAAAATCCATTCATAACGGTCAGGATACTCTTAAAAATGCGCCTTGTATTTTCGAATTGTGCGACGTTTATAGTGTACTTTACTGTAGGGCCAGCAAAACGACTCTTAATTTACTTTTTTTTTTTTAAAAAAAGTAGACATTTGGTTATGGTCTTCTTCAATAAAACAACATTGACTGCCTATTATTTTCTTCTTTCTGAAAAACGATAGAAGGTCTTTGTTATAATGTTGTATTGGCAGTGTATCTGAGCTGCACGAATATTAATGCATGCGTTGTGTCACTAGTTAAAAGAAGGGGGTGAGAGAGAGAGAGATTAGGGGCAGATATCTTGAGAGATCAAAAGATTAAGTAAGATTCATATAATAATGTTTTGAATAAAATAAATAATATAAATCACAGTGCTTTGCCAAATTCAATATTGTTTGAATTTGTAACACACAGACCAAGACAGTGTAGTTGAGCCATTTATTAAAATACCATGTAAAACACTGTATATATCCCATTTCTAAAAGATTAAAATAATTAAAATTCAAAAGCATTGGCGGACATTGAATATAATTTCAAACCGCTGGCTAATTACTATTCAATGACGATGTTTCTCGAGCTTTCTTCCTTCTTCTTTCCTTCTTTCCTATTTCTCTCTCTCTCTTTCTTATTACTTTTATACTTCTTTATTCAGATGAACTTATTTCGCTCTAAAGCAACCACACTGGTCAATAAGGAGGCCGAGAAGATCGACAACGGTCCTGTCACCAGCAAGCCATTCCTCAGTCCTCCTACTGACTACTCTCCTATCCTAAACCCTGCTCTTACCGAGTCGCAGCTGGAGACACAGAAAAAATTACGCACTTATATGACCTCAATTATGCTCCCCAGCGAACATGAATATTATGAGAGTGAAAAGGGTTTTCTTACAGATCAAACCTTGAACAGATACCTTCGAGCACGCAAATGGGACTTTGAGGTAAAAAAAAAAATCTTAACAACAACACCAAAAAAAATGATTAGGCGGACTATCGCCGACGCACGTGTGTGTCTGTGATGAGCGTCTACAGTAGTACGGCTGACATTAAATCAACTAAACATTTATGTCCTTGACAGGCAGCAAAATCCATGTTAGAAAGTACAGTACGCTGGCGTCGTGACTATCGGCCCGAACAGCTGGACCCCGACTATATTAGCCCAGAGGTAATATTTTTACACACATATTACATTAGGATCAAAGCTAAAAAAAACAAGGAATTCTACAGGCAGATACTGGAAAGATGTACTTTAATGGTTTTGATAAGTGCGGTCGCCCTATTTGGATTATGCGCCCCAGAAATCAAAACTCCAAAGATGAAGAGCGTCAAATAAAACACATCGTCTTTTGTCTTGAACGAGGTATCCGCCTTATGCCAAAAGGAGTCGAGAAAATGGATATTCTCATCGACTTCAAGGACGCTTCTTCTTCACACAACCCTAGTCTTGCCACATCTAAACGTTTCCTGAGTATCCTTGGAAACCATTACCCAGAAAGATTGGGCGTTGCTTTTGTTATCAAATGTAAGTATTAATCGAATTTTGATCAGAGTTTATTCAAACAAGAGAAATCTGACTTATTGTGTGTAACATTTAAATCGAAAGCTCCTTGGTTTTTCCTTGCCTCCTTTAAGCTTGTATCTCCTTTCATTGACCCTGTTACAAAGGCAAAGATTCAGTTTGTTCGTGACATGGACAAAACTGGCAAAGACGAACAGACAGATCTAGCAAACCTGTTGGATTTCATTTCACCTGATCAGCTTGAGTGCGAGTACGGAGGTGATTTCAACTTCAAGTTTGACAAAGAAACCTACTGGAACACTCTATTAGATATTACTGGTAAACCTTACAAGACAATTGAGTACTTGTAGCGTAAAAAAAAGATACACATTTTCTCCCATACACTTTGTAAATCATTTGACCCATTTAATCCATTTACACACCAAATATTCAATATCTCCACACTGTTCACTATTTGCATGTCTTTTTGTACTTCATTTTTATTATGAGAATAAAGATTACATCTACACGTAGATAGATCCCCTCTTACAACACTCAAACTTTAAGGTGATTTTGGAAGATATTGACTTATTGATGATTTTGGTGTAGTTAGTATAAGAAGAGAGAGAAAGAAAGAAAGAAAGAAAGAAAAGACTTTATGAAAAAGGGCAAAAACTAATTAAAAAGCATGAGTTGTTTATCCCTAAAAATAATATTAAGCAAAACAAACAAAAAGACCGTTAGAATATAAACATTAATATGTGCATGTGTACGTATGTGCCTATATATATATATATATCATTACCTCGAAAGAATTGGCCTTGTGTTTTGGTACAAAAGTAAAGTCTTCAGGTGCAGGACCAAGAAGCATTTCACTTTTAAAAAGATTGGACAAGTCAGTATATGTATACCGACTTAGTTTACTGATATTATATTTACCTGAGCTTGACCCAATCCGCAGCCTTTGGACTGGCCATTAGAGTCTCCAATTCATCACGACCAAAGTAAGGTGGTGCTCTCTCATTCAATTTTTGAGGAACAACCTCCATCACACCAACAGGCACATATCTTTTTAAAATAAATGACATATACATACATGTAAACATTCATTCAAATGTGTATATATAACCTCGAAATTACCTATACAAGAAGGATTGCCATTCACACAGGAAACGTCTTGTATTGTTTACACCCTAGAGATCGCCCAATTATTAAATTTGTGTTTGTGAGAATATTTTGATTGTCATACCTGACTATCAGTTCCCCAGTGTTCGAGACCATAGTTACAGAAACGCTTCAACATATCGAGACGTTCACGAGAAGAGATATCCCAATGTCTCTGTTCCTTAATTTCATCAAAAATCCAGGGCTTGATAAGGGCACCTCTGTAGTGTAATAATCAGCTTATGTATTCGTTTGGTTTCTATTATAAAAAAAAGCAAAGCTTCAATAATATAATACATACCTTCCGATCATAATACCATCGACACCGGATTGAGCCTTGCAGTTGTTGTAATCTTCGAAACTGAGAACATCACCATTACCTAGATACAAATTAAATATATTCATCGGTTAATATTGATTCACAACATTCGTAGCAAGAATGAATAAACAAGCAAATAAACAAAATAAAGAAATAAATAAATAAATAGTATTATTTTACCAAACAATGGAATCTTGGTAAACTCTTGCTTGAGAGAACGGATATAATCCCAATTGGCAGACTTAGTATAGCGCTGCATACGGGAACGGCCGTGAATCTATACAAATATTTATAATTATGAGATATGCGCACCCTCATCTCTTCATCAACAATCAAGCTGTTTACTGCTTAATTTATACTTACAGTACAAAGACCAACGTTCTATAATATAGACAAAGAGAGAAAACGGGTGTTTAGTATAAACAAAGAATATTTTCTTCAAGTATTGGGATATACACATACACAATAAACTTACAAGCTCTTCAAAACGGGGTATCAATTTGTGTGCGGTAGGTGTGTTCTCCTTGAGACCTGTTCTAAACTTTACGGTGACAGGAACATCGAGTACAGTCTGCATACCCTTGATCATCTTTACCATCTTGCCTCTTGATTCAGGAAGAGCTGAACCAGCACCCTAACAAAAAAAAGGTATGGATAAATAAATTGTCTATTACACTAATACCGCACATGAAAAAAGAAGTGAATATATATTCTTACAGCCTTGAAAACCAAGTCAATTGGACATCCCATATTGAGATCAACGAAATCAACATCGGTTTCATTGTTGATAAGCTCACAAGCCTTTACAACTTGATCAATCTTGGAGCCGCAAATCTACATATATATAATAATAAACGGTTATTTATGTTGGAACATAATAAAGCAAAAAAATCCGGATGTGCTTACCTGCATACCAAATATGTCTTCAGAGGCATGACGCTTTGTCAATGCCCACTCAGATTGTTGACCCTACACAATATAATACAATACATTAACGTATGTTACATTTCCATTATTTCCATCCTTTTTTTTAAAAACTTACGTGAAGTAAATTCTTAGCCATGGCCATCTCACCACAAGTGATATCGACACCATACTCTTTACAGATTCTTCGGAAAGGCAAATTTCCTACGGTTGTAAGGGGTGCAAGGTAAGTCTTGTTTCTAAAGTCAATCAGCTTTTTGTATGGGCGCTCGGTATCAATGGGGCCTAGGGGCTTTTCAGCTTCGACACTCATATCAATCTTGGGCAAATCATGATCAATAGGTTTTGTTTCTTCGACGGGCTTTGCTTCTTCGACAGGCTTTGCTTCTTCAGCAGGAGTTGGCAAGATAGCCTCAACTACAGGGTTCTCACCCTTTACTTCATCAGCCTTAACCTTCTTGGCAGCATTTTCTCCTTCGTCTACGTCCGGGGTCTCGGCGGTCGAATCCTCGCTGGCAGCCTTGGCTTGATCCTCCAGCTTGCGTTTACGGTGCATGGCATTCATATCTTCTTCTGCCTTGATTTCCTTTGCAACCCATTCCATATATTTTTCAGTCTTGGGAAACTTGTACTAATAGTATAAAGATGTATTTATAAAAATTAGTTATATTATACACACAAAAGTTCAATATGTCATTATAGTTTTTGTTCAACTTACTTTGTTACGATCAAGCTGGACTTGTGTTTCGACTTCAATGCCGTTGGTGACATAAACTGGGTGGTTTTTAACGAGCTTGAAGATATAACTTTGTATTAATACACATTATTCAGTTAATATTCAATTTCTATTTTTACCTCTTCATTCTCTACAAGCTTCTTATTCTCATCCAAATGAGCACCCAAGAAACGACATTTATAACCACGGATGCACCTACGTTTTTTAAAAAAAATGTGATCAACACGATGTTTTAATTTCTTAATGATATTGAATCAGTAAACGTACTTTCCGTAGAGATCAAAGTAGACACACTTGTCACCCAAATCTGCAGGCTTAGTGGCCAAGTATTCCTCTAGGTTATGGTCATATTTGCACCTATACATTATACATGTACATATATAATTAACTTGCTGTTTTCCATTGAAAATATAAACATCAAGCCTACTTTTCACCCAAAGGGCACTCCTCTCCAATGGCCGTATATTTGCAGATCTATTACATATTCAATTCGTCAGACGTCCCTGTTTTTGTCTTTGTTTTTCGGATGTACCAGACAATTCAAACTTACACGAACAGCATCCAAAATACGCTTCTTACCACGCTGGCCTTTGTTTTGGCCACGACGATTAGGCTTCTGGAAGCATAAACATCATAAATAAGAATATTGTAACATTTTATAGTCGTATCCTGGCTGACTCACTTCTCTAGAGAATTTCTTGCCCTCTTCAACATCATCACCAAATACACCATGGGACTCTTCTCCTTCTTCACCCTCTTCAAACCAACGCTCCTTGCGGAATCTTTGAAAGTGACGATTTAGCTTTTTATTTACTGATTTTCTTGTGCATTCAAGAAGAAATGAGAGTCCTTAATATTACTCTGATTTGATTTGTGCCTGACCGATCTTCTTTTCGTTAATGTCGTGCATGTTAATTCGAGTTAGGAACAAGAGACAGAAAGCAGGAAATAAAAAAATAATATGGAATTCAAAAGTCACAATGGATATGTTCGTTGGTTAAATTAGGTTGTCAATGGCATTTATCCCGATTTCTGGATTTCTTTTTCTTTTTCTGGTTTGTGAAAGAGGCAAATATCTCTTTTACTGCTCACCAGGTATATAAAAAAACCAGCTAATGAAAACCCTTTATCTGACTACCCACACAAAATTAGATCAAATTGAGCGTATGTCTTGAACTATATATGAGCTTTTTCTTATGCATATATAAAAAAAAGTATAATATTGAAAAAATGCAATATATGTCTGGGATTAAAACCAGAATCTATTTATGGTAGTTGAGGAGTTCTATATTCTTTTATCCAAATTAGGACCAAAGTTTCTTTGCTCAGGCCTCTTGCAACCCATTTGTTTCATATACATGTAAGCATTAATAAATATTTCCATAAGCTTTTATTTATTTGCTTATAATTTCAGGATAATTGTATTGGAGACCTAGTGTGGTACTACAGCTAGATTTATAACTGCAAAGATTTTCTGCTCTCAAAGTATTTTAAGGACCTCAGGCGTGTACCTCAAATATTATGCAGCTTTGTCTTGGTGCATTTACACAAATACTTATCACTCAAAGTGAGGTCTTACAGATATTATGAATTTCTGCGTATTGTCAAACCAGACTATTAGCTTAGCTATAATATATGGATTATTGCTGTCGGTACAAGTATATACCTATTCAACAGAGGATTAACATAAACGTAATAATTACAGCTTGAAAACTGCCTTCTTCATTAGACCTTGATTCTTGAGTAGAAGAATAGTATAAATTATCCTTATTTTTGGCCCTTAATTTTTTTTGTAATTAAATGGTATGACATTTGTTATCTTCGTTTTCCAGGCAATTTATATTGTACCTTCAAAAAGAAAGCATGCCGGGTAATCGGAAGACCCTAGAATTGTTTTTTTAATTATAACTTGTTATTTATAGACAAAGATTTTACAGCCTACCTCTGCTGTTGGACTGTGTGTAATGTGCGAAAGGAAGTATATATACACATAAGAAGCATCCGGACACATAATTGAGATAAAGCTATAAGGTCTGATACTTTATCCTTTTGTTTGCTTTTGTTTGTTCCTCTTGTATAAAGTACATGACCTTGGGTCTGCACGGTCATATTGAGCTTGGACATAGGCTATATGCTTTTATACTTTAATTAAATAATAAAATAAAATTAGTTTTTAATGTGAGATTTGGTTATATATATATATTATTTTATTTTACTTCTTTGTTTCACAAGGATTTGAAAAATAACTTTTTTCCAGAATTCTTTCCCAGAAAATAGGTGTTTAATTTTAGCACTGGATAAAATAAAATAAAATAAGAAAGAGATGTCACAAGAAAGTAAGATTATAAGAGAGAGAGAGGAAAATTGCTCACAAATTGTAAATGTAAATGACATATATAAATAAGAAATACCTACAGTAATAGCAGCCCTAATGTAGCCCTACATATTTTATTGCAAAATAAGCTTCATTTTGCAGTGTTAAAGTGAGTTTATAGAAATAAATATAAAGTTACGTCACAAACAAATAACTGTGTAAATAGCCATCTTGGCGTATGAGCGAATCTATGTGAGCGATTGTTCAATTGTAAATGGTGAAGGTGTGCGCGCTTTACGGTTCCCAACACCCCCCAGTCAGACTTCACTTTAAACACACACACACACACTTAACTCAGTACCCGCTTACTTACATACTCCTCTCTCTCTCTCTCTCTCTCTCTCTCTCTCTCTTCCTCTTTCTCTCTCTTTTTCTTTTCACTTATTATATATATATATATTTATTTATTTTACTTTATTTTTTGTAAAAAGAAAAAAGAAATAAATAAATAACCTTTTTGCTCCCTTTACACAATGGCCAACCACAGCTCATATTCAGGGCTGCCTCATGGCTACAGTTTCTCCGATCCTCCACAACAACCTCCAGTACAAAACCGTACCTCATATCTCGGAGAACAGCAGTACGGTTATAGCTTTGTCGATCCTCCACAGCAACAGCAACCTTCATCAGGCCCATCTATCCCTAGTCACCACCATTACTACTCTGGTCAGCAGCATGGATATCCGCCTGTTGATAATCACGGTCCTCGCTACCCTCCATCAGGCAACCAAGGCTATCCTCCACCTGGAAACCAGCATCATGAATCATCTCAACAAGCATCTAGTTCATTCCGTATGCCAAGCCCGAACCCTTATCGAGTTTCGTCTCCCCCTGGTCATTTATCACAAGTATACCCTCCCGTAGACTATCAAGTCTACGAAAATCAGCAATCCGACATCTATCCTCCTCAACAAAACTACAATCAGGCAATGCCCCTTTATCCAGCACCAGGTTACTCAAGACCAGTGACTAATGACTTCAATGGATACAACTCTTACCATAGGGGAGAAACCAATAACTCGTATCCTAATACCATAACTGACCAACATTCAAGCTACAGATCAAGCTATGTTTCTCACAGACCTGTCATCCCATCCACAATCGAACGACCAAAGTACAGTACCGAGGACGAAAACAACGATTTGGGATTTATTCCTGTATCACCAGACTCTTCTGACGATGAAGAATATGTATCCCAACAACCACCAGTACAAAACAAAGAAAACTATACACGGGCTCCTACCCAACTCACCCACGCCCAGGAATTAGCGAACGCCATTACCGAGCAGCTGGCCAGACAGACCTTGGATAATAATAACCCGGTGCTTTATCCCGGAGCTAGGCAATCATCCCTGAGCGTGTCTGAAAATAAACCCGGCCCACTTGTTCACGAACAAGATATTACCCCAACACCACAAAAGCCAGATTACAGTCTTCTTTCTGTATTGGCGCAGCAGTTTCTAAGTCTCATACATAACCTTGAGAATGTACGAGAATTGTTTTGCGTGAGCGAATACCCAGAATCTTTCACTGGACAAGAGGCTGTGGTAAGTATTGGTTTCAGAAAACGATATATATATATATAAAACAAAACAAAACAAACCAAAAACAGAAACAAAAACAAAACGGAAAGTGTATATTGATTCGCATCCTATGCTTTGCTACTTTCCTTTTCTTTAAAAAAATAGAAAGCTATATATTCTATTCTTGACAAGCATGTCCCGGAAGAGTACTGTGTAAAGGTAGCCACGGCCTTGATGCGCGGAACCCCATCTTTGTTTAAACCCGTTCCCTACTGTCAAAAATCAGTGATGACAAATTCTGTGTATAACTCGCCGGATGAGGTTTATACGTTTGATGAAGATGCTAGACCTAATGATCTACCAATTGGTGTCTACACGAATTTAACCAAGTGCTATGTCTATGACTGTCTGCCAGACCAAGGAGGCTGCTATGCCCCCAGGTGTCCTAATAAACCCGTTGTAATCGACGAAGAGTCTGTGGTATGTATTTAGATAGTCAGTAGCAAAAAAATTATTTGTATCCCCAATACGATTTGTTGACTCTGGCAATCACTTGCAGCTATCTACCAGTCTCTCCCGACAATCTTCTATAAAATACCCTCAGGAAGACGATAGCAACGCTACAGTAAGTATAATGAAACTTTATATATATATATATAGATCATTAAACTAGACTTCAACTTTTCTTCTTTCTATTTTTGACTAGTCTTACCCTCATTCGGCTTGGGCTGCGCGTGTACCCAAAGAACTCTTAGAAAGCCTCAGCAGTAGAGAAAGAGCTCGCCAAGAAGCAATTAACGAACTTATTTATTCTGAAGAACAATACCGCGATGATCTCGATATTCTCCATGATGTATGTATAAACAAGTATTTAAAGATATGTCTAAAATTAATATCGTTACTTCAAATATAAAAAGTTGTGGGATAGATAAATATAAAACTAATTGCTCACCATTAAAAAATATTTTATAGGTCTACGCTTCTCCACTTCTTAACAGTGGCATTCTCGATAAGGATAAGCGCATTGCGTTCGTTAAAGATGTCTTTAACAATTATCAAGATCTGCGAGATGTTAGTGCAGCTTTGTTCAAAGATCTTAGAGAGCTTCAGCGACGATATGATCAAAAGTGTGTTCCCATGGTGGGTGATGTGGTAACACAACACATTGGGTTCTTTGAAAATGCATTCTTGCCATATTTGCCTAATGTGGCCATGGCAGAATATCTTGTTTCCATCGAAAAGAATACAAATGCCGAGTTTCAGAGATTTTTGGAAGAGGCATCAAAGGGTCCCCAAATGCGACGTTTACCTCTGCGCCATTTCCTTATGAACCCTGTAACACGCCTGCAACGTTACCCTCTTCTCATTGACGCTATCATCAAAAAAACCGATGAAGACCATGAAGATTACGCGTTTTTGGTTCACTGTCGACAGGTTATCGCCAAGTATGCCAAACAAGCTGATGCGTTAACCGAAGGCACCAAACAAAAATTGGAAATTAGAAAGATCAATGATTGTCTGATATACAAACAGGGAGAACAAATAGATCTGGCTTTACTCGACCCACAGCGTAAACTGCTTTACCGTGGTGATCTCAAACGTCGCAATAACGGCATTGAAGTCACCGAAAAATCTGATATTCACGCTTTTATTTTTGACCATGTTCTATTGCTGACAAAGCAGCGGAAGACAAGCGTTGGTGAAGAGTTCAGGGTCTGGAAGCGACCAATTCCCTTGCAGATGCTATTTGTCCAAGGAAGTGGAGATATGGCAGGTATAACCGGAATGGCAGGAATAACATCCACAAATGCAGGCCAAACCACTGCATTGATGTTCTATCATCTTGGGCAGCGAGGGGGTATATACAATTTCTTCTGCAACAGAATGGAAGACAAAATAAACTTGATTAATTCAATCGAGAAAGCCAAGGCCGAGTTGAAGAAGAAGCAGGGAGAAGACAATGTGTTTGAATTGAAGACATTAGATGATTCGAGCTTCCGTTACCTAACTTCTGGTAATTCATCTGGCGGGCAAGGAAAGATCAATTGCTCGATTCCATTTGGTAGGTGTTTAAGACAACAACATCAACAGCAAATAAATTTAATAATATCAACTATGGTCTAGTTTCAATTGATGGCGAGGAAAAGGTTGCTATCGGTACAGAAACAGGTGTTAGTTTCAAATCGCTTTCTACCAACATTATCCGGACTGTGATCGTGTGCGGTAATGTGACAGAGTTAGATCTGCTCGAAAAGCACCACATCCTATTGGTCTTGACAGGTAAGAATAAAATAATATTAATGTAATTTAATAAAGGATGCGGTATCTAATATTATTATTAGAGAAAACTCTCAAGGCGTATCCTATTGATGCACTCGATTCACCTAACAATACAAAGCCACCAGAGAAATTGTGTTGTGAGATCAATCAGGGAGTTGGATTTGTGCAGACTGGACATTGTAATAACAAGGATCTTATGCTATACATGAGACGAAAGAACAACCAGAGTTTATTCTCTGTGATGGAGCCAATCGCTGATTTGCGTGACCCCAAGAATGCAAAACTCATGCCTCAAAGATCTGGCCTATTCTCGCAAAAAAGTCCACAGCTGTGGTTTAAGAAGTATAAAGTAAGTGATACTAAAAAACTGATATATATATATGGATATGTGTATTAAACTCGTTGTGTAGGACTTCTATGTGGGTGCAGAAGCCAGCCATGTTCATTTTTTGAAACATAAGATTAATGTGGTGTGCGTGCGTGGATTTGAGATTATTGATCCAGAGAATCTAAACATGGAACGGAGCATTCCTGATTCTGATGATCCCCAATTCAACTTTATCCAGCGCCACACTGAACCACTTGTACCATTGGCGATGTACAGAGTTCAAACTAAATTCTTGTTGTGTTACAGTAAATTTGCTTTTTATGTTAATAACCGTGGTGGATCGCTGGCGAACCGTGGAGCTGGAAGGTAACATAATACTTATAATAAGAAATCAATTTTACTTGAATTGAAAGAAAAAACTAACAATTGAATTCTTAGAACTCCATTACTATGCGAATGGGAAGGAAACCCAGACCATATTGTATACCAACACCCATACATAATTGCCTTTGATAAGCAATTTATCGAAGTTCGACATTTTGAAACTGTAGGTTAAGTGAAAATCCATAAATATCTAATATTAATTTTATTGATTTGTACTAGGGTGAATTGGTGCAAATCATCCCAGGTGATAATATCCGCCTGACTTATTACAACAACTCTGGAGAGGCTGCTATAATTCATGGTTGTATGAACAACGTACAAAAACCAGATTCACAGTTACTATTCAGGCTCTCTATCAACCCACAGCATGTGCCTCCTACCCGCAAATAAGCACAATACAAATAAAAATAAAAGAAGAAATCCATACAAACATATATATTTAACATGTCTTTTTTACACATTTGATAATCCGAAAATCTATTAGTGTAACAAACCCCATCGTCTTCATGTGGTATTCTCGTTGGACAAAGTGTCTGAGCAATTGTGAATAAACATTATATTTTTTTTGTGTGTGTGTGTGTGTTTTTTTTTGTATTCTATACTTGTCTTTTCCTAATGTTATTATTTACTAGCATTATTCTGGGAGCCTTGATGGCTACCCAAGTTAATGCTCAAGATGCTGGATTCGATACATCAATCAATCGCTTTGGATCAACGTCTCGAGTTGTAAATGGTAAAAACTAGAAAAAAAAACATAGAAAAAAATTACATTTGATCAAATCTCAATTATGCTCGAACTCATCTGCTTTAAATTAGAAACCGCAAATATGTTTTCAGTCGAGTATCATAACTGGTACAAGGTTGTGACGAATAATGTCAAGAATGAGAAATACGCCCTTGTTTGTTGTGGTCAAAGTTCTGCTTCCCTCACAGGTTTTGACGCTGTTATTAATATACCAGTAACCTCGGTCGGTGTTGATCGTGAGAATACTGTTCTTTCCTACATGGAGGTAAGAACTTTAAAAAGAAACTGATTTAAATTGTGAGGATGTTGGTCTGATTACAACAATGTGTATACTTGGTAGCTTCTAAACGTAACAGGCTCTGCTGTATTCATTACTGCCAATTCGAATGTGACTTCTCCATGCTATTCTAATGTTCCTAATTCACTCCCTTTGGTTGACAATGTGGATATAATCATTGGAAACAAAGCTAGTTCTTCGCACCCTAATTCCACACGATATGTGGAATTTTCTCCTAATGCTGATGTATTATCACCCCTTCAGGTAACTATATACTTTAAAAGACTAGTAAAAAAAAATCAAGAAATTGACCACTGGAGATGAATAGAGAGCATCCTGGATCGTATATCTTGGGTTCTTCTTTAACAAAGAGTTTGAGGCATCAACTGTTCTTGGAAACATTGCAACACTTTATGAATGTCATGCTAGCAATCTCGCCAACCCTCCCAGCCGCCCTACTGTAGCCCCCACTGTTTATGATGCAGGTTCTCGTACCTGGGGATTTAACCGAAATGCTTTTTATGAGACACTTCTCCATGATGCTGGCGGTTCAATCAAGTATATAAACTCTGCGCAAAATGCTGTAGGCCTAAATACCTTGGAATTTGAACATTATATTCACGAGGCAGACTATGTTATTGACAATACACCAATGGAAACACTTGGGGACTCGCCATACGACAAATGGGTAGATTTGGGAATGTTCAAATCTAGTGCTTATGATGAGACATTTTTGCAAGATCGTACTGTATTTCGATGGGACGGTCTTGTCAATAAGTTTGGCTTCGATGACTGGTCTGAACGATCAATTGCTCGCCCTGATTTGGCTTTGACAGGTAAGGACAGATATATTAAAGAATATTCATAATTACCATTCTTAATGAAGCACCCTCGATTCTATAGATGCGATTCATTTACTCTATCCTACATACAACCCTACCTATCAATTTACTTGGCTCCGCAATTTTGCCAAGGCTGACACTCCCCGTACGGTGTCAGACTCTGATTACCCAAGCTGTAGTGATGTCCGCTTAATGCTCAGTCAGACCTGTTCATCCAACCCCATGTTTAAGGAAATCAAGGAAGAAAAGGAGCCTCTCAAGCCAAAAGAGAAAGCTGGTATTTCTGTCGGTGTAATTGTGTTCTTCGTCTTGCTTGTTGTAGCGTCAGTCTTTATCTTCCGTCACTTCCGTCAAAAGTCCCAGAAGCATCAGTTCATCAAAATGAGCGAGCTTTAAGTGCAAACGGTGATAATAACAAAAACAAACCCGAGTATATATTAAGGGAGGCAGCCTGCTGCCTTTATTATTATATTTCAAAATATGACACCCTTATTACTCACGAACAGAACTCCACGCACACTCACACCCACACCCACGCACTCACACAAGCTATATACACTCTTAAACAGAGATAACAAATATCATAATAATAAATATCAAGTAGCCATTGCATCCTTCTTGCGTTTCATCTTCTTCATTTCTTCCAAGCAGTCGTTGCAGTACCATGCCCCTTTTGGAGGTGCTGTTAAACCCACGCACTCCATATGGAACCATTCATATGGACAATTCTAATATCCGTGTTTAATAAAAATAATAAATTCCTGGCTATCACTTGTTTTCTGTCTGCTATTCATTTATTTTAATTCGTACCTGACCATCGCATGCTACCATCTCTCCAAAAGAAACTTGTCTACAAGAACAATATAAAGGCTCTTGGTTGTCGCGTGCATCTCTAGCTTCCTTCTTTTTTCGTTTGCGTTGCCGCTTAGCCATAATAAAATCTTCTTCTTCTTCTTCAGGGTCTTTTCCTATTCTCAAATCTTGTCACATTCTACTTTGTCCTGTCGTGGTGATCTCCTTACGTTTCTTGAGGTCCTGGCGAGAAAATGAAGGTTCTGATTGTTTGTCAAGTTGGTCGAGATCATGGCCGAGACGACTCAGATGACGGTCTACCTTTAGCATCAAGAGAAAGTTCTCAATGACCATCTTGTTCATCACCAACAATACAAAGTCATACCAGCAAAAGGGCCTCTTCTGCCAGATGAACTCTTTCATCTGCAAGCCCTTCTAATGTCTTGTAGTCATTGTCGATCTTTTTTACAATTGTTGGTTCAGCCTTTACTAGTTTGTCGCGTGGAGCATCTGGCAGGAACCACTGATTGTGAATCTTTGTCAGCTCACGCTGTTGGGAATCTATCCGGTCTTCGATTACTATATGAGAGATATAATAAGACAATTGGAAAGGTGATATGGAGACAAACCTAGAAATTGATATCTTGGTTCAAAATCTTAAACAACTTGCCTCGACTTTGTTCGTTACGGTGCTGGATTTCTGCCCAATGATAAGCTATTTCACTCGGTAGATTTTCCAAGCCTAGTACATACATATAATTACTTAAATTAGCTTATACTCTTATCTTACTGACTGTACTATACTTTGAACATAGTCTTGCAGATATCGGTTACTATCCTGTTGATCCATCACAGACTTGATATGTATGTAAAGAGTTGAATGAAAAGGAAGAGTAAATTCAATCTCCATTCACATAAATTTCCTTGCTTAGACAAAACGAAACTCAGCGGGAGTTGGTCTTTGCCCAAAGATGGGTTCTGTCAAGAGTACCAAAAGAAGAATGTTCTTGTTTGGCACATATAATTCATAAATCTACTTGAATTAAGTGGAATGTAGATATCTCCATCGACCGTCTATATGGAATAATTCTTCAATCAGCTATATTATTATTCAAATCTTAAGAGTCTGGGTTTCTGCACACAGACACACACACATATGCACATGCACGTACACACATACACATACAAATATACATACCCACAGCCTGTTAGATAATAAACGATTTCCAACAGAAAAGTATTTATTGAAAAAGTGAATTAATATATATATGAATGTTCGATTTTCTTAATTGATTGATATAAACTCTTGTTTAATTTACTCAGTTCTTCATAATTCGATTCGTACAAAAAAATAAATAAGCCCTGAAATGGTCTTTGTGACCTTTTTGTCCATTGAAGGCTTTAAAGCACTTTCCTTTTCCTTCTTCACAATTTATATACATGGGTGAATTTGCAGTACCAGCTCCTACTCATGCTCCTCCTCCTCCTTTGATCTATGATAAACCCTCATGGGCTGGTGTTGCCACTCATGATTACAAATTCGAGATTCTCAAAGGTGGTGTACAAGTCGATCAGATTGATGGTCCTAAGAAAGACTTGGTAGTGATTGGTAGGTTAAATTATGTTTATAAATAAATAAGCAAATAATCATTTTATTTATACATTTTATATTACTTCATTCTTTTAGGAAGACTTCCGATATGCGAGATTCCGATGGAACATCCTGTAAGAATAATACAGCTGTTATTTTTACATACTTTATCGAATCGGCTATTTACTTTTATTACTAGTCTGTGTCGCGTTACCATGCTATTATTCAGTTTAATCAAGAGGGCGATGCATTCATATATGATCTCGAAAGTGCACATGGCACTCGCTTAAATAAAATTCGTATTCCTGCAAGGACTCATTTACCCATCAAAACAGGCGATCAACTTAAATTTGGAGAAAGTACGCGAGTATGCATTTTTGAGACAGAGAAGCCATCTAGCGAACAGGATATTGCAAGAGAAGAAGCAATTGCCGAGCGCTTCCGAGCACGTCGTCAATTACCCGTAGAAACTAGTGAAGATGATAATAATGGTGTATCTTGGTAAAGCTTCTTTTGTTTTACTTTTATCCAAACTTGCAAGCTTTTTTTTTAACGTTGCAATTGAATACAGGGGTTTTGGAGAGGACGCGGAGGAAGATGATGATGATGATGAACAAGAAGGAGATGGTGAAGGTGAAGGCACTGCTTCTGGGGATGCTGCTTTGTTAACAGTAGATGCCGAAAAATTGGCATTTGAGGATGCAAGTAAGTTTAATAACCCTTCAATATATTGTTTATTTATTTGTTGTTTAACAATTTTCAATATCACTAGAGCGAAGGAGAGAAGAACTAGAGATTATGTATGGTGATGACGATGATGATGATGCATTTTATGACCGCACAGGTAGATAAACATAATTTCTTTGCATTTCATCTTTCTTCTTCTTTTACTTACTTTGATGTAGAGCGTAAAAAGAAGAAAACCGCCAAGGCAGAAACTTATGATGAATTAGTCGAAAGACTCAAGATTACTGAGGAGAATTTGGCTGCTGTACGCCGAAAAATACATGAACGCGAGGAACAAGGTAAGTTTCTCTAATACAATAAGATGGTATTGATAAACCAACCCTGGTGTGTTAGACAAACAAGTCAAAACTGGCGAAGAAGAAGAAGATTTAGATGAATTTATGAAGAATCTTGAAAAGGCACCTGAAAAGAAACAACCGTTGTTTGTTTTGAAGCGAGAAGAAACACAATTGACAAAGGTAGAACTTGATGAATGGCTTAATATAAAGGAACTATTACTAATTTTTTTTCTTGTTGTGAAAGGATGTTGATCGGTTGATAAAGTTGGTCAAGTTGACAAAGCCTACAGTACTGCACTGAACACAGTTAGAGCATGTTGTGTTGTGTAAGATATTCAAGGGCCATCCAGGCAGTCTGAACACTCGGAAGCATAACTTCTCCACGCATAATAAACGATTTGATATCATTGATTAGTACTTGAGGCAAGACCTGAATGCATTCTTCGGCATCGCGGGAAAGTGGAGTAGGGTCCACTTTTGGGTTCAGACACAGATAAGGAACAAATCTGTTTCTACCCCACTTGAGTTCACTGATTCCATCTGGTTGGTCCTCTGGTAATAGACTGATCCATTCTCCTCCAGTCAACCTGGCCTCTTCCGAAAGTTCGTGTTGAGCTGACTGAAGAGGACTAGATAATTTCGGTAAATAGGAGAGTAAACCCTAAAATAATCGTATGGAGAAATATCTTATACCTTTTGTGCTTCCTCATATCATAAGAGCCAGCTACGCATGTGTATTTCTACGGAATGTGGTGAGATACGTTTAAAAGAAGTTTGGCTAACTTACTATTTCATTTGTACCCTGGGCATACTCTTTAAGAATACATGTTGTTTTCTAATATTCAGGAATATTATTATTAGATAATTAATTATTTATGGCTTGATTAGTAGTGTCGTACTGTGTCGGTGTCAAATGTAAATACAGTGACAAACGTGGGATAGGGTGTGTTGTGGCCAACGATATCCCAATCAATCACTCGGCCATCATTGAATTGGGTCTTTCGATGCCAAACCGTGATGAATCTAAATTGAGGGATGATTAGTAATCGTCATTTGAATCAAGTATGGTACCTCTTTTGAGCAACAGTTTCGCTGAGGATCTTTGCAGCTGTGCCCTGAGTGTTGATCTCGAGTGGTGTGTCTGACATTATAAAAGGAGGGCACTGTAATGTCGGTTTGTCCGCCCTCACAGGACAGAATTCATAATGGTCACTAGCGACTTAAGATGCCGGGTATTGGGCAGCTTAAACCTTCTCGCGGTACATACTCCGGCGAGAGGTTGGAGAAGATGATTTTTGCACATTTGTTCAGGCTGTGATAGGACAAACAATTCAATTACCGAGCAAACAATGACATTTAACGTAACTCTTGTGGTTGGAGCGGAGCCCCTGTTTATTAACCAAAAAAGACTCTACTTTCGACGGATCGCTCCACTCGGGCCCAACCAAGCCATGGCTGGTATAGGATAATTTGTGTGCTGAAATACATATTCGTTAACTGGCGTGTGAAGTTTTTGAATAATCCAAAGAGATTTTTTGTGCATTTATTTTTTTAATATTTTCTTCACTTTTACTTCCTTGCTCACATCCTGCCTACTGTATATTCATTTTGCAAGATCAGCACCCTCCCAATATCTTCTTTTACCCGTCTCGGAAGAATGCTTCTTTGTACTTCCTCAAAAACTCAGAAGAAACTTTGTCCTTGGATCCCCACAATAAATATATCCACTATTAACATGGCTGAAACCCTTCAATACATCCTATTTTGAGTATATATAAGTCTTATATTCAAGACATGTACAGGCTCTATTGTGTGAACAGTGCCTGAGAATAAAAATAAAATAAAATAAAGCTCTTTGTAGGGCAGATCTTCTTCTTCATGAAGAAATATTACGTGTGTGTACGTGACACAGCGTAACCTACAAAATGTCTAGGATGAACCAATCACTCGTCTCAAGAGTGTTGAGGATGCGACCAAGGTGCCACCGATGTGGGATCTAAGGAAGCATTAATGATGACACAAGCAGAAGAGGAGAATATATAGCCAACCTCAAGTCCCCGCCTTGTTGAGGCTGGCCAATAAGTCTACGTACTCCGGCCTTCGCTGATTTGTTGCGTTCATCTTCCTTTTCTTCTTTCGCCCTGTATAGCAAAGTCACATAACTGAGACTATGCTCTGTGCAGGCACAACAAACACAATCACCTCTACCATGAACCCTCATTTTACCGATCAATCCACTCGAGACATTCCTGGCCCTTCTCCTGCCGTCGAGAGTATACTCGCAGACGCCCTCTTCCCACCACGACCTTCCACAGAACAACCTGACTCGGAAACACCTTCAGACAAAAAAGACCCGCTGGCGGCTCAAGTCTGGCGGTTGTATACAAAGGCCAAGGATACACTTCCCAATGGTTCACGTCTAGAGAATCTCACATGGCGCATGATGGCCATGACCCTCAAGAAAAAAAAGGCAGCTGAAGCAAAAGCCAAAGCCGAAGAACAACAAAACGAGTTTAATCAAGACGTTTCCCCTCCCACACATGATGACACCACTGTCTTCTTGTCGTCCTCAGCCCCACCAGCAATCGATGGATTTGGCCCCAACTTTCACTCTACAATCCGACCAAAGTCAAATCACGAACGGAACGCTATGGTGTATGGGTCTACTCGTGCAGCACCTTCTCACTTGTCTTCGACGATATTCCCACAAACTCATGTAAGAATTGTTGATTTTGTATTTCATTATACTTTATTTCATTCGAGTGCATCCCCATGCATAGCGTTTTTGCATGGACAATTCCATAATACTTGAATAGGGTCGCTTATTATTTCTTGAACAAATAGACTTCAAACGGATTTACCTCTGGTGTTCATGGCACCAATAGTATCACAATTCCTGCGGATTCAGATATGGAAGAGTGCGACAGACTATCTCCTTACTCGGTATCATCCATGGAAGCATATTTCAGTCATTCGTTGCCGAGTGACCAGCTTCCAATGCAGTTCCAGAACATGGGCATTCATCCACCAGCACTTTTCCAACCACTTTCCCCCGAACCGACAATTCCTGATGAACATATGAATATGAACTCGAGTGCAAGTACAAGTGCGAATGCGAATGCGAATGCGGATACGAGCACGAATGCAAATGCAAATGCAGGGGCACTCAGCTTCGAGGATCTGCTGACAATGTATTATGTCCCTCAATCTGCCCCTGATCCTCTGCTCTCCGTGCATCCAGAGCCACTCCCACTTCCGACTGACAAGAAAGATAGCGCCACCCACTGTACAAACTGTCGCACCACAACCACACCACTCTGGAGACGAAATCCTGAAGGCCTTCCACTTTGTAATGCGTGTGGTCTCTTTCTCAAACTCCATGGCGTCGTGCGTCCTCTAAGCCTTAAGACAGATGTCATCAAAAAGCGCAACCGAAGCAATGCCACGCCCATCACCACAGTCAATAAGGGCATCAAATCCAAAGCAGCCGTATTTGCTAACCCCACCAACCATGCCATCGGTAAACGCGCCTCCACCAGCATTATCACACCCATGCCAAAAGATAAAAAGAAGCCGAACCTTGCCCCTGTTCCATTCACCAATGCAGGTCATCCCTTACGACCCATTGGTTCGCAAATGAACTACTCCACTATAAACTCCACTGCCACCTCGAATCCAACCTTAACTCCCATCACCACCAATACTAATACTAATACTACTACTACTACCAAACGTCAACGTCGCCTCTCCCTGTCAGAACAGGATAATAACAACACCAATGACAACAAAACTAATAATCAGTACCACATATCCATACAGCGTCCTATTCTTCAGACAGTCGGAAGCGCCCCTAATCTCTCTTGGATGGGCATGATGACTCAACCTGATCATGTTCATCCCATGTCCATCTCTGATATTCACCCAGGATGGTCATAACATCCTTCCAATTGATATTTTACACCACATATACATAGCGTTTCCTTATTTCCCTTTTTTTGTTTTCTACAATGAATAATGTCTTTAATCAATTTTTACCATACAATATTTGCGAGCATGGTTTAAGTGATATTCAAAGGGGTAGTTTTTCCGCAAGTAACCATATTCTCTTTATTTGTTGAGAAAGGAATGTTCATATATGAGTTTTACGCTTGTTAAATTAACTAAATACCGTTATATTAGCTTTATATAATTCAAAAACGAAGATAAAGCACGATTATTAAATAGATGAAAACTTTTATAGGGTATATCGTTGCCCTATGCAAAGTACAATATATTCAAACGCGTTTTCAAATGAAATTCTTGGCTTTATAATTCTTTTTGGATAACCTCGTTTTTGGGTCAAACAATTAAAATGATTCTTATTAACTGTAGGGGAAATCTCTATATACAATCCTTGAAGTACTTTCCGAAAGTGTTTAATAAGTGGAAATATAGGCCCAGTTTTATGCTCAAGTTTTTGCATGTTCTAAAGTAAATTTGTATGCTTTAAGTCACATTTCAACTTATGGATTATGATTTGATGAAAAATGGTTGAACTTGACTGTGATACTTTTAAAAGAAGGTCTACTTTGGTACCCATCATCCAACACACTCAGCGTAAATTCAGTAGGGTTTTGTTGTTATTAGTATTGGCTTTAGGTATAGTGTCGTATTTCTATTATGTGCCAACTGTCAGTTGTGTATGAAACATTTATTTCAGTCCAGATCCGACTGTTACTAGGAAGTACGTGAAAAAACTATTTTCCGTGAGCGTCAATGATGAATAAACTATCCAATATAAAATATTTTGTCCGAAAAAAAAGTTTTCAGGCTATTAAATGGATTTTGTGGGTGTAAATCAAACATTTTCAGTCAGTTCATCTTTGAGACTAGATTTAGGTATCATCAATGAGTATCTAAATATTATTTAGACTATTTCCTGTGAGATTGTTGGCATTATTTGTAATCAAAATTTTCTATTGTTGCTTTGCTGTGAGTAGCTTACAAGCTGTAAAAATTCATACTGATAATTGTTTATGCTTTTAAAAATAAGAAAAAAACTGGTTTTTTTTTGGGATTTTTTATTCTAAATATGTATCGCCAAAACAAAATTTTATCTAGGCACAAGTATGATTCTTGACAATATACATTTATTAGAATATAGTATTCTATAAAGTGTGTCCATTAATCTTTAATTCGAATATGATACGATTTTCAACAGTCGACAATATTCATTTGCGAGTGTAAGCAATAGTTATGCTTATTAAAATACGTTAATCTTTGAACAACTATAAAGATATAATGTTTCTTCTGGAGGGGGGAAATGAGAAATAAGAAACCCAAACGCAAAAATGCTTTATTAAATCAATAATTCGGTATCAAACATTCGTTTATTTGATTAAGAAATGGTATAGAGATAATGCTTGTATGTCGACTTTAGATTTTGGTAAACCAAACCTGATTTACCTAATGATTCGCTTGTTTGGCTTTATATTGCATACCACAAACTTTACAGTCTAATAAATAGGATAAGCTATAGTACCTATATGTTTGATGTAAAATCCGTAATAGTTCATCCTAAATTTTTGTTATAATGTAATTTTTTTTTGAAAACAAAAATAAATAAATAAATTCGACTATCAAAATGAAACTACTGCTAATAGTGTGAAAACGGTATAGAGATAACGAAGATATATAATATACTAACTCTCCCATTGAACTGGTAAGGTATATAAGTAAAATGTATACTTTGGAATGAGATAATATGGATAAATATCTTTAAGTCAGATAAACCCTTGAATAAAAAAAAACCGAACTTTCGTTTGGGTCTATTATCAATAATGAGGCCATATATAATGTTATGATATATAAAACACTGTGTATAAAGTAAGCATGAAAACAAATCATAATTAAACTCAAATATCAGAACTAAATGCAACAAACTATTTGGCATTGCTCTTAACCCGTTGGGTTCTAGTCTGTTCTTTGTCTAATAAATCTTCTCTAAATTTAGAGTAATTGTCACTTATAATATTGCTATGACAGAATGAAGTTATTGTACTATTATAAGGCAATTATAATATAATCCTTATATATAAAATACGATCATTTAAAGCAAATATCAGCTTACAATTTAATTCAATTAATGGCAATATGACTAGAGTTCTGCAAAGTAACGTAATAGTTAAGCTAGTATATATCCTTCTGCCTCAATATACATTTTTTCCGTCTATTATTAAAAGAGTGATTTCAAAGGAAAACAAATAAATAACGCTAATATACAGTTTTCTTCATAAAGCAGATATGCTTATTTTACAAAAAGTCCAGTAGCCCACCTTAAGCAATAGTTTTAGAAAATTAAAAAAAAAAAAAAAATAGCATACTTACTCTGGGATTCCTGACGTAAAAAAAAAGTTTTATTTTTCAAGTAACAATAGGTAAATCGGAGAGTAGGTTTGGTAGCAAAAACTACCGTACCCTTACTAAACTTTAGGACCTTTCTATTGGCCCATATGGCTATAGTATGTCCATTTAGTCGAAAACGGGTCATATGAAAGGCGCCTTCTTATTCCTTCCTCTTATTTTAACAACAAAGCTTTCTCCAAACTTACTCTTGGTCTGTTATAGAATAACGGTATGTATTTGTCACGTTTTATCATGTTATAAAGTCGTTCTAAAAAAAAACCTCATTGTACATATTTCCCATCAGTCTTCCCTTGACTTTATTAGATTACTATTCTTAAATGGATCAGACAATGACTATAGTGTTCAAGTTAATATTGAAACAAGTCTTGATTATATGTATAGCCACATAGAGGATCTACTAATAGCTTTGGAGAAAAGGTCAAGGTGATTTGATTTAACCCTGATTTTCTACAATTGGCATTAGTACTGCATACAAATAAAAAGAAACATATATATGTTATAAATACCATTGAAAACAAGAGCCAATTTAATTGCTATATTATGAAATATGAAGTTAAATCGTGATATAGAAGTCAAAAGTTTATTGTACTACTGTGTATCTGAGATATTCTTAAATAAAATATATGCCTTATATAAGATATCTCTCGTCAAAAGTAAGGTTCCCTTAAAAACATTAATATGATATATGTACTGCAGACTATACTTACATGTAGTTTCAGGAGTAAGAGCTTTCAATATTACTATAGCATGCATACCAAGAGTACTATTCATTTTAATAACAGGCTTGTGTAGTAGATATGCGTTTTCTTTGCAACCTAATGCACCTTCAAGAATTCAGCAGCACCATCACCATCACCAATGCCAATACCAGTAGAAGCTGTAATATATTTATACACATATACACGCACATAGGGAAAAAGAAATAAATAAAGTATATATTTTGCTATTTACACACTATTAAATACACTCCTAGACTGTCATATTTATAAAAGGTAAGCACCTTAACCCCTGTAACATATTCAATAAGATAAAGCGTTCTGTACTCCTATATATAAACGCATAAATATATAAATACAATTTTGTATATAAATATATATTAAAAAACGCTAAATTACAGTTTTTAATAAAGGCAAAAGACAACTTGTATATATGTATATATATACAAATGAAGTAGGGGAATACAAAAAAAATCGTGTTTCTTGTGGAGGATATGTGCAAATTTAATCTTTGTGAACCTCGGATATGTAAAATATTGAATCAAATGAAGACTAATGATCGACTAGCTAAATAGTACAAATAAGAAGGTAAAACTCTTTGAAATACCATGTGTACTATTATTTAGTATTATTGCATATGCAGTTGGACTTGAACTGTGCATGTATTCTGCATATCCGCTATTCTCTATTTTATGTATACGTATGCATGTGTGTATGTGTTTGGATCATTTCTCTTTCTTTTATCTCTCTTTATCTTTTGCTTTTTGTTACTGGTTATTCACCAAACCTTAAATCCCATTTTCTGGAGTACCTAATATATTTATAATTTGGGGTTTTTCTTTCTTTCTGCAAGCTCAGTAACAAAAGAAACAACACCAATGCCTTAATATTCTCACATATATGAGCTTCGGTGGCTTTCAAGATTCATGAATATAGACAGATAGACAATAGTTTCCACAAATACAAAAATTAAGAGATATTTATTATAATCCAAGATAAGATATATACTGCTGGTATCTTGGAAACAAATCTCTAAGCCAACAAAAAATATTTTACAAAATCTTTGTTACAACACTCTCAAAATCGATATATGAACTTTCGAGCTGGCGGAATCCCCATGGCCGTTTAAATTCAGGGTGCTCATACAACTCAAAATCTCCATCTTTCACCAATTGGGCGGCAACCTTGCGTTTAACGAATGCTGTCTTTCCGTCCTTGAATTCCAAGCACACTGAGTGCCAAGGAGTTGGTCCACGCAAATTAGGTGACATCTGAATAGGGAATTTTGGCCCAGAACTGTTGTATCCATGGATGGAGAGGCGTAAATGAGTAGGATAGTGGTGCTCGCATAGCCTAGAAAAGGCAACATTGCGCTCCATCATCTTTCTTGCTATTTGGCGGCACTCTTTCTTCTTTTTAGTCTTGCTCATTCCTGCAGGCCACACAAGATCTTCTTCAAGATACCGTACAAATCCAAGATTTACCATGGTGTTACTTATGGCCTCGGCTTTATCAGCGTCAGTAAATATCTCCATCAATCCCGCACGTCTCTTGTCATGGATATCAAAGTTTTCTCCGGCTTGACCAACTTCAAGATCGTCTATATTAATGGCTGCCAAATGATCATCTAATGACCTGAATATGATATGCTTAAGTCCTCCGCGTGATTTGAAGAGTGTGAATTCCAGGAAATTGTTGTATACTGAAACTAGCTCATCCTTGACGCCAATAAGATCAGCAAACACACGGCCATCCGAGACAATAGTAAGTTGACATCCTTGGGGATAATATTGGGCTACATCAGCACAGAAAGATTCTATACGCAGAAGCCCAAGCTCTTCTGTACGATCAGGAAGAACTCCGAGAACCTTGTCCCGATTGTTGGGAGACTTGCAAGGAAAGGCTGGCAGAACCATGAGAATTGGCTCGAGTGCACACACGAACGGATGAATTTTACTGGCCAGGGCATACTTTCCGCTCTCTGAATAGCAATCGACCAAAGGCTTGGAATGATATCGGAGTTCAGCATCAAAATGCTCTAGAAAACGTTGAACTACATGTCCACATCTATCAGGAGTATTACAATCATTGATCGCAATGTTATCAAGGTACAAGACAGGAGAGTTCGAGCTGGTACTGGTAGAAGAAGACAGAACGGGAAGTTCTCCTGAGATGTTTGGTTCAGAGCAACCCTTTTTTTGAAAGAGGTTTAGCACTTGCTTGAATGAACTGTAGAAGAATGAACTACCAAGAAAGCCTTGGAGAAATGATAGTTAGTAAACTGACTTGATTATGATAAATACTTTCTTTGGATAGAAATCCTAGCATACCTTGATACGAAACGTCGTTTTTTACACCAATGGATGATCCATTATACACAATGTCTTTGGAATTTTCTTTGTAGGAGTTCATGTTTTGATATTTGTTCAATATTGGCGTAATAAAAGTTTTAATTTTGGGTGATAAAGGGTGAAGAAGAGAGCGAATACTTTTTTACAATGAACAAACAAACGTTCCTTTATATATTCATGAGTTCTACGGCATATGGTGTCTTGTACTCATTCGAGAATATGCCTTTGTATTCTTCTTGTTACTGTGTGTGCATATTTGATTCAGCCCAGAATATTAACAACTCATTATACACCAAATACTTTAAGCTTGTCATGCGCCAAACTTATATATCAAAAGGCTTGTGGGCGCATGCACAATAATATAAAAGCATTTTTATTTTTATAACAAAAAATTGTCAAATTAAGAAGGATAACCGGAGAAGTGTGATATACTGTATGCAAATAATACAGAAACCAGGAAATTTATGATTTTATAAAGAAAGAAGAAGAAGAATAAAAAAAACCTATTATTGGATTGACGTACACAGAGGTTGAGATTATAGTTGATAAACACCACGTTAAGGAATCAAATCAACAAAACCTCTCCTATAGCTTAGCTCTTTGTCGTATGGTGATATTTTAATATGTATTTAATCAAAAAAAAAATGCATAAATGACTGTATATCTTGATGCTGTGCCTGAATATGTATATACTGCAGGCATTATAAATTACTCAGTTGTGGCTCATATGAAATATAGTAATTATCGCCTTTACAACAACAAAAGGCCCTGGTGTGGTTCTCATGGTCACGGCATTAGTGAAGCTAAATAGGGTGTATTCAATACGCAGTTAGTCTCGCAAGAAACGAACTAAACTCTAGCTAGATTCATACAATCTCTTTGATCCCAGCAAAAAAAAATAACTAAATAAAGGTTTTATTAACTAAATACAAACAAGTGAATTTGTACGTAGATGCAGTATCGTGTACAATCTGCCAAATTATACTAGAGAATGCGTACCCTATTTTTCATTGTTATACAAATCTTATTCTTGATAGCCATCTGTGCTCACTTTACATTTTATTTATTTATTCAAGGACAGTCACCCCCAATTAGGTACGTTGATCACGACTGAGCTTTCTACACATTGATATTGTGTACAAGACGATATAGACAGTAGTGTTTTGCTCCAGAGTGATTTTATCTCCAGCTAACTAATTTAATTTTGAAGCTCATATATTGTATGGATACCAGATACCTTACTTTGGTATTGTTTAATTGTATAATCCAAGTCTATTTAAAATAATTTATTGCGTGTACAAGTCTTTTGAGTGAGTTTGAGGTATAATATATTTGGAAAGTCGGCTTTGTAGCGGCTTCACTTGAAAGTATTTTCACAAGAAGCTATAAATATTTATGATATTTAATGAGTAGATGAATATTTTCAAAATTAAATAAATAAATAATAATAATAGTAATAATAATAATAACAAGGATAATAAAGAAGTTGTGTATTTTATCAAAACAAAGAAATTCTATGCAGGCTTATATTTATAATATACCCAAAGAATTCATATATACTACATTATCTCTTTATCGTATGCGCGCAGAATAAGTCGTAGAACCTCGGTAAAATAAAAGGCTTGGCCATTTATGCTTGTATACAGATATGTATACAAAGTACATAATACTATATAGCACACACTACCAGTATAGCTTACGTATCCTATCCAAGTTGAGACTCTGTTAAATAGATCTTGATAAAATGTGTACTGTAATACAAGTACATGTGAAGCTCCTTTTAAACACTAATTATTGCAATAAATGGTAGAATCTGTCTTTGACATCTCAATCCTTAATAATTTCTGCAGTTAAATTTAGACAAAGCAGTTTTTGGATATATATTATTTACGATAAAAATAACATATCAGTTGACAAAACTGGTCCAGACGCGTCCCACCCCTACATAAGTAGTTTGATGCTCATATTAGAAAAAAAAAATCTTTAAATTAGGAAAGATTGATTTTAAACATCAAATGAGCCAATCACGGTAGATGTAATTCTTATTGCTGAGCAATAGTCATAGACGGAAGGTTAAAAATAATTGATAGTTTAATAGATTATCTTTCCTATACGTACAGCGCTTAAGGTGAATAAATCTTGCTGTAGTATTTTGTGTTGTCTTGTTTATTAAACTTTACAAAGAGCTTGATGGCAATAAAATAATCATACAAATAATTCTACGAGAAAATCAATAGTGATATGATAACAGGGAAAAAAAGCAGACAATGAATTCTGTACTAATAATGAAGATGGTATCTTTTTATTACATTCCCGGTCTCGTTACATACATAATAGTACTACTATATGTAAATGTACAACTGAAGCAAATTTCATTGAAAGGATCGAATACAACTACACTTGTATATCTGGTTCCACTCACTCTTCTTCTTGCTAGATCATCATTAGAGTTTCCCGAGTAAGAAAATAAAAATAAAAATAAGTTCATAATAATAAGGCAAGGTAAAAGACTGGAAATATTTTGCTGTTGCTATTGCTTTTAATGATATCTGACAGTGGAGAAAAGGGGTCTTGATTGGTTGTTGTAGTTATTCCTTAAACTGTCAAAAGTAAACTATATGTCTTCTTTTATCAACATTAACTTAAAATCTTGTATTATTTCGATAGAAATTAATTCAAAATTGAGCGCTACACTTTGGGTGGAATTGATTCTTGAGATTATACACATTTTCATATTATCAATAACCGTCAGCCAAACGGTTCTGAGCTAAAATAGTTCTTGTTTAAAGCAGAGTGCGGGTCACAGCTTAGCTTACTCTTTTGCTGCTTTTATAACTTAATATGCGCTGATCATCATTAGACAAATAACTGATATATAATTATCTTAACCGAGTTTTTAATAAGGTTGCTTTAATTTCCTATTGAAAATGCAGGCTCAGTACGGTATATGAAAGGCAAATTGAGGATACAAGGAAAATAAATATATGATATACATCTATTGTGTTTTTCTAAGTACAACCTTGGGACATGAGCTTATAAATAACAATATTTTTGGAATAAAAGTTTAATACTTACAAAGAGTCAAAAAGTATTTGTAATTCTACAACAAAGTCTCCAGCTTTCTTTGGATATTTAAACATCAAGGCAAACTGTAATAGGCTGATACCATATTCTACTTTTTCAATAAAGATATATCTGTGTATTTGTAACCATTATATATTTAACAGTCCAGTTTTAACTTTTGGTGAATCACACAAAATTTCGATTTTTTTTGTGGTTTCTTAATTATGGTGCGCACTAAATAATATTCACTACTAGCAAAAATTTCAGAATAATTGAAACAAATGTAAAACCCTAAATAAAATACTCCTGACTGAACCATACAAGAAATCTCCTTCTTTTTGTCAGGGCAAGTATGGCTAATATGAGCTGATTCCTTTGACAGGCATATGTATTGTAGTGTTAGGCATTTTTCCCAAGTGGACAAGATATATTATGAATATATATATTTTGCATATTTTATGTGTGAATTGTGGAGAATTCAGACTCGTTCCAATACATTTAGACAAAAACATTTCGCTCCCCGAAAAATAAATGGGTAAAAAAATAAAATAAAAAATAGACATTGTTTTCCCATTTTATTAATAGAATATAATACCCAAGACACATCATCAGAAAACACTCGCGATTAGTAGGTGAAAAGAAATCCTTACAAATACAGATGCATTATGTACATTCATTTAGCAGTTTTCGGTGTAATCTACATTTCATTGTTAGCTGGAATGAGTCTGTCCACCGTCAAGTACATCATTAAGAGAGTGTGCATAATAAAATCTCTAACGCCAATAAAAGGTTACGGAAAACCTAGAAATATTTTTGAAAAGACATAAAGGCACCTTCTTCAAATGGTTTGGAACGAATCATTTGGCTCATAATATGGGCTAAGAGTCTCTTTAAATAAGATGAAGGTATTTGTCTATAGAAAGACACTAATAAGCTATCTCAAGCGTTTGGGCTTTGGATCATATATTGTAACTCATAAGCACCTTTAACAAAAGGCCACAAGGAAAGACAGTTGAGTTGGGCTTGCGAGTATTTCAATTGGATGGATGAGCAATGGAGAAATATAGTATGACTCAATGAATCCAGGTTCAAAATTGAAGGTAATGATGGGAGAGCCAGAGCTATCAGGAAAGCTAGGAAAAGGTCCAAGGAAGAAAATACAATCGAGAGAACCAAGTAAGAGAATGGTATTATGGATAATCCGGAAATATATCTTGGTTAGTGGTTTTGGACATTTGATATTCTTAGATGGCAACGTAAACCAAAATCAATACGTGAACACTCTGTTTCAGAAATTTCATGCCTTGGTTCCAAAATTCATTACGGAAACAGAACAGGCACTTCATATTCCTAGAAGACAATGTTAGATGTTATACTGGCTCTTATTCGAAGTAATGGAATTATAGGCATAATGTATGGTGTTTTGATTACTGGCCAGCTCAAAGTCCGGATCTCAACTACATTAGACACCTCTGGTGGGCTTTCGAGAGACAAATGAGTGATGAGAAGACCAGTACCAACAACATTGGTGATTTGGAGGTTGTGATGCGACAAGAGTAGCAAAGAATAGGCGTCGAACTCGCATCAACTTTGGCAGGAAGTATGCAACATTGATACGAGGCTGTAATTGATACCAAGGGAGGTCACATCAAATATTGATACTTATAAATATATATACATGTTTTTAAAAATAAACATACATATCATCTTGTATTTGAAGTTTGAAGACTTTAGCTATTATTATTGATGAGCAGCTGCATGTTGAAGACATGACATGATTTCTCTTATGCTTTTTTTTGGCTCAGAGGTCGAAATGCTTTTGACTGTGACTGTAGTAATCAATAGCTTGCTTGATAGGAAAATGAGACAACGAGAAGTTACCTAGTACCGGCGTATACGAGGAGCAATTCAGAAAGATGGTGCTTGTCTCTCAATGCAGAGGTAAAACCACAAAAGTACCAAACGATCTACTTTCAGGAGGGTTATCATCATTGACTGGGAGATTTCCTATGTCAATGAATTTTTTATTTTAACGGCATGAAAGAGTTTAAAACTTTTTTGTGCTTTTAGGTCCTAAAATAATGTGCCTGGGACTCTAATTCGACCAGACCAGGATGTCATTGACGCACTTTCAGATAAAAAAAGAGTGGCACTAAAACGTAGCATTTGTTTTTTATCTTAAAAACCAATGCCCAGATTTTTTTGCTGTCAAACAAACTATCTCAAACGTCAAGTCAGATCAGTAATAATATTGACTTTTCTTTTTATATTTTTTTGGTCAAAGCAGCAAGTTTCTCAACTTTCAATTCCTTTATGCCAATTCCAGAAGTCAGACTAGTAATCGTTATTTATTCTGCTAATTTTTATCTTTTCTCCTACATCAACCAATTCCAAAGCCAAAAAAAAAGTCTAGCAAGTAAAATTTACTTTGCTTTGGTTCAGATTGTGCCTTGGTAATGGAGAACTGGTCTGTATATTTTAATAGGTGCCATAAACCAATAGAATGTTTATTAATGTGATTTCTAATTTGTAAACATGAATCTGATGTCTTTTTTTTTGTTATTGATCGATGAATTTGGTGCGTCCAAGCACTGCCCTTTGTGACCCAGATATATCTTCTAAAGTCTAAACAAGTCCCAAAGCCTCGGCCATTTTTGTAGCAGTACTGTTTTTTCTTTATAAATTATTCTAAATATACCAATCCAAATTACTTGGACATGGCTTCGTTAAAGTTTGAACATCATTTGTGGTATAAATTCCCTGCTCCTGTATTGAACTTCCGACAGATCTTTAACCAGTTGCTACACGATGGCACGATTCCTGATAGGTTCGTCCGTATAATCCACGTTAGAAGTGTTGAGACCAAGAGGGGTTGTCCCGAATAGTAGTCTTGTGAGACGAAGATTGTCAAGTTCTAGAATAGTAACACTGGCAAGAGTAATAAGAGCACGTATCTTCCAACCTGCTTATCATCAGGCACCCTCAAGATCCAAGATGGTAAGTTATTACATCATTTCTATACTTTAGCGAATCGTTTTACTATTCTCCATATTACGTGAAAGGAACAAAATATAAAGATTCTTTGCGTTGATTGCAAAAAAAAAACAGAATACTTGGACATAGAAGAGGTATCTTTAAATTTACACTACAATAGTAAAGGAAATAAGAAAAGTTGAAATTGAAGCATTAAAAAAAAGGAGGAAAAATAGTCCCTAATTGTGATTTAACATTAAAACAGCCTTGGAACCCCCGAAAAAAATTACAAAGATAACCTACTATAGCAAACCTTTCTTTCTTTATCATATAATAAATCAAGCCTCTTGATAGCCCATTTTTAACATCGATTGTTCAATACATAAAATAGGGTTTTTTGCTCTCTTGCTTTTTATCTATTACTCTGTATAATCAGTTATTAAAGCCATATAGCTAGACTTGTTAACGTTTAAAGGTTATGGCACATTGGTGTAAGGGCTTATTTATATTTATATTGTATCTTGATTTAAATAATCAAGGAGTCGAACTGTTTCTCAGAATGCATGGGAGAATCACGGTGCTTTAGATATAAAGTTATGGAGGGACCACTTGGAAAACCAAATAGCATTCTATTGTTCGCCTTTCTTTAATAAAATAGAGAGACTGTTCAGACCCAAATAATATAGTGTTGAATCAAACATATTCCTGCTTTTCACTTTCAAAGAAAAATATATTGTACGCCATAATGTTGTACAGACATATCACTCTACTTTTAGAGAGAGAGAGAGAGGAGAAAGAAGAAAAAAGAAGAATATTGGATACTTTCAAAATAACGAAAAGATAAAGGTATAGGCTAACAATAAGTCATGGAACTTTATCCATAAGTTAGGGTAACCTGTTATTTATTTATCTTTCTTCTGGTAAGTGTGCAGGGGCCATGCTAGTCTTCTCTGTATCTTTCCAATTTTAGTATGTGACAGAGGTGCAAGCATTTGCCTCTTTTCTCTGATTTACAAAAGCCAGTGTACATCGTTTCTAAAAAAGCACTTATTAATGTGTGATATTTTATGTGAGCATAGAACTCACTCTAAGTGAATGTGATTGGTTACTGCAGACAAAAAAAAATATTTTGCAAATGTGTGAATGACTTGTTCAAACTTTGAATAATTACTAAATAATAATAATATATCTGTGTGTGTATGTGTGTGTGTGCTTGTGTGTGCGTGTGTGCGTGTGTGTGCGTGTGTGCGCGTGTGCGTGTGTGTGCGTATTGGTGTGTTTGTGTTTGTGTGTCTTTTGAACATCCTAAATTTTCTACATCAATTCTTCTTCCGGGGGCGGAGGGGAAGGGCCTTTCTTACTCTTTATTTTTAGGGGTACCCTTGACCAAATAACAAATGACTTCTTTTGGGTTAAGGAGAACTATGACTGGTATAAAGGTAAAGAGGCGTCCATTAAGGCGCCTTAACGGTGTCTGGAGCGGTCCTCCCGACACACCAGGACCATCCACAACACCAGCCAAGGTTTCAGCGACCTCCCAAACCCATAAATTTCACAGGACGCGACTATCTCCTCCCGTCGTCACACCATCACCAGTCAGTTCACCTGTTCAAGAGAGCAGTATAATCCCAACCATGCAAGACAAACAAATGCATCCATTGGACAATCCATCCGTAGAATCCTACTTCATCCCAGGCGCGAAAGTGTTTGATCGTTACTTTGATTGTCCTTTGGGTAAAAAAACAAACAAACAAACAATTAAAAAGAAATTCAACTAAAGTTGCTAATTATTCCCATCCATCTCAACAATCTGACTCATCCATCATTACTCAGCATACAAGCAAAAGTCTCCTGAGAAGATCAAGGTGTTTGCACGCCATCTAGTCCCAGTTGACAAAGTCAATGACATAAAAACAATGCCATTCTTCCTTTACTTGCAGGTAAGCGGATGAGATGAGAATCAAAGTAAAAAAAAAAGAAAACTTGCTTATCGTGACTACATTATAATCAAACAAGCTTAAGTATATATGTGTAGACGCACGCAGATAGACTTATCTGTGTGCGTACATATTCATGAATATGACACTCACCTCTTGTTAATATTGGAAATATAATAGGGTGGTCCTGGGTTTGAAGTTGGACTTCCAAGCAGTGCAACATCAGGCTGGATCAAAGAAGCCTTTGCGATGGGCTTTCAAGTCCTCTTACTTGATCAACGTGGAACTGGACTTTCTTCACCGATCTCAACAGAGTCCTTAGCTATGCTTGGTCTAGATACTGACCAAGCTAAGGCTGGTTATCTGACTTTCTTTCGTGCTGACAGCATCGTGCGTGATTGCGAGACAATTCGAGAGCAATTGACCGCCGATCGGGCACCAGACTGTGAGAGCCGATTTACTCTACTTGGTCAAAGCTTTGGTGGCTTCTGCATCACCACCTATCTTTCATTATTGTAAGCCATTTTTTTTTGGTTTTAGTTTTTGGTACTTATCACACTCACACTTATTAATGTGGTTTTCAGCCCAACATCTATTCAACACGCCTACATTACTGGAGGTGTTCCCCCTCTTGTAAACTCCCCTGACGTTGTCTATCGCGCACTCTACCCTCGTATCCTAGCCAAGAACAAATTATATTACAAGAAGTTTCCCCACGATATTGAGCGTGTGCGCAAAATCCATGCTTACCTATCCCAAAACCAGGTTCGCCTCCCTAATGGTGGTACATTATCTCCTCGTCGTTTCCTTCAACTTGGTATCCTGTTTGGCGTATCCGGAGGTTATGATACCCTTCATGAAAATATAGTCTTTGCTTGTGCCGACCTGGATAGTCTTTCTCGTCTGAGCTATCGAACTCTCAACAGAATCCAAGAACTTCAGGGCTGGGATACCAATGTTATATATGCTGTCCTCCACGAAGCTATATACTGCCAAGGCGAAAAGAGTAACTGGTCAGCCGAACGTGTACTCAACGAGCCACAATTTGCCAGCGCATTTGAGTGGCGTCTTGACCAGCTTAACCCAGGACAACCTGTATATTTTACCGGAGAAACCATTTATCCGTTTATGTTTGATGATTATTCAGAACTCGCACCCCTCAAGAAGATTGCCAACCTCTTGGCTGAGAATACCTGGGGAAAGCTGTACAGTCGGAAGACTCTCAAAACATTGACCACTCCTGTGGCAGGTGTAACCTATTACGATGACATGTATGTATAAATAATATTTTTCAAGTTTTCAAAAGAAAAAGGAAGCTGATATACAATTCATAACCTAGGTTTGTTGATCGTGAGCTATCTGTCCAGACTGCAGGAAATATCAATGGTTTCAAACAATGGATCACAAACGAATATGCTCACAAGTAAGTAGCAAGTTTTTTTTTTCTTTTAAAAAAATTACACCGATGAAAATTTCCAAAAACTGAGTAATGATTTATGTAGTGGTTTGCGTGTTGATGGAGAACGTGTGCTAAGTTATCTCGTGAAGTTGGGAAGAGGTGATTCCGCTTACGATCGATAAATACATTTGGGACGTTATGAATTTTACATAAAATAAACAAAAAATAAGTTTAGTTTATTGGGCATAGTTATGAAGATATACATTCCATAAACGTGTGTGTGTGTGTGTGCCATTCAACAGCTATATCTAACCATGGATCTTTTCAAAGATATTTATCTATATTTTATACAAAATGTGCTTTAACAAGAAGTAATATATTTTCACTAAAGTTACTTTACAATTAAAATCACTTTTTACCAAAATGTTTGTTTTATTTAAAGTATAGTGGTGTTCTGTTGATCAACAAAGGGAACTTTTCAAAGATAATCATCTCATACACATGTACTGGCTTACTCAGTCCAGTATTTATCTCTTCTTCTTATATATATATATATATATATATACGTCAATATATTAACATCTAATCATATATGCAAATGATTGTTATATTGAAATCATGTAAAATATACTGAATCACTTATACGCCAACTCTTTAAGACACTTAAACCAAGTTGGCGTTATGATCAATACAAGTAAACATTCAACTTGTAGATATTTGTCCAATTTTAGATATTCAATATATTGAACTTGTAATGCTATGTTGTATGTATACTGTTTATTGACATATTGCCAAATTGATTGAATTTGTTCTTTTGTGTAATGTATGTGAGTGTATATAAGATAATAAGATGGTGTTGGTATAAGATATGAAATATTGGGGGACTATGACAGCTTATGTTTTGCGAAGAATGCATTCTTTGGTAGGATCCTGGGATTCAGATGAGTTCCACTGGCTAAGAGTAAGTACAGTGACAGAGATCATGCTAAATTTTAAAGATATATAACAGTTTAATTAATAGAGAAATTAGATAATTAATAAATTAGGACTTACCCAATAGCACCCAATGTAATCAGAAATATATTTGCGAGACGACGGCCAATGGGTAAGGAGAGAGCTTTAAGGTGGAAAAGGGGAGGGAAAATGAAGCAAAGAGGGATGCAAAAAAGAGCACCAACAAAGGATACGAATTTGTCGAGCTTATCCTTAGATCCAACGATGGCAATCCAGGCACATATAAACACGACCAGAACTCGAAAAACGTTCTTTTGCCACTTCACAAGTGTGTTATTCTTACCAGACCTAGTCACAAACAAACCATTTTCCATAATCCGAATAGCAGGAAAGAGCTGCAAAGGGATAGAAAGACATATAGCAAGAGAGTACAGGGTCTGAATAGAAGAAACCATTGGATCTTTGCTCGGAAGATTGAGCAATATGATTGTCTTTACGTTATCACCAAATGTCAAGTATGATAATGCACCCATAGATACAAACAAAAGAGTGATAAAAAAGAGCGCGCGTTTAAGTACAGTGGGGAACTTTTGTGGGTCCTTCATTGATTCAGTGATTGGGATAACTAAAGGTCCGAAAGAGAATAAATTATTTAGATAAGTTGTCACATCTACTATACCTTTTAAACTTATTTAATCGAAAAACTTACCTAGGCCAACACCTTCAAAGGTAAAGGCAGCGGTACCAATAAAGAGTGGAAAATGGAGAGGGTTCCATAAAGCAACATCTGCTTTACCAACAACCACCAATTCCTTGATATCGTAGTAGAAAAGATAACCAAGGCCAATTACGATAAACACGTCTCCAATAAGAGCAAAGACGGACAAACGTTGAATTTTGCGGATCATAGCAAGAGGGATAAATGCAAAGCTCTGCGCTAAAATTAACAGGTGCATTGGAATCAAAACTCTGCATTTTGAAAACGCCAATACAAGTGATTGTAAATTTTCAGCAACAAAGATCATGTAGGCACAAACAAATCCAATCTGAGACAAGGTGATTGACACTAGTACAGCAGTACGCATCCATGAGCCATACAACACTCCTCCCATGTCACCAAAACTAGCTGGAACCACCAGGCGGGTTTGGACTAGCAGCATAAACGACCAATACGATATCAGTGCCAGCAGTACTATACCAACAGTAGAGAATACAAGCCCTCCGTTATCGAATCTAATTTTTTTTTATAAAATATATATATATGAATATTGATTCAACATTACATACGACTAGACATACGCTTTGGGGAGAAACATAATCCCGGTAGTGACAAAGGATTTTAATAGTAAAAACATAGCTTTTCCTGGTGTAGCTTTACCCTGAAGGGTCTGCCCTGGTTTAGAGCGCGAGAGTAAAGGCATTGTTTCTCGAGCATGGAGGTGACGATACTGGACTGGCTGATGATGAAGTCCCTTTGATACAGCAGATGAGGAAGTGACAGGTAGGGGTAAGACAGGTCCGCCTGTGGAGAGATAGGACGGATTTGTCTGAAGCATAGCCCCTCGATAGACTCTTCCTCTGCCAGAAGCCTCTTCTTCCGCACCCTCGGCTTCGTTTTCATCAGTTGAATCCTCATCCTCATCCTCATCCTCTTCATTCTCATCAGTTAATTCCTCATCGTCACTCGATTCTTCATCGTCACTTAGATCCTCACCGCCAAAGTGGCCATATAAGCATAAAAATTCTACAAAGCTACTTGTCACCAAGTTGGGGAGTGTTTTGCCTTGAAGACGGGCAGTTGTGAGAACATGGTAGCGTCTGAAGCCGCCTGGCTGTTTTAGTGATTGTAAAAGAGGATCGGTGGTGACATGCCGAATTGCAGGTAAAGAAATAGATTGGGTACGCTCTCGCCGTTGTTGGGTACTATCAATGCGTGCAGTCCATTTGTAGATCTCGTCTACAACTGATCCACCTGGGAGTTGGTGATGAGCGGCATAGTCGTCACTGGGTTGCAATGTTGGTTGGCTGGGCTGAAACACAAGGTGACGCTTAACTACCTTGGCGACCTGTTCAACCGGCAGGTCAATCGTTAATGAGCGTTTCATGGATCTCAAAAAGAAAAGAGTGGGGTGAAACCAAGAGAAAGCAGGCAAAAAAGAGTTTGTAAAAGAACAAGAGAATAAAGAAACCAAGGGGGCGGGGGAGGTCACAACAAGATTTGGTCTGAGCCAAACGTGGGTCCTCCAAAAGGGTCCACACGTTTGTGAATTATTCATATTCCCAAATTCTCATGCTGTATATTGATGCTTTTTTTTTTTAAAAAAAAAAAAAGTTTGATATAAAGGCCAGCATAGGATAAGGCAACTCTAGACAACTTGGGAAATTATATAATGTGTTTCTTTATTAGCTTTACTGATATTATCTGCCTTTACCTCATCAAAACTAATCCTGGCTTTATACTGGTAATCAGTTAAATTGCAGTAGTTAAATTCAATACAAAGGTCTGTGAGTATCTTATAAACATACCTCGTCTAATTCGCTCAAAAGACATAAGGTACTTTTTATACTCACCTAGCCTTTCATATTATACTTATTAATTATTGTTTCTGCAATTGCGATATACTACAGATGCTGTCAATACACACAGTTCTTTATTTTATCTTTCATTTACATTTCTCTACACCCAGTCGACAAAATGTTTTATGGCACTTATCATTGGTATCGTCATTCTCATCTATAATCAGAACAGCGAATCCTACTTGCTGTTTCACAACTTGGGCTTGGGTTGTGAGCCATTTAATATGAGACGTGGTTCTACAAAGTGTGTTTAGTCCTCACTTCCATTTTTACTTATTGAGCAACTTGACCAAATATGTACTTTCTATTTTAATAAGATATTTAGTTCATTTGAGTATAAAGGCTTTCATAGTTATCTGAATATGCATTCCATACAATACACTATCTGAATTATTTTTGTTGGCTTCTATAATATATATTCAACTCCCCCTTTTTCTTCTTCTCTGATATAAAAGCTGTAGAAAATATCAAAGCAAACCCAACATTGATTCTTGACCTTTTAAACAAGTTGAAATTGAACGGAGTCAGATTTTATCTATGATAAACATAATCCAGGTTTGATTTTATACTTATTGAAGAACAGTTTTTTTAACCTTACTCTTAATATATATAGTTAGCTAGGCATTTGTTCCATATATGAAAAGAGCTTGAGATTCCAACTTTCATTTAAAGATTTTTTTTAGAAATAAAAAAAAGGCTGGCTTTTATTGTTTATTGTTTTGAAATATTAGGTTGATTAATCCAAACCAAGACCTTGACGTAATTGAATAATCTCAGAGGCAGTGAGCTGTCCAGGAGCAGCAATGGCGGGAAGACATTCGTGCGTAACTGGAGAAAGGAAACGGTTGAGGACACGCGAAATCTTACCATGGGGTCCCATGTTTATAGCAATAAGTGCTTTTGAAGGATATCTTGAACGGAAGACCTCAAGATCAATGGAATCCTGAAGAGTGAGAGCAGCGCCGACCAACTTAACAATACCCTTGTGATCATGTTCTTGAAAGAGGCTAATAGTTGACTTGAAAAGGTCCCCAAATTCAGTACTTGATGTCCAACCATGTTTATGGCTGGGATCGTGGTAAGAGCCAATTATGGTGTGAGTACCCGTGAGGTTATGGTTAAAAGTAAGGAGGTTTTGAAGTACTTCTTTAGAGAGAGTAGTAATTTCAAGATCAATGTAATCGCATCCCCAAAAGTGAGCCCATTTCACAAGATCAGCATGTGTTTGAAGATCGGCAGGGTCAAATTTTCCAGCCTGGGGAACAGTTCGAACAGTAAAGATAATGGGAAGACGTGCATTTCCAGAAAGTGCTTTGGAACGACGGAGATGGGCGAGTTGAATACCTGCCGTGGTTACCCAGTTTGTCGCTGTTAATAAATCTACTCTGAACTCAATAGCATGAACATCTTCCAGCCACTGACTCATCAAGAAAGGGTTGACAGAATCGTAGCTATCCACAGTAGGAGTTACGAATCGCGTAGATGTTGGGTGTGTGGCCTTCACATGGGCTGGCTCAACAAGATTACCGATAAAACCAATTAAGGCGGCAGCCTCAGCATTATCCAGTGTTATATAACAGTATTCGTATTCACCAGTAGAAGAAGATGTGGGCACTGAGGTAAGTCTGATGACTATGGCCTTCTTATCTTGATTTTCTTTAGTTCTCGAGACTGTCACAAAAGAAACCGACGGGGATACAGCTTTCTTTACCCAGGCTGATTCTTCTTCTGTGCTGACCACCAATACAACGGGAACAACTGAGGAATGGACACTACTATTGACCGAAAGAGACCCGACAACGGAGTGCTCAGAAACATACTTTTTGACAATGTTCTCGATTGCATCATCTGCAACAGCACTGGCCTTGGGTTCAAGAGTGGTGCCAATAGAAGAAAGAATCACTAGTTTCTTCTGAGAACCCTGGTTTTTCTTGTCAACTCGCATAACTTGCATAACATCATCTAGACCAAGTCGTGCTTTTGTGGCTGCATCGAAATCAATAGGAAGACCGTAGGCTACCAAGACACGCTTAAGACGTTCTACAACTGCATAATCGCAATGGCCGAGAAGATGACTCACTTCGGCTTCTGCGACCAAACCCACTGAGACACATTCGCCATGTAGCCAGTCTGGGGAGAGAATCTTTTCAAACGCATGTCCGATTGTATGACCAAAGTTTAAAAGACCCCGCAATCCTCCCTCCCGTTCGTCTTCGGTAACCACGTCTGCTTTGAACCGAGCCGATGCCAGAATAACCTCCAGCAACTTTTCTCTTCCCTTACTTGCCTCCTCTATTGTTTCATATTAATGGCTTTATCAGAGCCTCTTTCTAATTTTTTCACGCTGTTAGTCTATGCACTTACGAGTGGTGTGAAGAGAGGCTTCCATATCGGTCGCACCATCTTCGAGTACTTTGAAATCAGCCTCACTCGAAATAGCAGCCGTCTATAATAATAATAATACAAGAAAGTTAAAATCAATCAATCGACAATTAAGAATATCTCAGCTCTTGACCACATTTTACCTTTATAACTTCTGCCATACCGTTTCTGAACTCACGCGACGGAAGCGTCATCAGCATTCCAAGATCCATATAGACACGCTTGGGCTGCCAAAATGCGCCAACAAGATTTTTCCCTGCAGGCGTGTCAATAGCTGTCTTTCCTCCAAGACTGGAATCCACCATGGCCAAAAGCGTTGTAGGAACTTGTACAAAGGGAATACCGCGCATGAAAGTAGCTGCAACATATCCCACAAGATCTCCTACGACACCACCTCCCACAGCAACTAAGCATGTGTCTCTTGTGCATGAGTTTTTCAGCAAAAAGTCCTCAATATTGGCCTTGGTTGCCCTGCTCTTACTCCCTTCACCAGGAGGGATTACTCTAACCAAAAAGCGCCCTGGGCATTTTGATTGAAGACTGTTCAGAAGAGGATTGATCAATGGCAAAAGGCGAGTATCGGTTATAAGTACAAAAGTTGATGCAGTCACTGTCTGATAGAGATCAGCGGCCACTTTATCGTGAATATGATATCCAATATGGATAACGTTGGGTTGATGAAGAATAGGAAGTGTAGAGTACATGAAAGAAAAACGTTATTGAACTCAGATGAAATAAAATTTGGTTGGTTTATATTTTATAATGATACAAAGAGTGCTCCGTCACTATATTATACTTCACTATACTGTCTGATATAATGAAGAATATGCGTTTGGAGTGTGATTAGTTTAGATTTATAGCTGCGCCCGTGTTTGTTTGTTTGCATACATTGCTTGCTTGCTTGTCTGCTTGTTTGTTTGTTTGTTTATAGGGCTGGTAAATAAGGTTTATGTGCTGATACATTATGCGCTCTTCTTGAGACTGCGACGCTCCCAGTATTCTCGCTGCCGGACGGTTGATATGACATCGGAGTACCACCACTGCCTTACGAATGAGATTGTGTATCGCGGTATGAGTGCAAATACAACCGATAAAAGTCCAGTGAGCCAGAATGATCCTCTGGAATACAACATGGGTGCAATTCCGTACATCGTGGTGGAGCTGAATGAGCCATATACTGCAATCCAAGCAAAGTTAATGACCAACTCGGCACCAACTCCAAGGAACATAATCCAAGTCCAATAGTACGTATTGAATCCAGGTACAAGATTCGCTAGTACGATTGCTGATACAGCTACTCCAGTAGAAAGCTGTAACATTGAAGCACTACCATGATCACTTGGATGAGGCTCATAGAGGAAGAAGAAACAATAAAATACAACCAGAGATTGCCAGATACCATCCAGGAAATACAAACAGAATCGAGTTTTTGTATAAAGTTCACGGTGAATTCCAACTTCGTAAGTCTGCGGATATTTGCGTAAACATGGAGCAGTGATGTCTTGGTCTGTGCATCCCATTATAATTACTGGAGCGAGTGTAAATATAATGTTGTAAAGTTGCAGAAATGAGTAGTCGTAAAATATGTTTCCTGAAAATCGACTGTATATCTGATACCACAACGATGGAAACACCCAGAAGACGTTCTTAAAGAAGAAATTCAGGACCATCTCTGCAATACGCCCATAACTCCAATGACCTTGAACAAGCAATAATTGACCGAGAAAACGGAATTGCCCGATTGAATAGTCAGATGCCATTGAAGCCTGAACGCCCTCCTTTCCTGCAATACCGACACCCACGTTTGCAGCTTGGATCATTGATACGTCGTTTGCGCCATCTCCTACAGCCAGTGTGACTGCGTTTCTGCCTTTGCGTACCATCTCTACCACAAGCGCCTTTTGTAGAGGACTCACTCGACAACACACTACGCTCTTGCACAGTAACGCCACTTGTAGTAATTTGTCCCTGGTTTCGTCCGTTTCAAACAGCTTTGCGAGAGCAGAGCCCTCTAGTACTAAGGCATTCTCCTCCTGTTCACCATCTTCAAGATTATCGGTAGGGACAAGTTTCGCCGCAAGGTTATCCAAACTATCCACATCCTCAACTCTTAGTGTCCAAATATGCATATCTTTTGTGAGTAAGTTGGAAGCATAACCAATATTAATTGCAGTTTCCAGTTTGTCGCCTGTAAGTACCCATATTTTCATTCCTGCGTGTCGTAAGTCCTCGATTGTCTCTGGTACGCCCTCTTGAAGCTTGTCTTCGATACCTGTTGCACCCAAAAGTATCAAGTCCTGTTCGATTTCTTCCTGCAACTGGTCAACTTTTTCGCTTCTGTTCTCAGTAGATGTCATGGCCTTTTCCATGGATTCGTTCCATGTTTCAAAGTATTTGGGGTCGAGTACACGCCAGCCAAGCACCAGCGTACGAAGTCCGTCGTTGGAAAATGAATCCAGATCTTCTTGAGTTTGCTGAGAATATTCCTCTTGGCCTGGTGCTAGTCGTGCAATTATAACGTTATCAGCTCCCTTGCAATACAATACCACATCGTTCCATGGAGCAGGGCGCCGTACTACTACACTCATCCTTTTACGGGTTGATGTGAAGGCCAGGACGCGTATTACTTCGTACTCGTAACTCTCCCCAAGAACGTCCAATGTAGCACGATTTCCCTGACGACCGACAAATGCAAATCCGCAGTTGCGAGCGGCGGTCACGAGAGCAGCTTCATCTGGCGACTCTGCCTTGTACATTAACTGTGTCTCAACAGTTTGATCTACCTTGGTTAATGGGAGAGCTGCAAATGCTTTTCCTTGTCCAGCTTTCTTTTTTATGCCAAAGTTAGCCTGAATCTTGCGACCCTGTTCTCGGAGTGTCTCTCGGATTGCAGCCGCTGCAGGGACTTGAATAGGACTGTCTTTAGGGTCATTCTTTCTCTTTGTCGGTAAGACTTCGGGTACATCGACTTGATCTTCGACTGTTTCAATCGAACGACCGTCTTTTCCAATGACGTCTACTACTACTGTGTGGCAAATTGCCAGCAGTGTAAAGAAATCTACAAGGGGTTGGCGGCTGTCCAAACTTGGTTCCAGATCTTTGAATAAGGCCGGGTCAGCAAAAGATAGTAGCTCTGGATCTTGAGTCGCATAACGTGGTTCAAAAATAGTCTTCATTGACTGGAGATAATCATCAAAGAGTTCCGGGGGTCTTTCAGGAGCGGTTGACTCCGGGTCGAGCCGGAGTCGTGCGCCACGGGCCCCCTCTGATTCGGGCTGGAACCCATTGTTTCCATAACGGCGGCCACCTACACTGCATTCACGGAACTCCATCACGTTTTGGGTGAGGGTACCTGTCTTGTCGGAAAACACATACTCAATTTGGCCAAGATCGTCCGAGAGATTCCACTATACCGAGGAAATAGGTAAAGAATAAATAAATGGGTATGTTATTTATTTCTTTCCATAAACATGTTTTCTCTCTCTCTTATATATATATAAATATAAATATAAACATATATACATCCCACAACCACCGTGGGCACATACAGACTTGGGAATACAAGGCTGGCCGGTACTTTCGTCCCACATCTCACGGTCGTTCCAGATGAAATAAGCCTGATTAATGAGTGGGTAAGTACATTAGATAGACTGGATAGATGGACGAAGTATTGTTTTTTGTTACCTGAAAGGTTTTTACAAACTCGATTGAAACATAGAGGGAGATTGGGATTATGTTTTGGAAGATGATAAGACTTGCCCTAATAGAAATATACAAGTAAAAGTACAAGTACATGTACATGTACAAAACAAATACTGTCAGAAAATGTTGGTTGATTTGTTGTACCTTAGGCTCACCAAAAGTTCTCAAAGCCTACATAAGCTGCAGAGCCTGTTTGTCGTGAATAAAGAGAAGTGGCTCCCGACTTGTCGTCCTGTAACTTCATCACTCCACCCATGGCTGCACAGACAAAGGAAAGGATAAAAAGTACGACAAATGCGAGGATGATTTCCTTGTTCATTTGACGTTCAATTTGACTACGCTTAGAAGGAGTTTCACCAGAGTTGAGCATGATTTTTGTATCTGTTCCAGTAAAAAGTACGACGGCAATAACCCATGGTGTGTTACGAATGACATGACCACGCAAAAGGAGATTGTCTGTACTAATGGGGATCTTCTTGGTTTCTGACCAAGACTCGAGTGTCTTGGTTAACATCACGAGTGTTCCCTCGAAAGCATACAGGTCTGGGTTAGGGGGACCGGATTCAAGATAAAAATGACAGTTGTCCAGACACGCTTGCCCACTCTGTAAAGAGCTGTATTCTTCGATACCCTGACGAGGTTTGAGATTTGTCTCTCCGTCAAGGTCCTTTGTTTCCACAAAACAGATGTTTGATGCACCTGCACTTGCCAGTAGAACTGCATCAGCTGGTAGACTTTCACCATTGCGCAACAATATAAAATCACCAACTCGTACATCTCTTGATAGTGACGGTTCAAATACGCCTCTAGCAGTAGTGTGAGAAAAAGAGGACTCTTGGGCGTTGATTTTGTTCTTGTTTTTTTCGACAGGTTGCGGATGATTTGTGTTGTTGTAACCCAATAAAGTGTGAGTAGGTGTGCTGTTGTACCGTGCATCAACTTTGTGTCGCTCGAGATCTTCAAAAGCATCCTTAAGAGCGGTGATTACTACGACTGTACAGATAGGCAGTAGAGTAAGTGCTGGAGACTTGACACCAAATGTTGGCAGCATTTGAAGGATAGCCATTCCAAGAAAATATATGTTTGCAGCTCTTCTAAACTGCTCAAAAAGGTTTTTTGGCACAAAACTAAGTATTGTATATTTGGATGTACGGATACGATTGGTTGTATAGCGTCTCGAAGGGTTTCCGTGTTTGTCAAGTTCATAAGCGGGTAAAGGTAAATTTATGAAGACTCTTCTTCCTCCTGTAGGTATTTGTCGTAGTTTTACTGTTGTTCCTCTACGGCTAAGTCGAGATCTTCGTCGAGTGTCGGTGGAATGGGTTGATGGTTGACGATGATGAGATGAGGTCGGGAGGATAGGTGCGTGTACTGACATTACTTCTTCGTAATGCTCGTCTTTTCCTCGAGGTTTTTTCTTGGGCTGTTTCTTCCACAAGGTTTCTCGCCATTCTTGAATGCTACGCAAGAGTGACATTCTAACAAGCACGCTGCGGATAGAAGAAGAAGAATAAGAAGAAACAATAAGAGAGAAAGAGAGAAAAAGAGAGAGAGAGAAAAATAGAGAGAAAAGGATGTTGGAATGCAGAGAAAGGACCTTTTTTTTCCTTTGTATGACAAGAAAAAAAAATACGATGAAATAAAAATAGATTCAAGAAATAATAATAATAAGTGGACAGAATTAGGTGTTGCCTGTAGTAAAATAAGAAGGTAACTAGCAAAGTTTAAGTTGAATGCTTCACAAGTCTGATAAAAGAAACCGTAGCACTTTTTTTTAGTAAAATCTAACTAATTCTCTTCTGGCTGCAGGAAGATTCAAGTATCGTCATACGCAGGTGTATCGAAAAATGCTTCTCCTCTGCCAGTTCCGTGGCACTCGAGCTACTTGGCTTGGCAATTCTATTTTCTAATATATACATATAAAAAGAAAGACAAATACATACAGAAGAAGACTAACCTTATTATTACTAGTATTCTTGTTATTTTGCAAAGATGTTCTTATGCAGTATATGTTTATTGTGATAAAAGCATTCGCGTATTCAGATAAGCTTTCCTATGCCCTATTTCTTTAAATATATTTTTTTCTTCTTTCTTGTACTTTTTGCGCCTTCTCAATTATAATCTGTGTCCAGCAAATCATACATTTAAGCAAATCAAATCAAATCAAACCAAGGTTTCTATCGGATTGGGTTGGATTGAGTCTTGTAAGTTGTACTAGCTTTTTGAATTGAATTAAATTCATTATTGCTTTACATTCAAGGCTTTTGTGTGTGTTTTTTAAATGACACTCAAACTAAATAGACCAAAAAATTATTACTGCCTTTTTTTCTTATATCCTTGATCCATTGACCTGTTCCTGGGATTGCAGGAAGATCCTATCGCGTGGGGGGATAAGGGGGAAATGTTTTTAAACGCCGCCTGGTGTATTATCTGTTTTTGGATCAGTTATTAATTTATTTTTTCAATTATTCATCATTTAAGATTTCCATGGAAACAAATTACAAAATAATAATAATAATAATAATAATAATAATAATAATAATAATAAGGATTACCATGATAACTATTTTAACTTTTTTTTTCTTCTTTTCGAGAATAACGAATTAAGAAGCCATTGTCTTGCTCAGTCTCTCGAATGCTGCGCAACTTTGTTACGACATAAATTGTATCCAAAATAAATGAAAGAGAATGTGTAAAATACCCTTATTTAAACATTTTCGCCAGTCGAAATAAGATTATATGTTGGAATACACATTAGCAACCAAAACTACAAAGGGTCATTATTACAGTAAATTTTGGATCACTGATCTTATTGTACCTAATAAATCTATAATACGCATATCCTTTTGTATCGGGTTGATCTGTAGATAAATAGCTGGTATATGTGATTAATAGAAGCAACCAGTATAAATGGTCTGTAAATTTTAATTTTAAAATAATAAGAGTAAAGTCTTAAATATAGTTAACAAAGAACTTATCGATTGCACAAAAAAGGTATTGAAATATTTTTTTTAAAAAAAAAGCTACATTTTATAGTAGAAAGTATTGGAGCTTATTACTAGGCTATACAATCTATCCCTCAGCTCTAACTTTTCACTTTAACTCCTATGCAGTTAAATATTTATTTCTTTTTTAGTTCGGCAAGTGTAAATTAGCCATTGTTTTAACACAACAATGATTTTAACAATAGTGCGTCAGGTATAATTCTCTTTAAGGATTTCCATTTATAGGGTCACAATTTTCGGAACATTTAATACCCATGAATCGTTAACCTTTCAAATTTACACACATAAAAAAAATGGTTTTCTTGATTTCAAAATATATATATACAGACATAATTAATTCTGCTTCTCCTTGCTTCTTTGTTTCTTTCTTTCCTTCTTTTTTATCATTTATAGCTATATCTCATGTACAAGCGACCCTCTCGTTCAGAAAGATCTAAAGGTCTTCAAAAGACTGATAATAAATACAAGTCCCAAGGCCACCCTCTTCAAACTGCTCTGTCGTCTCTTCCCCAACTAGCTATCTCACTCGCCATCCTATTTATGATTGTTGTCACAAACACCTCCAACCAACAGCCAAAGTAATACATATATGTATATATAAAGTCTTTTATAAAAATATACTTTTTTTCTAGTGCTTACAGCTCTCTCACAAATAACGATACGCTTCATAGTCTTCTGTGGCTAACTATAGCATCAGCCGGATCTTTGTGTCTCGGGTCTGTCTTTATATACTTGCAAATAAATAACGCCAATTACAAGGACTGGAAAGAGCATTCCTGGACACGCCAAGCAATCCAGATCGCCAGTATTGCATTCGTTATTACCATACCAAGTTCTCATATCGCTCTGTGGCCTATATATGGGTGGACGACCCCCTTTGTGGTCATTCCAGCCTTTGTTACTATCTTCACCTGTCTACACATCGGCACTACATTCTTGTCTTGATACTAAACTGTTACACAGATCAGTGACGCTTTTTTTTGTTCCTTTATCAATCTAAACCACCTATAGTTGATCCTGCCAAATAAGATGGTAAGCCACTACCATCCACCATTTGCCAAGACAAATATATCCCTTTAGACTAGCCAGCCTCAATTTCTTTTTATTTCAACAAAAGAACTTTAATGAGTTTTTGCACAAATTTTTGAAGGCTCCTGTGGACCTTGGACTTTATTTTATTTTATTGCACTGTACTGTACTGTACTGTATTGTATTGTATTGTATTGTATTGTATTGTATTGTATCGTATTGTATTGTATTTATATTTATGTTTATATTTTCTTTACTTCATCGCCTCATTTTTTTTTCTTCGTTCAAAATACGGAGACTTGCTTTAACCAGCGTCACCGACGCGTTATAAAAGGGCCTATAGATCTGATGATTCTATTAGAGCCACTTTGGCCCGCGCCTCTCCGTTCCTGGGATAGTGAGTTGCAGTGATATCGATAAAAATGCTCAAATGTTTCGTGATATGTTTTTTCATAACCGACGACATAAGCCTCACCGTAGGCTTGGAATCGTGCGGCCTTGTGTCTGTTGTAGTGCCTTTTGGCTTCCATCGCCGCACACCTGAGAGCCGAATCATTGGAAAAATTGATGGCCTCGAGTTCACTCCGATACATTGCCTCATTCACCACGTACTTGCCATATACCAATTCATCTTTGTACCGGTCTGGGAATCCCACTGCTGTAGAGGGTTTCAGCATTCGATAATTCATTGGACTGTGGATCGACTTATAATACATCTGAAACTCGTCAGGATTTTTTTGGTTATCGAAGCCTCCCTCTTGAGTCATATCCACGATACTATTGCTGCTGCTGCTACTACTATATGTCATATATTGATGTTTCTCTGGCGTATGACCTAAGGTCTCAGAATATGTATATATATTATTAATAATCAGATGATGAGTAATGGTAGCGACTATAGAGAATCATACATGACATATTTACCCACACACACACGCACACACACACACGCACAGGCACATAAACTTTTATATACATTAAACATACATTGAGGGCCATATGATTGAAGGTATTGTTGGTCAACTGAAGGGTCCACAGAGATGTGATTTGAACAATTGGAAAAATATTGATCATCTGCTGGAATTCGAGGTACTCCAGGGGGAAGTGGTTCGGTAGAATAGATGTGCGTTCCTGGATCATCTATCGGCTGGCCGTGCATTTGATGTGATGTTTGTTCTATGACATATTGAGGAATCTGAGGCTCCAGATAAACTTCAGGCAATGTAATCTCAAATTCTGCTGTCTTTAGACCTTTATTTGACTTTTTCGATTTCTTCGGTTTTGTTTTCTCTTTTGGCTTTTGGTCGGGGTTGTTCTTTTTAGCAAAACTGCCTTTTGGTCTACCTCTGCCTTTGGCTTGGTTTGTGGGTTGTATCGTTTCAGGATAAAAGTGATAGTCGGTCGATATATATGTGTAATTACCTGAAGTGTTACTGTTTTCATATGTGGAATGTGATGAATTATACATGGCTATGTTTTGGTTGGACCACTTTATATGGTTACCCTTGTCAGACATGTCCTCACAAGTGAGAATTGGCTCAGTACTAGACTGTACAAAATTTGAAAGTTGGGGTTGATTTGAAGTTTGATTTGATTGAGTTTGATCATGCTTGGGTTGTATAAAAGTTTGGAATTCTTCCAATGATGATTGGTAAGGATAATAAGATGAGGCCTGTTAAGAAAACAAATATATACACATATACATAAAAAATTATACAAATGCACCGAATGAGTCTAGGAAACACAACGTTGGTTAGGTGTACCTGGGGTGCAGCTGTATGAATTTGATATGTCGATGGTGGCTCTGTCACAAGATGTTGTGATTGGGTGCCGATGGGAGGGTTCTTATCGTGAAAACAGAAAATTACATGAACGGCTGTAGCCATTATGTGTGTGAAATTGAATAAAATCCATATTACTTACCTCAGAATATGATACTGAAAATGTTTTGTACTTTTCAGAAAACATCGCGTATTGTCTGAATTCAGCATAAGCTTGAGACTTTGCATCGATAAATTTCTGGATCTGTTCATCGTTCAATAAATATTGGGTTGATTTTGTTTTAGATAAATGTTCGAGACCCATGGTTTCTGAGAGACGCTTCCAGTCGGATGCAAGCGAAGATGAAGATTGATCATAGGTTGGTGTATAATGATGGTTTTCTACATTTGATTGTTGGTGATCCATGTCTTGATTATTATTTTGCTGACGACGTGGTCGAGATTTCTGTCTGGAATTTGTAGTAGATGTCCCTGAATGCGGATTGACATTTAGCTGAGCCAGCAGCTGTGAATTATGAGGAATTGAATTATAACATGCTTGAATTGAATGTGGATATGCGTTGTGGTCAGTGATTAAAGGTGGAGTATGCGGCTGATAGTTTTTATCTGTTGAATGAATATAAGTTATGCCCTCCCCAGAAGGTTCTTCCGAGAGATATGGCTGTATACGCTTATTTGTCTTCGACTTTTTGGATTTTTTAGATGCTTTCTTTCTACGTGAAGCAGATGTACGCGATACGGGGTGGGATGGTCTAGGGAGGGGCTCCGGGCTAGGTGAGATAGGTCTTATAGGTAATTCTTCATCGAGCTCTCTATTTGATGCACCTGGTAGGTGGACATATGACTTTAAGTTGTCCCTAACAGCTGCTTCCGAAAATGATGGTTTGGTGCCCTTGAGGTTACGGCCTTTTGGCAATTTTTTGATTTTTCTGACTGGCCACTCGAGATCAAAGATGAGAAAATGGCGGTGGCAGCGATGGCAACGAGAGTATATTTGATCCTTATCAATCGGTCCTTTACATATTACACATGCTGCGGTGTCAGGTACCTTCAAATCATCTGCTGCTTCTATCACATCCACCAATATCTCCGTGTCAGCTAGCGACGATAACTCTGAAATATCGTCAAGAAATCCTGCCATTTCATCCGCAAAGAGAGCGTCTTCTCGTTCCAATATTTTTCGTTTAATACGTAGCTCATCTTTCTGAGCTTGAGCTAATTCTTCATCTACTCGACATATTTCGACTTCTGTCGGCGTTCCATGTGTGCGTGGTTGTTCAAGATTTACATACTCTTTTGTGCTGTTTTCTTTCGGGGTTGATTCGTCTTCTTTGGCTTCACTCTGCTCTGATGATAGATATGTATCAGGTTGTGGAGAGAGCGCTGGTGTTTCAGCCAAGTATACTGCTGCTTTTTCGTCAAACTCTTTTTCGGTTAAGCAGGCCATATTACACACAAGCTCAGTCGGGTCTCCTAGATATGTCTTTCCATGTAAATGGGGCTTTTTGTTTGAGTCTCGCACATTTGAAAGAGAGATTTCTAATAAACCCGATAAAGGCTCTGTGTCCCCACATAAGAAATGTATACTCATCACAGAATCCGGATGAGGGTTCAAAATTTCTGGATTCTTAGGATCTGTCTGGATATTTTCTGCTAATATCAGAGGCAATCCCTGCTTGGGTGTAGTTGATTTTCCTTTATTGCCACGTTCCTCGCCAGGAAAAGGCCGTTTTACACGACTAGTAAGCACAAAATAATCTGAATTCAAAAGTAGAAAAAAAAACGAAAGAGATTATTAAAATCTATAAAATGGGTGCTCAAGCTTAAAAAATTCGTGTAGGTCATAGGCCAATATTACCTTCATAAGACACAGCCTTGCGCTTTCTAGTACTCCTCCTCGCAGAGACTTCCTGCTGCTCTTCGACAATTTCCTCTTCAATTTCTGGAGGCTTGAAAAATCCGTTTCCACGTCTATTACATATTTAAATACCGGGCACCAAATGTAAAAAATGTAAACATCGTATTCTCTTTATGTGCATATCTAAATAACATATCCAAACTTGCCTTTCACAGGTCACACAGCGACACTCACAATTATCTTCTCCAAAATACTGATCGCCGTAAAACGACGTAAGTTCATCTCCACATTTGACGTCTTTGACTACTTTTAGGGTTATTGCCGCTTGGCCAAGAGGGATAAACTAAAGAAGCACATAGACAACAAGGACCAATTAGTTGATAAGTCGCTTGAAATACAATTAGATTTGATTTTAATATGATTGTGTGAATTTACGTAATGTAACTTAATGTAGTTGAATGTAATGTAGTTCGGAATCCGTGTATATACATATATACACATACACACACATATATATATATGTATATATGTGTTTTACCTTGCAGTTAGAGTCACAATCATGCTGTATGTATCAAAATTGTGTGGTAAGAAAGTGGATATGAGTACAGTTTTGAATTGAGGTTAATTGAATTAGGTCGGATGCGTTTGTGGTAGATTGCCTTACGTTCATAAAGCGAGCAGGACCAAGGAACAGGCAACTACAATTCTTCCGTGTGGAGAACATGACACTAAAGTCTCTATTCTGACGCTTCAATTCATCATCATCTTCGGAGGCCAATACAGCAATCATTCCGGAGCACATTTTTATCTCGTCTCCAATACTCCAGTCTTTTGTAGCTATAACACAAGCTTGGGCCTCTTCACCTTCTTGACTGTACCGACGTGTGTCGCATATTTCGAATCCCGCATTTGGGACATACCTTTAAAAAAAAATCATCAGTTGAGAATCCAAACAAAAAAGAAGAAGAAGAAGAGAAGAGTTGGTTAGTGCGATAGAATAAGATGAATGAAAGAAAGGGGAACCAAAAGGACAGAACATCTCTACTGGCCACTCAAAAACAAAAACTTACATGCTAAGGTATCGCTTCATGTGCTGGCCAAACGCGGACTTGTCCTTTTGCGACACTCCGCGTAGATAATCCTTAAAGAAGTCAAGACTATAGATACAGAGTCATATCAATAAACACAAACGAACCACCCTTTACTCAATCTATCCTCCTCTTTATCTTTTTTTTATTTACTTATTTTAAATAAAAGCCTGTTTATACATGTATATATATATTAAGTCGACAAAGTATTCTCTCCAGGCTAGATATATATATATAATATATAAGCAGCAATAACAAATGATACTATAGAATCTCCAAAAAGGGAAGAAGAAACACACGCACACACAGAGAGAGGTCGAAAGATATGTTGAAGAAGGGACAAAAAAAAGTAAAAGGAGAATATCTTGACAAACATGACTAAGAACAACTCACTTTAGGCATTCTTGGGCTGCATCAGTGACGCGATTACGACCGATGATGTGGTTTCTTATAATGTTGATTAACTGTTTACTTGGTAATCGTCGTTCAGAATGATCGGCATTCATCTTAATGGTCCGGAACCACAGATGCAAACCATCTAAGAATATATCGGCAAGGAGATCATCGTACCGCGACAAGAGGCTATACTCCATCTTGCGGCGGATGAGTGAAAAAGGAGTGGGAGATGAAAAGAGAGAAAAAAATGCAAATATAAATAACAAAAATGCGGGCTGTAGATGATCGTGATAGTAAAAAACAATAGAGCAAAGCGCTCTTTACAAAAAGAAGACTAGGTTTAACGAAAGGAGGAAGAGGTAAGAAGAGAATCCTTTAAAATATGAGAAAATATAACCTTTGATCGATTACCACACACGCACATAAAAGGTCACTGAGTACATAAAATACACACAAACACATATATATATATATATACATATATACATATATACATGTACTTCTTTTCTCTCTTGTTTTTCAAATCATTGTACTTGTACTTTATCAAAGCACAAACGTCAACCAAGAAACTTATTAATAAATATAAAGATGCACTTCTTTGATAAAATAAAATAAATAAATATATAAAAAAAATGTTGTTTTCCTTGTAGTATTTACATTTAGAAACGTCCCTGATTTGATCTTGATCAATCTCATTATGATCAAGCCATGTAATTTAAACGTGATCTAATCTCACTTGTTTTTTGTTTTTTTTTTTTTGGTTTGTTACCATTAGAACATGATCTCATTGGAATTAAGGATCTGAATCTATAACAAATTTGGTATTACTAGAGCACCTATATCGTTTGCCTCGTTTACCAACAATAGACATTTATTATAGTAACACCAATCTTCATCTATTTATTTATTTAGATTGAAAATTAATCTTTTATATATATTTGAGAAACAAAGATAGGTTACAGTGTACTATAGGCTATATACAAAAGGGAAAGGAAGTAAGCTTGCACTGTACTTTGCACGGAGAACAATAAAAATAAAATAAAGGGCTTTATTTTATTTTTGTCCAAGGGTTGCGTAAAAAGGAATATATAGAATATATAATTAGATACATATGTGGAAAACCCTGTATTTCGGTTTAGATGATCTCGCATTTGCTTTATCAGATTGGTAGTGCAATATATATATATGGTATATAACTCTACTGTATAACCATAAAAGCTTCTATTCTTTTTTTAGGATTTCTTTTGTTCTTGTAGTCCATGCCTAATGTACTATGAATATCCATCTTCCCCCCCACATACATACATACATACATACATACACAGACCCAGCTTTTCGGTTCGTTATTTTTTTTCTTTTTTTTGGTGTTCTACTTATTCATATTCTAGACAGAACAGAACTTTTATAATGATTTTCGCCAAGTAAAGACTGGCAACCTTAGTTCATACGTTTCAAGTCTTTGGATCTTGTTACAGGTCTATTTGAATAGTATTTTATTTTGTTTTATTTTATAAACAGCTTTGTTCAGCCTGAGATCCTCTTGTAAATTGGATAAATACGACAGCAATTTCGTTTTAAAGAAATAATATATATATATAATTTTACATTTCATATTGCCTATGTTGGTTGTATTATATTTAAGCTTTTTTCGCTGGCTACAATAGACAATGCTTTGTATTATTTGACTCTTGCTATAAGAGCTTGTACATAACATAACATTTCATTATTATTTTAGTAATTAATTGTTTTTTTTTTTGGTAATGTCATTTAGACAAACAGGCTTATTCCAAAGTTGTTTAATATACGAGCCGGGAATTTATTTGTCATTTAATCTTGAAATTTGCGATAGTAAAAGAATAACTTCTTTTTCTTTTTTTTTGTGTGGTTATCCAATAATACTCGCCTTTAACTAACCAATTAATTAACTAAAAAAAAGCCTGGGGACAGTCAAGTTGAAATATGTATTTATTTATTTACTTTTTTTTAGGGGATAAAAAATTGAAAGGCTCGGCTATTATGCAATTGTATCTCTTTCCTAATTTTTTTTCTATTAAAAAAGAACAATGTCACCCAGAGACCCCAATGCTCATTCCCACAGTACACTTCTAGAGTCTAGTTCTCCAGAACCAACTCTCTTAAAAGTCTGTTCTCTAGTTCCAGAGTAAGTGTGGTTTAATTGAAACCAACTTCTTGTACTAAACGCAAGGCCCATCTTTGATTGTTTGTATGTTAAGGACTGATTATCGCAAACAGGCGTGGAAGAATGGACTTGGGACAACTACAGAGATCGCAATATATCCACCCAATACTGACTTTAAGAAAGATCCATTCCTCTGGCGCCTCAGTGTGACAGAAACAAGATCTGATAGTACATTTTGCATATTTCCTGGATATGACTGGTAAGGGGGGAGCTTTATAAAAAAATATATACTAAACTAAAATCTAACAAATGACCTCATTAGCACCATGATAGTCCTACCCAATAAAAAATCAGAAGCACCTTCTTTACTACTGAGACACCAAGATACTGAGGCCTTGATAAACGTCAAGCCTTTATTTCCATACACTTGGGAAGGACAGTGGTGAGTCTTCTTCTTCTTCTTCTTTTTTGCAGACCAACAAATAACAATAGAACTTGGTACAACACAATTGTAATTCATTTTTTTTTTAGAAAATTTAACACTTGTACTTTTGAATAGGACAACTTCTTGTAGAATCACAAATGGACCTATCTCTAGTATCCACTTTATGCTCAATAAAAGCTTTGGAACTGCCCAGTCCAAAGTGATAACAATTGGAACCTCGGCTACTGAAGCAGAAGACAATAAGATCTTAATGGTCGGTGCTTTTGCGCTCGTCTATGTAGTCAAAGGTAGCTGCTGTATCTCACTAGATGAACATCGGAGCCATGCTCGTACAAATGCACTCAAGCAAGGCCAATGTCTTTACATTGAGCGCGATCAAGAAGCTGGTCCAAGTCAAATGGATATCAGGGTTGGATCATTTGCTAGCGATAGCACTAAAGGAAGCAGTACTGAATCGGATGATTCTAATGAAAAAGTTGAAGGTTTGTGTCTAATAGAATTCATATAGCTACTATTATATATTGGTACTTTGTGAGTGATGTTGCTGATAGACTTTTTATTTATTTTTTATTTTGTGCGTGTGTTTCAAGTTACATTGGTAGTCATTCAAGTGGCAGAGTCGACGGCTGTAACAGAGCAACCCCACACAGAGAGACGCCCTTCTGCACTACCTAGTGAAATACGTCAAGGTCGCCGCAATAGTTCTCTCGTTGTGTGTCCTAACCAGCCTGACAGTGCCATCAAGACACCCGAAGACATATCACTTAACACGCCGCGAGAAGAATTACAAGGTGCCCAACCAACGTGGGACTCGACTCAGATCTATGAACCTCCTTCTTCAGCGTTTTTCCATTTTGATTCAGAAATGCCTCCGCCTATGATACGCGATCGATTGGTAATTGAGGATTATCCTCTTCATACTACAAGCACAGCTTGGATCAAGATGATGACTCAAGGAATGAATGAGTGGCTTAAGTTACCTGTAATTGTGTGTCGTGGATCTGCTGACGGGTAAGAAAGATACAAAGGCACAATATTGATTTGTCAAACAAGAAATCCCACAAAATCATAACACTTTTTTTTATAAAAAAAAATTAAAACAAATAATTGTCTTTAGCCCAGTGGTTGGAATTACAGCTGCTGTTCACGGAAATGAGCTTAATGGTGTGCCATGTATTCACAAGTAAGAACCATTCTTAATAATCTCACTTCTCTGTTTGAATAAGTGTATTGATCAACAGTATATTTTCTCTTTCTCTCTCTTTGTTATTCTTAGGGTAGCTTCATCGATTGATGTTCAGGTTCTTCGTGGTACTCTTGTGGCTATCCCTTGTGTCAACGTTACTGGATATCTCAAATTTCAGCGCGAATTCTCAGACGGGCGTGATCTCAACCGTATGTTCCCCGGAAAGGAAGACGGTTTTGCTTCCCAAGTCTATTGTTTCCACATCATGAACAAGATCATTTCACAATTCAACTATCACATCGACCTTCACACAGCTAGTTTTGGCCGTGTAAATTCTTTTTATGTTCGAGCCGATATGGTATGTATATATATATATATAGACATCTGACTGACAGTTGTGGTATTAGAATGATTCTGGGGCTGCTATGCTTGCTCAGCTTCAGAAACCTCAGATAATTCTTCATAATTCTGGTCAGGATGGCACATTGAGATCAGCCGCAGCCACACGGGGTATCAAATCTATTACTGTCGAGATTGGAAATCCACAGATGTTCCAAGAGCAGTTTGTTGAGGCAAGTTATATATATATATATAGGTTAATAGACTAAACTAAGCCAGGTTTCTTAGTATTAACTTCTTTTGATTTTTTGGTGTCCAGTGGTCTTTTATGGGTGTTATGAGAATATTGAATAAGTTGGACATGTTCCCATTGGAGAATGTGCTTTCTGAAGAAAAGTTTATCGGTCCAACTACTACCATTTTGTGCTCTAAAGGATTCTGGGTAGAATATTAATTTTCTTTTTGTTTTGTTTTGTTTGAATGATCTAAAGATCAGTTATAGTCTTAACCAAGAAACTTGAACCCTTTAGATTTACACCAAAACAGGTGGTGTTCTGGAGGTCTATCCAGATGTAAATACCATCATTCGTAAAGGTGACATTATTGCACGCGTAAAGTCTATGTTTGGAAATGTTATCGAAGAGTACGATGCTCCTTGTGCTGGTGTGGTGAGTTTCATATATATATATAACTTTGTGTATGTAAATATAAAATCTGGTCTAATTTTGTTTTAACTGTAGGTAATCGGTCGTAGTTCTAACCCTGTTGCCATGGCAGGCGATCGTATTATTCATTTAGGAATCATTAAACGCAAGGGAGAGGTATTGATGAAAGAGGCAAAAGAAAACTATTGATTTTACCTATATTTTTGTCTGATTTTTTTCAAAAAATAAAAGACAACAAGAACTTTTGCACTGCTGAATTAAACAATTAATTCATTATTTATATATATTTATATATATATACTCTTAAAATATATTACATTATTATATTTCCCCATACACACACACATATATTATATATATGAATTTGAAACCGGGAAAATAATTAAGACATTTTCTACCCCACCTTATCGCAGCCTATTAATTTTTTATTATTATTATTATTATTATTATTATATTTATATTTATATTTATTACTTGGACGGGACTTCAATAGTGGAATGAATGCAAGTTGTGTATGTGTCTTTATTTGGAGTTGTGCTTTACATTTAAATACCACATAATCAGACCAATCGGATAAAGATAGATTGTGAGAGTGTTTATATGAATATATATATAAATATGTACATATCAAAAAAAGGGAACAAGTTGTTGTTTTTTCAATCTAGAAATTATGTAAGAATTATTGGTATTGGAGCTAATATTACTATCATTATTATTGGTATTGCTATGGTGAAAAGTGCGCGGTGTTGACATGACTGGAATTGTCTGTATGGGTATAATGGAGTGGAATTGGGGTGTGTGAAGAAAAGTCTTGCTGTATGGACTGAGCGGGTATTGAGGACGATGAGGACGATGATGGGAAGTGGTCTAGAGAAGGTAGATCTGAGAGGCAGATGTGTTTCTGGCGGGTTTTCAGGTTGCGAGAGGCAAACAATATTTTTGCTTCAGCTTCGTAGTCTCGTGTAGGATCAATGGGTTCTGGCTCTTCTGTGAGATATCCAAGTTCTTCAAAAAACAGCCTGATGTGCGTCTTGATGTGATTATCTTCGACAAATGATTCTTCAGGAGTCAAGAGCATGATATCAAACAGATTCTCCTGGCATTCAGAATCGTCTAGCCACATTGTGTATTTCTCATCAGAATACATGTAAGTGTCTTCGGATGTCAAGGAGATAAAATCGAATGTTGACTGAAAGCAATTGTCTTGATCCATGGTTAGAGAAAGATAATGTTGGTGATTTGGTTGATTTATGAAAAAACAAGTAGAAAGAAAGATGGAGAGAAAATAAGCAAAAAATAAAAATAATTAAATAATTAAATAATTAAATAATTAAATAATCAGAGAATCATCAGGATGATTGTTTAGAGGCTCTAAACAAGGGGAGTCTCGGAGATTCAAGGAAAGGTAGCCATGCAAGAAAGGAAGCAGAGAGATCCAATGAATGAATTGACCAGAATGAGCCAGGATACTCTAGCCAATAGTACAAAAGAAAACAAGGGAGGAGGAGAAAAAGGAAAGATATCTAATCGACAAAGCAACTTGTAAGCTTTTCCCATCAAATGGGTCACAGTCGCAGTCGTAGTTGCAGTTGCAATTCAGATTCAGATTCTTTTCTTTCTCTTTTGCTCTCTCTCTTTGTCTGTCTCTCTATGCTCTATTTCGACCCCTTTTTTGGTCTTATCTAAACCAAGTCTTCATCCTCACCGAACTTACCCGGCAATTCCGCCAAAATGTGCTACTGTCCTACATCATTGTCCTCTCTTTACACGGAACTTGGCGGAGAGAAAACCAAACCAAACCAAACCCCCTCCATCAGGCTTGTTAAATAAAATAATCTATTATAGACGTGTCAGTACAAACCAAATCTTGAGCTTCCTTACACATACATAATCTGTGTCAGGTCCTGGCTCCTATGATTTTAACACTAATCGCAAGATGAACAAACAATAATTGAGCAGGTCTGGTGCTATTAATAATATAATCGATTGTATAGAAAGATACCAAATGACTTGGCCAATGCTTTTGTCTACACCAGAATTATGTACCACACCCACATACACACAGCCTGGCTCATCACCAATCATGACCTTCCGATTCGATTAAGTATGAGTGAGTGATTATGACTGTCAAGAGAACAAACAGAAATGATATCAAACATACTCCATTTGCAATAGGCCGTCAATTTGAGTTTAGTACATCAGGAGTCTTGAATATCATTTATTTATCTTTTTTTTAAAAAAGGAATATAAACGAGGCTTGTATTCTTGATACAATTTTGTAAATTTGCTCAGGAACAACTTGAAGAGTATCATATAGATATCTACAGTTGGCCAAAACCTCCTTTACATTTCACAAAGAATTCAAAGTTTCTTACAAGTTCAATCTGATAATAAAGAAAAAAGCACGACCTTGAATCCCCCCTCCTTATTATCATTGTTTTTTTCTTTCTTCTTTATTTTTGCGTCATTGAACAAAAGGTTTTGTTTTCTAGACTATTAAGAAAGATGATCCATGCTATTCTATCCAAATAGAGAGAAGAAAGGTTAAAAATGTAATGGAGAATATCACGAGTTGATCTTGAAATTATTCAATAAACAACAAGCCATAAATACGATTATTATTATTTTAAAAGAAAACTGACATAATATAGAAGCCATGTTACCCTATATAATATAGATATTAATCATTGATCTTTTAACGTGTGTACTTTAGGGTAGTCAGTTGTTAATATTAATATAATAATATTAAAAGGTGTATGTGTATTTAGTTTACTTGAAAGGCTGACTTTTGAAATATCCTTGTATAGAAATCCCACAGTTGAAAAATAATCATACGTTTCCCTTTCTACAGCCCTTGTGTTTCGTAATGATGTTTCGTATTGTTTTCAAGTACAAAGCTTACACAAGGTTTTGCTACTATAATACCTTGTTCGATATCCGTTATTATTATTATTATTATTATTATTATAGAATTTAGATTAATCGATATCAAATCAATAGAGATCTAACCTTTCAGCATAGTGCATTATCTTGTTAAGATCGGTTTGTTTAGCACACGATCTGGTAATGCGACATCAACAAGCTGCAGCCTCTACAATATCTATTTTTCATTACATCTTTAAAACTCTCGATTTTTAGAAAAAATGATGTATTAAATCATTTAAACTGTGGGCAGAATTACTAGTAAACTCATTAATACTCATTTTCAAATTGGGGGCGCATATCTGCTCTTGTCTTTAGGACAATAGGTGCACCGACATTATGTGCTTGTAGGCAGATGTTATTAATATCTCCACTTCTTTGTAAATACAGTTCTTTCTCTTTGTGTGCGTGTGCTTATAGACTAGACTAGAGTAGACTTTGAGATTCTATTTTGATAATAGTATCTTTAAAAGAAAAAGAAAACAAACAAACAAAATATTTGCCTCTAGCCTTTCTTTTCTTTCTATTGGTCATTGTGTCCCAATTGTCTTTATCCTTATGGTAGAATCATGTTCTATTATAGCATTGATCTTATTTATAGTAAGGATCTACAAAGCTCATCCTTCTATGTTTACTTATAGTCACGATACCCTTCAACTACTCTTAATATTGTCATTAATAAACCAATTCCACCCCCTATTCTAAGCAACACATCTTATGTTGACAGGCTATTAAAAGAAGAAAGAAACCCAGAATTCATCAATTATCTGTACATCTTTCTGTCCTGAATTTTACTACACAAATTTTACTCACTAATATTCCTATTCTCTATTATAAATATTCTTAGCTATACACAAGTAATAGCTAAAGTAATTAAAATTTGTGTAATAGTTCTTTATTTTATACAAGACAAATAAATAATTCTATGAAAATAGTGTACAAATTTGTCATCTTGTCTATTGCCACTATTCATTTTATTCTTGTGCTGCCATATTTGAATACTGTCATTTCTGTGTAACATACGATTCGCACAATGGCAAACCAAAAATGCCCAATAGACAAAATGGCTTTAGAATTGATCATTAATCATTTTGCTTTTTGCTTTTTTTTTAAAAAAAAATATAAGTTTATGGAAAAAGAGTGTCTTGATATGTAGCTTTAGTCAAAACTTGTATACTTTATTTTCTTCTTCTTCCTTCTTTTCTCTAATGGACCAGGCTTAATCATCTTCCATTTTAACCTTCTTTTATTCATCAATGCACCTGTATCTTGATCCTAATTGTCAAATGCAGGGCAGGCGTGACTGTCATCATTTAAAGCGCTATTCGTGTCTGTGTGTGTATCTGTGTGCATCAGTTTGTGTGGGTTCAAATTGATGTTTGTTTTTTAAAAATCAGGCCTACTCTTTGACAAATAAACCAAACTGTATAATGCATCGATCTAGTACTACAATTCCAATCACAAGCACCTTTCGATCTTGTAAGATGGATTTATAGAATTATTCCAAATCATATCCACACTATTTTGAATTATCTTTTCTTCTTATTTCTTTCTAACTTTATAAATGCGATCCTTTTTTTTTTTGAAAAAAAAAGGCTGGCTTAATGCCTTTCCACAGCGCTCATATGCAATCATGACTCGAGCAAAACACGAAGCAGGTGTTCCTTTGGAACTTATCAAACCCAAAAAAGGGGCACGAACTTCTACGGCCAGACGAGAACAGTTACGATCTCAAAATGTTCCTGAAGGAATCCTTAAGAAAAGCGAAAATACCTGGAAGACTAATGGCTTAGCCGCACACAGCACATATGACGAAAACAAACGTACCAATTGGGATCGAGAAGATAAAATCAACTCATTTAATGACATTGACTTTGTCAACAACCGACATCGTACATCCAACAACAGTAGAACCCACAGTAGTCAAGGCAACAGATACGATGACGATCAGGCAGGATTCCAAAGAGGCAGCTATCGACAAAACTTTAATGATAACGATCACCAGAATAATCGAGACTACTATGGAAGTACCCGGGAAAGAAGATACAACAACAACAACCGTCGAACAGAAAGTTGGGATGATGGCTATGATAGTAGACACGGCTCCGAGAGTCAGGGTAGAAATGAATATTCTCGAAAAGAGAATCCTGACCGAAACGTATACAGGGATCTAGATCTCAAGGCACGCAAAGAGTACAGCACTGTAGAAGAAGGGAGAATAAAAGAGAATAGAACCTCGACTGACAGAATCAAACGAGAGAGAAATACAAAAGAAGCAGGTGGATATATCCCCAGTGTTTTAAATTCGATGAAGACAAGAGAACCAGCAGGTAAAATGAAATGGATTTAAATACACATAGTATATATATATATATGTATGTATGAGGGCAAAAATTACTAACTAGAATTGCATCTTCTTCTTCTTCACAGGCCTTTCTCAACGTCTTATAAAAATTGTCCAAAACGTAACACAACCAGAGAATCCTCACAGTGTAAAGGTTGCAGTTATTGGTGAAGCGAACGCAGGAAAATCGACCCTTATCAACAAAATTGTAGGAGAACAGGTAAACATACATAAAAGTACATACAGTAACCAATGACTGACATATAATTATGAATGGTCTATTTAGGTCACAGTTGTCTCATCCAAAGCACATACCACACGAGAGAGAATCTTGGCAGTCCTCTCTCAAGACAATTACCAAGTCGTATGTTTTGAATTTCATTTTTCTTTCTTTTGAGTGTATTGAAATATCCTGTCGCTTATATTTATATAATTAGGTCTTCTTAGATACACCTGGTATTGTTCCCGATAATAGTGGCATCAAGATGAATAGAACGCTCTTGACATCTGCATGGCGATCTTTGGATGAAGCAGATCATGGTATGAATCTCGACTCTTTCTTTCTTTCTTTCTTTAACGACATATTGAGCACTGACACAAACATTGATTTTCCATAGTTGTCATTTTGGTTGATTCCAGAAAGGCATTGATGCCTGAAGCTAGATTAGCAGAAGAATCTATCATTGCTCAGCTCAAAAAATATTCTATTCCTGCCACTCTTGTATTCAACAAGGTAAAGCTTTTTTTTTAAAGAATATACATATATACAAATTGCAGGATGTTAAATGTTTAAGAAGCGAAAGAAAACAGTGTTAATTTATATTTATATTTAATTTTTTCTTTTTGGCCCTTGTACATTAGATGGATTTGTTGGACAGTGATGACACTATTCTGGAGGAAGTTACGGCACGATACAAAGAAGGCTATTGTCATATCAAGCAAACACTTTATGTTTCTGCACTGAAAGAATCTGGTCTTACCAAACTCAAGGTAAGCCAAAGCTTGGATATTTAGACAGATATCATGATCTCCTCTCCTCGCCTTCTTCTAGAATTGGCTATTAAACTTGTATTCATTTCTTACTTAGGATTCTCTCTTTTCGGTCTCCCAACCAAAAGAGTGGGCTTATCCCAAAGAACTCAAGTCCGAGATGTCTGATCTCAAACGAGTAGAGGAATTGATTCGTGTAGAATTCTTTAAGCGCCTGCACCAATATATTCCTTACATGCTCAAACAGGTAAACAAAACAAAAAGCAACCCCCTATCCACCTCTTTTCAAATTCTCTTTAGTAAAGTAGACCTAACGTTGGGAGGGTTTTTTTTTGTTTGATCTACTTTGATAGGAAAATGTAGGCTGGACAGAGACAGAAAAGGGCATTCGAATCGACCAAACCGTCTACGTGGAGCGTGACAGTCAGCAGAAGATTGTTGTTGGCGCCAAGGGCGCGGTCATTGATCAGGTTGTTCAGGAAGCACGGACTCAAATCAGCTTAGCGCTCAACCGACCTGTTCAATTATATATTCAAGTCAGAACAAAAAAACACTAGACATTGATAAACTAGATTATACATATACATATACATATATATATATATATATATATATATATATATATAAGAAAAGATAAATTAACCATTTTCTCTTTTTCCCTCTCTTTTTTTTTCTCTCTCTCTTTTGCTTCTTCTTTTCCTTTCATTCATCCATTCATTCACTCGTTCATTTCGTCTTTGGTAGTCGTATTCGTGCGGCTATAAAGTCTCCTCGTACTTCTTCAACATCAAGTCAATTTTACTCATCCCTAATACGAATGCTTGTTTGTCGAGTAAACCGTTATTGTAGGGATCACATTCACGCCAAATCTGAGCTAGCTTCGGACTAGGTAAATGACTTCTTTGCCAGAGTAGTTTGGCTGTCTGACCATCCACAAATCCCTCGTCTTGTATCGTGTCAAACAAAGTTTGGTAACGCCAAGCATCCACACTCGTATCTGATGAAAGACTTGTGTTTCTGGCTGGTCGCGAAGGAGGAGGAGGAGGAGCCACTTTCTTCTTCTCTGGCTCGGTATTGTTGTTGCTGTTGCTGTTGTTATTATTATTATTATTACTGTTGCTGCTGTTGCTGCTGCTACTGCTGCTGCTACTGCTACTATTACTGCTACTAGACAACCCAGTTTTTGAAGGTGGAGGTATCGGTTGCTGTGGACGATATCCAGTATTAATTGTTGTAGTTGCAGTTGCAGCTGTAGTTGCATTTGTATTTAGATTTGTAGCTGTAGCTGTAGCTTGTGTTGTTGTTGATGATGATGATGATGGTGGTGGTGGTGGTGCGCCTTTTTTTTCTAGGTCGACCGTTTTTATTGGAGAATCTTTTTCTACGCTGTCCACTGTAGACTTGAGTGAAAGTGGTGCCGGGAATTTCAAATCGGCAGAGTTCCCACCACTGTTGTTATTACTAGTACTACTATTGTCGCAATTATAACTTGGGTTCGTTGCAGATCGAGATCGGTTATTCAAAATCGCAGACGGTTTGATGTTCTTGTCTTCGGCATTAACCGCTTGCCATAATTCCTTGGCTGGTCGAGCCGGTAAGCTAGGTATAGGTCCCAGATTCGGTTTTGGGGCTATAGTAGATCCTTGAAATAGCATTGGCAAATTGGTTGAAGATCCAGAATCTGTAGTCTTTGGAGAAGGATTGAATGCTTTGCTGATTCCAGAACGTGCGGTTGGTTTTATGACAGGCTTATTGACAATTGGCGGAAGTGGAGGTCGATGGGTTTGATTACTTGTGTGTAGCCCACTACTGCCTGGTGTATCAGAAGGCTTGGGTAGGATTGGGGGTGGGTTGGATGTGCTTCTTGCTTTGGGTCGATTAGGCAAGGTTGGTGATTGAGTAATAATGCCAGATACTTGTGCCGGCTTTGGCTTTAAACTTGGAGGCGCGCGGTTACTACTGATATTGTTGTTGTTGTTGTTGTTGTTGTTGTTATGAATATGACTATGACTAAGATTATTGCTATGATTATGATTATTAATATTGTTATTGTTGATGATGTTGTTATTATTGTTGACGATGGGAGTGTTGTTGTTGTCTGGCAAATTATTCTCTTCTTCAATTGTCATAATACTGTCGGATTGTGCAGAGGAAGAGTTTGTTTTAGGCTTGAGCTCTGTCGAGTGCGATGCCTTTGATCGTCTATTTGCCTTTGAAGTTGGTCTAGATGGTAGTTTTGGTGCAGGGTTATTAGATACGGGCAACACAGGGAAGCTAGACAAGGACGATTGCTTTTTATTTATTGTAGAGTCCAGCGACTTTTTTGTACTAAGAGTGGATGTTGGTGGTTTGGTACCAAATAAAACCGGTATCTGCTGTTGTTTGTGACGAAGCTGAGAGGGCCTGACCAATTGATATTCGCCATCCTCCTCGTCTTCGTCGTGCTCAATGTGGTCCTCAGACGGCTTGAGTTGAAGTTTGGGTTGAATTTCATTGGTCACTCCAGGTTTAGAGAACGATCCAGATCTTGTATTAGGAAGCGATTTAGGAGTCATGGTACCTAGTTTCCCTACAGCACCTTCGAATGCCCGTCGTGTATCTTGATCCTTTTGTAACAGAGAAGGTTTTACTGCTTTTGGTATTTCCCGGTTAGTGACTACTGATGTGGACAGAGATCTGGTTCTAGAGGAAATATCGTTCTTCATGAATGGTGTTTTGAAGTTTGGTTTTTCTGCCACTGGTGTTGTTGTTGTTGCTGTTGAAGAAGAAGAAGATGACGATGATGATCCAAAAGAAGTATCAAACGGACGATCTTTTTTAATGACAGGCATATCAGCCTGTGCCGGTTTAGGGCCAACGGCGGGCTTTGGTTTTATGCCCGGAGATTGTAACGCAGAAGAGAGCTGTTCATGTGCAGTGTTGTTTCCATTGAATGGCGACACCAGAGGTCTTGATGATTTGAATGAAGAAGGTCCCATTGCGAATTCGAATGCATCGTAGCTTGAATTTGGCTTGTTTGCAGGCTTAGATAACGGTGGTTTTTGGTTGTCGTTTTCGTCAGGATTCACTAGATTGGTTGAGATTACTGACCAGGTTGAAGACATTATGGAATTTGGTGGAGATACACTTGCGGTCATTGCGTTCTTGCTTGATTCCGAGGAATCTTGGTTTGGTATAAGCCTTGGAAGTGTCGCAGAATTCTCGGTGATGAACTCGACATAGTTGAAAGGAAACAATCCTCTTGTTGAAGTTCCCTGGAGCCTTCCGACATACCAGTCAGGCTCTGTTGATTTTTTTACGTCAACAAGAATATCACCCGTTTTGAACGATATCTCGCCTTCGTCTTCAGCATTGCAGTCGAACAAGGCTTTTGCTTTTAACATGGTTGCCATGTTGCTATTGTTACGTATTTTATTTGTATAAATATATATGTGTGTGTGTGTGTTATGGGTGTATATGTAATTGTGTGTTAGTTGAATATGTGTGAGTTTGAGTTTGAGTGTGTATGTGAGCCTTAAGACGAAAAGAAAGTATAGCTCACGTGAACTCAAGCACCTATCGTTCTAGTACAAGGATGAAAATTGGATGTTCCCTATCATTACGTCATCTTGGTGTTCAAGCTGTTTTTTTTTTGAAGGTCAACTCCTTGGAACACTCGGTCAAAAAATATCTAAAAAATAAAATGGAAAATTAGTTGCGACGTAATGGTCCGGGAGGGATGTAAAGTATAAAGCATATAAAAATGTCAAAAGGTTACCAAACCAGACGCATGTAAAATTGTATAGTGAGGTTCAAGCACAGGCTTGCCTTTTAATTGCTATTAGTAATAGTAGTAGTAGTAAACATTACACTTTTATCAGATATTATCAATACAGCTGGAACCACAATAGTGTGCCACAAACTATGCATTTCGACAACGTTTTTGTTGTTTGAGTTTTCCTTTATTGAAGATCATATAAAATGTATTGATAGAATTGAACTTGATGTTCAAATCTATATTTATATTCATTGTTGTCTGTGCCGGATTTGTAGTCTTACTGGTAAGAAGTACCAGACAACAAAATAGCACAACATTAATTGAACAGAATTTCTAAATATGTACATAGAGCATATTCAATGCTGAAAATAAAGCAAAGTAAACTTCATTATCAATTGCCTTTCTTTTTTCTCTCTTTCTTTTTAGGGTATTATTGACGTCTCTTTTCCATAGTATCCCATAACTTTATTAAGCGAGAATACTGTTCAAATTGATTATGACAAAAGTTAATAATAGCTTGGCTACATAGGTGACAGGCCTGTTGTATTAAGAACAATATAAAACATTAACCAGTTCCATGAAAACAAGATGGTTTCAATAGTGGCAGGTTACGCAAGGCCGGAAGAAGAACTTCAAGTAGACAAAGATTGTGAATCGATTGTTAATAATCGATTAGCTAAAAGTGGTATCCATACTTTCATGTAAAGAGAAGAGAAATAAAAACAAATATTTATGAATATTCATCTGCTCTATTTTCACAGAGAAAGATATGCAAAGGGACCCAACAAGAAGATCAAGTCAAGGTGTAATATAAAATAAACCAAATACTCTACATAGGAAAATTTCTTATTTTAGCCATTTTATATATATATATGTATATACACTTTGGACATTTAGGCCAATTAAACTCATACACCTGTTTGTGTGCGTATATAGGGAAAAAGAACTATTCTGTGGATCTAATTGGATAATGTTTGTGAAAATATATTTACTGGTGTATGAAAAAAAAATGAACAGTTTGTGAATTAATGAAAACACAATAGAGTGACAAGTTTGTCCACATTTCAAACACCAAAGCTTTCAATTATGTACAGATCAATTGAAGACATGTTACCCTGTAGGTACACAAGATAAAACTGAAACGAGAGAGAGAGAGAGATTTCCAAGCAACGAATTGGCTACACGTACTCGACCATATTACATGCCATCCATAATTTGTGAATATAAAAAATTAGGATGACTGATTGAAATTTGTAAAACATGGAATTCTACTTCATTAGCAGGCAGTGCTAGCTTGCCCAGAAAGCTAGAAGAAGAAGAAACCTGTTTGGTTATTAGAATGTAAGCTAAAAAAAAAAAAAAAAAAACTTGACCAACCGATATTGGCTGATATCTTCTTTATTAAAAGAAAGCAAAACAAGTACATTTATTAGTTCTTTGTCTTCTTCTCCTCTTCAAAAGCCCTGCAAAAGAAAGCATTTCATTTGTTTCAATTCGACTTTGCCAACACAAATCAAAAAGGAACTTTAGCTTTAATATGTTTTAGAATCGGGTTCTTCTTGTTTACTCAGTATATACTGATAGTTCATTGGACTTGTTTAGTAATCCTCAACCATGGCAAAGATTCAGCTTTAAAACGTACATGTAAAAATAAAATCCAGAAAGTGTATATTTTGTATTGTAAATTGTGTGTAATGTATGGCTTGTGTAATGTACCTCCATTAATTAACCCAGAAATGGGTCTATGGTTGTGCAATAATAAAGAAACCTTTCAATCGTTTTCTTCTTTTTCTTCTTCTTTGTGTATAAATTGCCTTGGTTTGTATTATAAAATCTGTATTCGGTGCTGGGCGGTTAAGTTTAAAAATCACTTTTAATTCTCCACCCCAAAAAAAAAGATTAGAGAGAATGGAATTGTTTTGTCAGCAAAACTCATCAAACTATATACCAAGTCATATTCACCCAAACCAACAAGTTACTTTTTGTGTCTTACTATCTTGTGCCCTTACCTTACAAGCCCCTAAATTATTTTATATTTTATTTTTTATATATACGTTTCTTTGGTCGATATGACTCACTTCGGTTTATAAAATCGTATTTTTAATTTTTTTTTTTTTTTTTTTTCATTCTCTGCACGGTTCCCTCCCCTGGCCCTTTGAAATGGGATGAATGCTTATTATAGAAGTGGGAAAAGTAAGCAGTCCCTTATATTTTTTTTTTCAAATTTACCATAAAAAAATTTTTTTTTACAGAGTGGAAGCCTTCATCTTGCCTTTTAAAATTTTTTTCTTACAGAGTGGAACCTCTTTTAGTAATATGATGTCCATTAGAGGAAGAATGATCGCTCCCCTGCTTGCCCGCCGTTCTCTTTCAAGCACAGTCGTTTCAAGACTCTACATCCAGAATAACCTTAGCAATGACCAAACCCACCCAAAGCTGGAGGTTGATGGTGCAAGAAAGGTTGCAGACTTCAGAAGTGACACAGTAACTGCCCCCACTGATGAAATGTTTGAAGTCATGAAGAAGGCCTCCAGAGGAGATGATGTTTTCCAGGTAAGAATTTTTTATTTTATTTTTTGGATAGCTGAAATTAAGAATCATAATCACACAAAAGAAAAGAAAATTAAACCTTGTATCCCCCCCCTTCCTTTTTTTCCTATTTTTTGATGTATTTCAAAAAATACTTTAGGAAGACAACAGTGTCCGTGACCTTGAAGCCTACATGGCCGAAACAACTGGCCACCAAGATGCCCTTTTTTGCTCCAGTGGTACTCTGACAAACCAGCTCGGTCTCTGCACTCATCTCACCACCCCTCCCCACTCGGTTGTCTGTGACTCCCGTTCGCATGTCTACCTCTGGGAAGCCGGAGGTATCTCCTTCCACTCTCGTGCCTCAGTCAGCCCAGTGATTGCCCGCAACGGCATCCATGTCACTGCCGAGGAAATCGAGGGAAACCTCATCGAGGCCGATCTCCACACTGCTCCTACCCGGGTTGTCTCGCTCGAAAACACCCTCAGTGGTCTTATCTTCCCCATTGAAGAAATCCGTGCCATTTCTGAAATGTCCCGCGGTCGTGGCCTGGCTATGCATCTTGACGGTGCTCGTCTCTGGAATGCTTCTCAAGAAACCGGAATTCCGCTGAGCGAGTATGGCAAATGCTTCGACTCCATGTCTCTCTGTCTCTCCAAGGGTGTTGGCGCCCCAATTGGCTCCATTCTGGTCGGTAACCGCGAGTTCATCAACCGTGCCCGTCACCTTCGCAAGCTGTTTGGTGGTGGATGGCGCCAGGCCGGTTTTATGGCCGCAACTGCCCAGTACTGCATCGACAACATCGTGCCCACCATGCCAGCCACCCACAAACTGGCCAAGTACATGTCCGAGTCCCTTGTCTCGCTTGGAATCTCGCTCCAGGTCCCCGTGCACACCAACATGGTTCTCATCGACACTGCTCCGGTCGGCATCACTATCCAGGACCTTATGCCCTCCCTCTTGGCCAAGAACATCAAGATTGGCGGAATGGGTACCAAGTCCCGTCTTGTGCTCCACCACCAGATTAACAAGGAAGATGTCGACGAGTTTGTCCAGGTTGTCAAGGATGTCGTAGCAAGCCGGCAGGAAGTAGCAGCACCTCAGCAAGTAGCAGCCCAGGCCTGTTAAAATTTGTTTCCAACCAGCATTCTTTTTTCTTTAATCTTTTATTACTATTAACATTCCAGCATCCATTATATTCCACTCATCTCTCTTTAATCCTTATCACACATCCCAAAAAACCCAGTTTTTTTTTTTACCTCTTCCTTCCTCTTATTATTGTTAGTATTCTTTATACGCTCTACTTTATTTTATTTGATTTGATTTTTAATAATAAAAATAATAAAAATACAGTATAAAATAAATGTTTAATGCTGATGCTTGTGAGCAGCAGTCAATGTGACAGTGCCATTTTTTGCCAGACCGTCTTTAATCTTCGCCTGATACATTCTCAGGTCCTGGCCCATGACGGTCAACTTGATCTGAACAGCCTGGGTTTCTTCACGGGTATCTGCATGTGTGACGGGTGTGAGAGTGTGTCTTCCAAAGGCATGGTTGAGAATCGAGAGTCCGGTGTCGAGTCTGACGAACCCCTTGATACGATAGATGTCTTCTTTTGGCATGGTGGCCAAGAATCTCTCGAGCTCTTTCTCGGTCAAGGGTTCTTTAGATTGTTCGGTGGTCTCGATAACCTGGAGTAGATCGACTTCATTGGCGTGGTGGTCGGGATTGAACACCAGTGGTACCAGTGATCCGCCAGTTGAGTCGTGGTTGAGTTGGAATAGAGAAGTGTCAAGACCAAACACAAGATCAGGCGATATTCCATCAGCACTACAGCGCACCTTTGGCGTGTCTGTGTTGAGTTCATTGACATGGTCAATAACATCGTCCAAATCACGCTCAGAGACCTTTTGAATAATTTATATAATAAGGTGAGCAAAACAGAAAAAAAAAGTGTTGATTTGTATATGGCCTTGTCTTACCAGCTCATGCTTATTCAAGAGAATCACATCTGTGTATTGGGCTTGTAACTTGGCCGTGTAACTATTGTCTTCATAGCCCCGGAAGTTCACACAGTCAATGACAGTGATAATTGAATCCAAAACAAATCCCTCTGATGCTAATTCACGAATCTGCCATGCAATTGGAGCTAGATATCTAATGCATTAATATTTGTATATATGGGACACCAAATGGAAATCATTTGTCTTGCTGTGTAGAGTACTTGCCAGGGAATGCAGAGCCACTGTACAAGATTTATTAAATAAATCAAAAAAATACATTGTGTTAAGCTATCATCACCATCATCACCATCGTCATAATTGATTATTTAGTTGGTCTGCAACAAACCTTGTCTCGACAATAATGCGGTCAGGATTGTATTTCTCTATGTCAATATATAAATATTCCAAACACTCGGTCTTACCGAAATATTATGTCATCCTTTTTTTTTTCTTTTTTTTTTACCTTTCAATTCCTGAAGTGCGCGTTTCATCTGTCCAACCAATACACAGCATAGACAACCGTTCATCATTTCTTGTACACCAATATTGGATTCTTTAGCCAGCTGACTGTCGACTAGAGCACAAAACAAAACAAAACAAAACAAAACAAAACAAAACAAAAGAAGTAGAGTATTAATATATGTTTGGTTTCGATTGCTCAAAGCTATTGGTAATCTCGGCTTTTTCTTGTTTCATATATTTCTCTTTTCGGTTTGTGTTCGTTTGTTCGTTCGTTCGTTCGTTTGTCCGTTTGTTTATGTGTTTTTGTGGTTTGTTACCTGCAATGTCTCCAAACTCATTCTTCAATAGACATGTCTTGTAACCCGAAGGAAGTTTCCTAATAAGCGAGAGAATGGCGGTGGTTTTTCCTGTAGTTAAATGGGGAGTCAATTGGAATGTCTTTTAGATAATGTACACATTACCACTTCCTAGGAAACCAGTAAATACAGTGACAGGAATGGGTTTGGTCATTGCAATTCCAATATTGTGCTTGTGTAAAAGAAAAAATAAAAAGACACCCAACAATTTTGTTTTGTTCTTTACTTGATGCTTATATTATACTATATTATATTATATTTTGTATTATATAAATTGTATATATATACAAGCACAGATACAGCCATATTTTAATGCAAGTGAAAAAAAGAAAAAAAAATGAGAAAGAATATATATTTTTATTTATTTACTTTTATTTTTTAATAAGGATTCTTTTGTTTCTTGTCACCGATAGACAGCTTATTCAATGTCTTGATGTCACCTTCTCGCAACAGTTCATCTTCTCGGGTCTTGTCATTCTGATGGCTCATGGCCGGGTACTCCTTTTTGGATCGCAGCTGGTACGAAGGGATATCTTCCTCTGCGTCCTCATCTACATTAAAGCTGTCCAGGTTGCGGACGCGTGGACTTGCAGGTGCCGAAAGCGGTTTTGGAATCTTCCGGAACACCTCTTCGTCCTCTTCTTCATCGACGAACGAGTCCGGATATGCCCGTCTAAGGGCCAGTTGGCGTGCCTTGATGTACTCAAGGCCCATGCGTTTCCAGTCCAGCAGATCAGACAGACGTTCGGTACGGTTACGCTGGTTGATACGCTGGCGGCGAGTCTTTTGGCAGAATCGGAACATTTGCTCACACAGCTGCTGGATTGATTCCTCTACTGACTTCATCCGACGATCGACAATGTAAATACCATAGTCTTCACAGTTTTCGATATTCTCATCCATGAAACAACCAAAGCCAGACAAGCTATTTTATTATCATTGTTATTATTGAAATAAATTATAAATTAGTTTAAACTTTTTTTTTTAAAAAATAAAAGGACTTACTTTGTTGTGATGGAGGGTACACCCATTACAGTGCACTCTGCTGGAGTATAACCCCAAGGCTCATAGTATGAAGGAAAGACGCCAAGATGGCATCCACGGACAAAGTCTTCGTAGTCAAGACCAAGCAAAGGATTGTTTGCATTGAGGAACTCAGGGTGGAAAATGATCTTGACCCGATCTTCCGGTTTGTTGTACAGTTGCAGGCGACGGAGTTGGTTAATAACAGGGTCATTCCCATCGTCCACAATGTTGTGTGACACAATTGGAGGAAGACTAGTGCGCTTGAGGGCAAACACGCGTCGCTTTAATAGCACACGATCTTCTTCTGATAGATAGTCTTCGGCCGAGAGTTCTTCTCCTCTAAAGAAATGTATATAGATATAGATAAAAAAAATATTAAGGACAAAGAAGCAAAAGAGTATATAAGGATAATAGTGAGTGGTGTTTACAAGTATTTGTTATCATCATTACCTTAGTGCCTTTTCAAAGATACGTCTTCCAATGCGTCCCTGAATCTCATTTACAGTCTCACGCAATTGTTTTGTGACTGCCTGACCCTTGAGTGCTTCCACATTGAAACTGTGTGTTTCAGCTGGCATTACCATAAACGCAACAACAGTCGTATTTGACTTTGCAGCCTTGAGACGATCATTGAGACCTAGGATATATATAAAACAGAGTTGGAGCTTTTTTATAAACAAGGGCACCTCTAATTAACATATACTATACATTATACTTACGTCCCAATGATTCTGCAAACATATCGACACCTTTATTTCGGTACTCGTATCGACCGGCAGTAAAGAAATAGACTGTATTTTCAAGATCGAAATCGTAATGGCCATAAAAGTGACCCCGGACAAAGTCATTGATCTTTTCCTTGTTGAGGGCATGTTTGTTTTGGAATTCATGAACAGCCTGGAACTTGACTACATTGAGACCGTTGGGCAACACACCGTCTAAATATATATATATTTCAACAAAATAAATAAATAAATAAATAAATCGATACCCCATAATTAAAAAGAAAGGTAAATTTCTACACTTTTATTTTATATTTTTATATTGAACCCCAACAATACAAATACAGCTACAGCTACAGCTACAGCTACAAATAAAGCTATTCAGAAATATTGCTCTTACCCGGTTTACGCTTCAGGAGATGTTCACTTTCATAGGCTGTGATGTGACTGACGGTAGTAAAGACATCTGAGCAGTGGGCAGCTGCACGTTCGATACAGTATCTGTGATAAATGCCTCTCTTGCCTGCTTCTTGATCAACATCAAATCCACGCAGGTTGTTGTAGAAATCCACAGACCCAGCACATAGATAGCGACCAAGCAGAGTGGCGTGAGTAGTGAAGATTGTAGTAACATCAACGCGTCTCTTCTTGAGCAATGGGATAGATACGCCTGCTAACCACTCGTGGAAATGAGCAATAATGGCTGGATCGGAAGGTTGATTGTACTACCCCACAATAATTCTCACAAGTCAGCTTTTTGGATTTTTTTTTGGGAACAAAGAAGCACAGGCCGCACAAGATTTCTTTTTCTTTTTCTTTTGTTTCTTAAAGCGATAGTGACAATTGATACTCTTTATATTATAAATTTTATATAGTATTTGTTTTTACCTTTGCAGCCAATTCACCGAGAAACCAGGTAACAAGATATCCAAACAGAATGGCCTCGTTTGTTTCGGTGTCATTAGGGGGACTCGGAATACCTGCCGATCTCCAGAGATCACCCTTCCACTCGTCCATCTTGTGCTGGACACTACCGGTGTCAAATAAGAGCACATAAGGAGATCCCTCCACAAGCCAACGCCCGAAAAGGTATTTGACATTGTGAGCAGCCATGGCTTCCAGAGTCTCCCGTATCTTCCCGTTTGGTGGCTCGAGAGCCTCGACTTCCATTGGGGCAGTCTTGTAAGACAGAGGGCCTATTAAGCAGTATCTGTCTCCAAACTCATGGACAGTAACCGGAACCTTTGTCTTGATTACGGTATAGATACCACCGACTAAAAGAATGCATACCAACATACATACATACATACATAGGTAGGTAGGTATGGTTAATTGTTTTCTGTTTGTTTGTTTGAAACACACAGATTGATATCTAGATACCCAATTGTTAAGATCTCTCTGTACCTTTGTTGGCAACTTCCCATGCAATTTCAAACAACAAAGGGTTATAGACATCTCTTTCAGGCATGATTATGTCAGCTTTGTCCTGGGGATGTAGAATTTAAGATCGGGTAAGGAATAGAGACAGATGGACAGAAGAGAAAGAAGAGAAAGAAGCAAAAGCACAAAAATCAAATCAAATAAAATAAAATAAAACAAAACAAATGTGTGAGTTTTTGTTCTTGTATTTTTTTTTTAAAAAAAAAAGGAAATGCTGTTTGGATAGACGTCATGACCAGAACCATTCTATTAAACCAGAAAAAGACTATGAAAACCATATATATATATATATAATAAAATATAATAAAAGGTGCGTGAGAGAGAAGAGAGAAAAAGTAAGGGTGTGTTTTGTGTCGTCTTTGTTGCTTATCCATCTTAATCACCAACAAAAAAGAAAAAAAAGGGGGGATATATCTTTTGTTTGGTGTGTGTTACTATGGTTACTATATATATATATATATATTATCTTGAGTATCATATAGAAATACTGTACCACTGATTAAACCAAACTCATATATACAGTACAATATAGTACAATGCAATACCTTACTTTATAGCATAATATATATATAGATAAATAAATAATCGAAAGAAATGTGCACAAATAATTTAATAATGAAATCCAAAACATTCAACAAAAAAAATCAAACTTGCTGGATAAACTGGTAAGATTTATACTTGTTGGTTCCCAGTAATAAAAAGAACTATTAAAGAATTACTCTGAATCCTAACCACAAACCAAAATTACATAGTTACATAGAGTTACACAGAATTACATGCAATTACATATAATTCTCATCAAATCTTGTTAGATTTGGCATGATAGCCATGAGATCGACCATGATAAACCATAGCTTATTGTTCCCACAAAAAAAACAACAACAGAAAATAGAGAAAAGCTTATGTGGTTTAATATTTTGTACTTATCTTTTCTTACAGTGCTTCTACCAACTAATATCACAGCCAATCAAAATCAATTTCATATATTTAGAAAAAAGAAAAATGTCAGAAATCAGATCGTGCTTCATGGCACTCAAAAGAAAATATAAATATAAATAGAGATCGAGTATTTCTTTTTCTTTTTCTTTTTTCAATGCTTTACAATTCCAACATGAGTAAAAGATTTCCATATGGAAATGAGCATAGGAATGCTATTGATGATAAGGGTAATCCTTGGTTTATGGACTACATTGTTGAAACTATTGCTACTCATACAGAGTACTTGGGAAATCGAGTCTCCAATGTTGTCAGAAAAGCCAAAACAAAAACACACGCATTATACAGTTTAGGATAATGTTGGGCTTTTAAACCTAACAGGTGAATAACAACAAAAGTACCTCGGAAATGTCCTAAAGCTTACCTGTAATAGCCCTTGTCATGAATAAGCGAAAAAAAAGGAGATGAGTGCGCGTTTAAAAACACTGTTTTAAAAAGCTTGAATCTCATATCGTATTTTTTTGCCAGCATAGATTCACTCTATCTGGTCCCTAAGGATCCATTCTTATTATAATAGCTAATACCAGTCAGGATAAAAGTAGGTGAATGTATGCTGTATAACTGGCTATTGGTATATTGCATATGCGGTTAATTATTATCTCTTTATTGGCAAGTTTGCCCTGAAGGGTTAGAGAAAGAGACCGATCTGGACAAGTGGTCAGAATTAATTATTCCGGTTAGATAGAAATGTCGTACCCCACTAGAAAACCTCGTTCCCTTAAGATTGTTGGTCAGAAAATAAAGTAAAAAAAAAAAAAAAAGGACAATATTTTTTTTTTGGAATATTCTAAATGTGGTACTCGTTTAATACATTGGCTTTACAGCCCACTTCCTTTTCTTTCTCTCTTTCTTTGTTCTTGTTCTTGTCTATTAGCTGTATAGATGTATAGATGTATTCTGCAGACAAATGCTTGCATCAGATAACTAGAGTACAAGTAAGCAAACGAACTTGTACAAATTACCACGTGCAATTCATATGAAATATTAATAGAAAAAAAAGAAAAAGCATATAATCAATCAATCAGTTAATCGGTCAAATTACATATATGTATAAAGTATTATCAATTCCTCAAATAAGTTGTAATATAGCACCTTGGATTTGCCTAGATATCAACAGAAATACATAAAAAATCAATATTTTTTATTTTTATTTTTTATGTAAGATAAGATAAAGTGTATCTATTTGAAAATTGTTTATATATAAATGTATATTGGTTTGAAGGGGTTGTTGTACATGTACACTCTAAAATCACACCACTTTAATAATAATAATAATTTTTTTTTTTTTAGAATTATGACATAATCATAAATGAGAATTTGTATATACATTTTGCTCGATATTTGTAATTCTATAACTCTTTCTTTTTATTTATATTTATTTATTTGTGCTTCGAGAATTACAGTAGCATTTACACAAAGTTTTACCCTAACCTTGGAAATTACGATCAATATATGTATATATATATATATATATATATATATATATATATTTGGAAATTCATGTCACCTGTAATATCTATAGAGTTTAAATGCAATATAATGCAACCCAAAATAATAATAGTAATAATATAACTTATTAAGAGCAATTCATTATATGTATATGTATATGCAGCAGCAGCAGCAGTAGTAGTAGCGGTAGTGATGAAAGAGAGAAAGAGAGAGGTGAAAATAGCTTGAAAAAATACAAGCCCATACAGACACGCCTTTGTAATAAAACCTATGGATATTAGTCTATACAGATAAATATAAATATGATTTAAAAATTAATTTAATTTACTTTGGATAGACCAGATAATTTATTTGAAGTTAGAGCAAGAGATTACAAAGCACCATAATTTTTTGTACACATTACCTTTTTTTACTCTACTATTATTTGTGGCTAATCCAACATACATAATATTGACGCTGGATGAGAGCCTAATATCCAAACAAACAAATCAAGTCAAGTCAGCCATTACAATTATGCACAATATTCTGCAAGCTCAAATGACTGACATATCCGAGTGGCTTTTACACACTTAACACGTCAGCGTATCTCCTCTACAAACACCTACTCGCATCTGCGCGATTATTGTGCATAAACCGAAACAGTGTATACGTAAACCATCACATAGCCACATAGCCACATATACCCATATAATATTTATTTATTTATTTATTTATTTATTTAGGCTGGAGAGAATTGTTCTTTAACTAGTGTTGTTGTGGATAATGATCGAATATATAATATTAAGCACGTCAAATAAATAAATAAAAGAAAGAAGAAGGATATAAAGATATACGCTTGACTCAACTAATGTTATTGATCTTGTTGCTTTGAGGATTTGTGGCCATAGATAAGAGCAGTGATATTAATAATAATAATAATAATAATAATAATAGTAATAGTAATGGTAGTAATGCTTTGTTTCTTTTATTTGTTATATATTGTATTTTTTTTGTGTGTGTGTGTAAATATGCACGCCCAATGTCTTGGCCATGTCAAACCTCTGTCTTGGCAGTTTGTTTAAACCAATGAATATCAAGACAGGCCTCTTAACCCAAAATACTAAGGCATAACTCGATGGATAAATATTAAGTAAATGACCAAAAACCAAAAAACCAAAAAACATATAAATTACTCTGCCATTTTGTACCAGAATCAAATCCATCAAAAAACCAAAAAAGAATCACATTCCTCCATACTTCCTTATTCTCTCTATCATGAAAGCCTTTATTTTCTTTGCTTTACTTGTCGCCACCAGCATTGGTTCCATTATGGCTGCTCCTTCATCAGACAAGGTTGATGATCCAACAAAGGACCTTCCAAAGATCGATTGTATCCAAGTCACATATCCTACAAATGGCGTTGTCTGGACCACCGGAACAGTCTACAATATCACCTGGAATGTCCTTTTTGATTGTGTCTATCCAAAGTCGGTATACCTTGGAAAAGATGTCAACAACCAGTTTGAATTCGATTATCTGGTCAACAGCAACCTCAACATCACTGCCGGACTGGCCTACATCACTCTTCCTGATGACATTGAAAAGGTCTTTCATGCAATAGTCATCGGCACAACTGAGTATGGCCGTGTAAGAATCAATTCGAAAATCGGGATTCTTGTAGTGTAGACATCATTCTTTTACTTCTTCTTAACATGTAACGATATTTACCAATAAATAAATAAATAAATACAGATATCAAATCTCTTGTAACTTTTACAAAAATGCTTCTTTTCTTCTATGCAATATGAATGGTTTATTGGTTTGGATTATTGTGTACGAGTTCTTTTTTGTAGCTTGAGATCATAATAATATAAATAAATACGTATAGATATCTATATAAGTTTACATATACACCATTTCCTGCAGGTTATGTAGCGTCAACATGTCTGATTTTGTATATTTGTATTATAGATTTTCGGATTTTTCGACATTGTTTTCAGGAAATAGTGTATATAAATATCTAAAGATGTATATATATATATATATATCTAATTTGGTTTTAAATAGTATTTCTCCTCTTCCTTTTTCCGCTTCCTTTTTCTTATCCAGTTTTGTTTTCTTTAGCTCTTCTTCTTTATTCGTCAGTTACTACATCCTTATCAATAAAGTAGGTTAATATTAGTCAAACAGCTAAAATAGTAATAATTGTATGCATATCTATTTAACAATTGACTCACCTTAATGTCTATATCCTCGGTAACTCGAGATTTAATCAGATCTGCACTCTCACCAAGCACAATACGTTCAGAAACCTCCGAGACAGAAAATTGTCGTTGATTTGTTGGAGTGTCATTACTGCTGTTGTTGGTTCGAAGGGTCATATTGGCGTGGATAGGTTTGATAGGTGTTTTGATGGTGTGTTTGTAGAAGCACTTTGGCCGTGTGCAGATGCCATCGTATTTACAGATTATCTCTGCAGTAGAGTCGCTAGGATGTGTGAAGTGGCAATCGGGTCTTTTACATTCTGCACCATTGTTGCAAGGTATTGGGATTCTTTGGCTTGGGGTTACTGGAACAGGAGTTGCAGGATGCACAAATGGACAGACAGGGTTTGTGCAGTAAGGATAGAATCGACATGGTATGGCCATCTTTACGCTAGCCATGTGCTGTTGCTGCTGCTGTTGCTGTTGCTGCTGCTGTTGTAATAATGGAAGTGCTGGTGGTTTTTGTTGTGTTTCTGGGTGAATAAACATACATTCGTTGGCAGGTTTAGGACAACGAGGGAAATCTCTAAATAACGAAAAAATAAAAATAAAAATTAAATTAAATTAAATTAAGCTGATTATTGTATATGGATATGCATATTTTAAGCCAGGTGGTTTACTTACGGGCAAATGGTCTTTGGATGAAAGTAGGTACATTGTTCCCCTTGTCTGCAGGATGGCCAGTATTTGCATCGTTCTTTTGGACGATCATTGATAGTAATATGTTCCTCCATATCCATATCCTCATCAAAATCGTTTTGTATACGGCTCGAACGCTGAATCCGAGAACTTCCCAGGCGATCAAATACGGAGCCATTGGTAGATGCTGTCTCCAAGGCAGCTTCAAAAAGAAAAAAAAAAGAAAAAAAGAAAGACAAAATTGACAGAATAATGTCAGCTTATATTCATCCCATTCCATTCCTTTCTTTTATATACATATATATATATATATATATATATATATATTTCTTACATGTTGATGGGGATTCACGTCGTTGAGGTCCTCCTAAACGTGAAAATACATTTGTGCTTTCATTTTCTGATGTTCTTCGCTGACGACGTTGGCGAATTGGAGAGCGCGAGCGGGACCGTTCTAATGGACGGCGAGAAGAAACTGGCAACGCTCTACTGGGTGATTCGGAATTATTGTTTCGTGTAGAGCTAACGCTGCTGATGGCCTGAGCAAAAATTCTGTTCTGTCTCTCTACTTTTATGGTCTTTGGTTCAACCTCCATAGCTTGTGCTTCCGGTTGTGCTTCCGGTTCCGGTTTTACATTTTCAAGTTCTCCAACTCTGTTAAAGATCCATTCCGTCAAGTAGGTGTCTAGATTAGAGTATATGACGATGTAATGATTCAATTCATGGTAATAATATTCATTTATTTTTTGAAGAAGAATAAAGTGAGATTTAATTAGACATCTTGTTAATTGATCAGATTCACCAAACAAGATTCACAAAACTTACCGTAATCAGACCCAACCACTACATTGTACACATGTTTACAAACACACAAATTGAGAGAGAAATAGTGATCAGAAAAGAAGGTACAGCGATGAAGAAGAAGAAAAAAGGTGACGACAAAAAAGGAGGCGATGAGAAAGAAGAGAAACGAAACAAGAATACATTAGTTACGTGATCAAGTAGTGTAGATCCTTAAACTCCAATTCTACAAATCTTTCTATATAAATGTTTAATACAATATCTTACAGTTCTGTAATTCTGAATTCAATTCGCTTGGTTGTTTGCCGAGTTTGAGTAATTCGATGATAAAATCAGACAAGGTGACGTCTATACAAAGCAAAGCAAGAAAGAAAACAATGATAGAAATATCCGTTTAGTAATAAGAAATGTTAATGGATTCCTTTCTTTGTTTTTGTTTTTCACCCTACCCGCAGCATCCACGTAATCATAGGCTATACATTTCGTTTGGATCTCCTCCTAATGAAGTAAAAACAACAACAACAACAAAATGGTGATCGTGGGTTAGTTGCGGTTGTTCAGTGTTTTAATAAAGCATAAAAGAAAGAAACAAAGGTCATAAAGTCTTTCTTGTATTTTTTTATAACAAAGTAAAAAGGTAGTGTATGGTGCTTAGTGCTTTTTGCGTTTGTTTTTTTTTAAACCTTTAAAGTGTTCCAATCCTGGGGCTGCATAGTTGATGATCAATGTAAGTAAAAAGGTAATAATCTTTTTATTTTATTTTTTTGTCTTTAGAAGTTTCTCTCTCTTTCTTTTTATATATATATATATATATATATCGGGCCAAAATTTTAATTCTAAAAAAAAAAATAGAAAATAAAAAAAAAATAAAAAATAAAAAATAGAAAATCTTACTGTGCGCGTAACCTTTTGCCCACCCACAAGAGGGAAACGTCTCATTAATTTTTTTTTCTTGCTGGAACGAGTTTGAATAGTGACAGTTTGGTATAATAAGGTTGGTCAATCGTAAAAGTTCAAAAAATTAAAATACTCCAATAAAAGAGGGTATTCAATTGGATTATACTAATTTGTGGAAGTCCGACATAATATTATTGGACAAATACTTGTTTAACGACACAAAAAAAATATATACAGGTTTTTCGGACCCAAATGAGCTTTTTTTTTTGGCAAACTTTCGGCTTTTGGTGAAAATTAAATGAGCAAAGTTCAAGTATCGAAATGGTGATATATTGACACTTACATGAAAATAAAAATTATGAGATATTTATGATTGTTTTATTATATCTTTATTTAAAATCAGCAAAAATTTGATAGCAATAAATTAAATTTAAGCACTCTAGTGTATATAGTCGATCTCTACGAGTGAGGACAGCCAAAG